TTTGCCCCAGGACAGCATGAAATGGACTAGATGGGGCATGTATATTCTGCAAGTCTTTGGATCACTTCCTGGGCTCAGTAAGTCTCACAATATGACTAGGCTCCATCAGCTAACTTGCTGTGCTAGTGATCTGGACGTTTCTTCCTTCGAACGTTGCCGGTCGGACCAAGAAGACTGTCACTGCTACTACAATCTTCGTCGCATATTGTGTTGGTAATGCAGTTGGTGCACAGATGTTTGTTGCCTCTGACGCTCCGAAATATATCAGGGGTCTGACCGCCTGCGCCATCCTCTACTGTGTCGAGTTCTTGAGCATGGCTTCATGGAGATTCTACTGTAAGCAGATCACTCATTTTTGGGTTTTCCTACTGACACGTCGTGCTAGATATCTGGGAGAACCGACGCCGTGCCAAGATGATTCGTGAACAAGGTATCTCGGAGGAGGAGAGCGAACGGCTGGGCAGGCTTAACGCTGAGGCTGATGTGACTGACTGGGAGAACATTCACTTCAAGTACAAGTATTAAAACCTGTAATACTTCACCATGTATGCAAACGAAAGGGATTGGAGTTTGAAGGAATCAGACAAGCCAAAGAGTGCAAGTAGTTGCCAAGATAATGTGAATGTATACACCCAGACATGAAGCTTACCACCACGAGATAATTATCACGAGACTCTGTATCAAGTCAAATCATCCTGGTCCGTGAATCTATACTCAAGCGTCTTATAACCGTATAGTAACAAATGGGGAGCTGGCACAACGGTAGCGCGTCAGATTCTAGCTTAAGCATAGATATTCCTGAAGGTTCCTGAAAAATCTGGTGTTCCTCATACTTTGACCCCCTTTCGAGCGAACTTAATGTGATCTTGACTGAGTTTTAATGCAGCCACGCGCAAATTCGTTAGTGGCCACGTCTGAGGGATTCAAATACGGTTGCTGATCAAGTCATCACAAAAGCTTCTTATTATGTTTAAGTTGGGAGACTCATCTTTGTTGAGGCTACGTACATATTGCCTTTTAAAACGGTGAGTTGACTTGATGTATCTCGTGGAACTATTGATCAATTAACCTTATAACCGTATTATAGATAATGCCAGCACCTTCTTCACTTAGAGATAACAATACCATAGCTCGGCCGATTTCTCCAAGTCGGAGAGGAATTTATCACCTGATGTGAAAAGGCTTGAGAACAAGCAGAGTAACACTCAGCACGAAGTGGACTTCATACCTTCTGGGCATATATCCTAAATGACCATCTTGTTCTCCGACACATTCTAATCATTTAAGCTCTTGTTTCATTCTTCGCTGCCACTAAATATCCTGCCAATATCTATCAGCTCTTCCCAACGATCATCCTTCTGAACCCTGATTATGCCTTCAGGGGTTATGACTTTGATGTCATCAACCAATTGAGTACCATAGTCATACGCGTTGTCTCCTTTCACAAAAGCACACAGGACCTGAATCCAATCCTGCATTAGTTTCCTTTCGACCTCCGCTGGGCCATGCATTATTGCGAAGCTTTCATGTTAGTAAAACAATCACACAGCCAATAGGATCGGTGAGCTCACTTCCAGAATGGCTTATCCATAGCATGGGCCACCCCGAACGACTTGGGCGCCACTTTCTCGTCTATGAAGGAGAGGCGGTAGGCTATTTGGTAACGCCAGATGTCGTGGATATTCACTCCATTTGCTGACAAACTCTGAACAAGAGATCTTGATGGAGCTCTGACCTGGCCGTCAGATATAATGTTGCCTAACGTCAGTTTAGTTGGAGTGCCTGGTGATCAAAGTGACGGATTGCCTACCAAACAATCTTTTCCAGTCTTCTAAATCTTCAGAAGCTGGAGCGCCATAGCGTTTTATCACTCGTTCAGAGACTTGAGGCGAGTAGTAGTTCATGACTTGCATCTTTAGTGCATCAAGACTGGGTTCAGTGGGACTGTTGTAAACCGAGTAAAGCGTCTCTTCGTTGGCGACTTCGCCGATCAAGATCTTATAGCCTCTGGACTTGAACTCGTGGGCAAAGTCTTGGCTCCTAAGATACTCCATCACGTTCGAGTGAACAAACAGATGGTCAGTTACAGGTCTGAATGTGTGGTGCTCCAGTTTGGGGATAGCTTCAACAAGATCTTGCGTTGTGACCTGCCGAAGACGAGCAAGTTTCTCCTTCGCAGAATCCTCCTCGTCAATGTTAAATAATCGGCAGACTTCTTCAAACTGGGGCTTGGTTTCTTGGAGTGACTTTGGCAGTGCAGGAATGGCGTTTGAGTTCATGAAAACCCGGCGATACAAAGATGTTTTGGGTCCTGGCTTCCGAAATTCGTACAACATCTGAGCCTCAACGCTGTATGCACCAGCGCTTCGACCAGCCAGAGTGATATTGTTTAGGTCTCCTCCGAACAGAGAAATATTTTCCTTCACCCATTCAGCTGCCATTCGCTGGTCCCAAAGGCCAAAATTACCTGCTGAATCACCCTGGCTTTCTTCGAGAAGGGCCTCTCCAGCGAGGAAGCCAAAGATGTTCAGTCTATAGCCTATAGCTACTACAATAGCATTAAGGCCGCCGGTAGAAATGAGTTCCGTTGGGTCCATGCCTGGGTCTTGCGAGGGGTCGCCCATCTGGAACCAGCCGCCATGCAACCATAGCATGACAGGCCATTTTGAGGTCTTCTCGTCACCGACGGGCGTCCAGATGTTCATGAATAAGCAGTCTTCGCTATAGGTACCGTCACCTCCTTCGGCCTTTCCAACATGGAATGTCTTTTGTGGACATATGGCCTTGAACTGAGTCGCATCGAAGGGACCATCTTCACCGTTTGCATAAGTGTACGAAGACGGTAGAGGCCTCGGCTTGCGCCAACGGTAGTTGCCGGTTGGTGGAAGCGCATACGGAATGCCAGCATATCTTCGGGATTTCTGATCAAACTGAATACCACGAATTTTGCCTTTGTCACCAAGGTTCAGGTCATAGGCCTTTTCGTCGTATGAAATGGTGTTTCCCATGTTGACAGATTGGGCTTGTCGCTTGAGATTCTTTCGTCTGGGCGTCAATCGGGAGGTAGGCTAGATTCGGAGAAGCCTACGATTCATACTTTCTGTTCTGGCATGCTCCGCTTCCGAGATCCGCCCGCCTTCGGCCGCATTTGCCTATCTTGCCATCAACTCCACAGTTGATCGGATCTCCGCCCGATATCAACGGATGACCTTTAGCTCTATTAGACACTCTTGTTTCAGCCCATTCTTGAATGATACAACTCACTCCAACTTGGGGCATCATAGAACTAAGAGTTCACTCACAACAAGTCTTGTCTTTCATTTACAACGACAATGGGTAGCATTAACCACAAACATCTCCCAATTGACCTTTCTCACCACATCAATGTGAAGAGCAAAGCGCGGCATCCGTCGCCTCTCAAAGATATCATTCGATTTATGGGCAAGAAAGGGATGATCAGTCTAGCGGGAGGTAACTGCCAATCGATCATCGGCTAGCCATTTTCTTGAGCTCATAATATTCCAGGTCTTCCTCACCCATCTCTGTTCCCAGTGGAGAGGGCGATATTCGAGTGTCAGCCACCTCATATTGAACCTTCAATTGAAACTGGGCTGGTCAGCCTTGATCTTGGACGCGGCGCAAATAGTGGCAAGTTAGACCTGACAGAGTTTTTGCAATATGGTAAGCCTTTTAGCAACACAACAGCATCATATCCTTCTTTCTAACCATTTGAAGGCTCCGGTGCCGGCAACCAGAAGCTCCTGAACCTAGCACGAGAGCTCACTGAACGGATGCATGCTCCTTCTTGCGAACACGAATATCTCCTGCACCCTGGAAACACAAATGCGTGGTCCAAAGTCGTTGGCCTTCTTTGTGAGAACAATGACTATGTGATAGTTGACGAGTTCACTTATCCATCGGCACAGGCTTTGTGGATTCCATTGGCTATCAAAGCAACGCCTGTCTCAGCCGATGAACAAGGAATGTCTGCCACAGGACTGCGAAAGATGCTGACAACCTGGGATGAAACGTCTATGGGTCAAAGGCGACCTCGGCTGTAGGTCAATATGAGCAAACTTTGAACAATACTGACAGTTACCTACAGTCTCTACCTTGTCCCTGTAGGCTCGAACCCAACAGGCGTCACAATCTCAGCTCAGCGGCGACGGGAGATCTACGCAGTCTGTGTCGAATTCGGTGGGTAAACGGTTCATAAGATCTGTCCTCGATTTTACTAACCCTCTAGATATCATACTTGTCGAAGACGACCCATACTATTGCCTTCAGTTCCCAAAGTCCACCATCAAGGAGCAAACCTTCACGCCTGTATCATCCAACAAGTTTCTCGAATCGTTGATACCCTCTTTTCTCTCGATGGATACTCAAGGACGTGTCATCCGTCTTGAGTCATTTTCCAAAACTCTCTTCCCAGGCCTGCGGCTGGGCTTCTTTGTGGCCAACTCAGTATTTACGGAGAGGCTACTACGGGTTACTGAAGTTGAGACTCAAGACCCAGCTGGACTGAGTCAAGCATTGACTTTGGCACTCTTCCAAAACTGGGGCATTGATGGATATTTAACATGGCTTCAGAGACTTCAGTTTCAGTACAGAACCAGACGAGATTGGCTTATCACAGCCTTCAAAGATTCTTTCACAGTTGTTCCGGCGACCAAGTCACCAGTGCCTAAGGCTCAAGGCAATGTTGCTTGCATCTCAGACTCAAATGGTAGGCTGCTGCCTGTCTTCAGTTATATCGAACCCGAAGCAGGGATGTTTGTCTGGTCAAAGTTCTACTTCCATGGGGTCCGTCAGTTCACTGAACTTCGGGATGGAAAGGTTGAAGACCCAGAACAGGCTTTCGCCACCGAACTTTGGGAAGCAATGGCGGGTGAACTAGTGCTTCTTACTCCTGGGTCTTACTACCACGCTTGGCAAGGCCTCGACAAGACTTCCACCGCAGCTAGAGGGGCAGATCCAGAGTCTGCATTTTTCCGGTTCTCGTTTGCAAGTCCATCTGTAATATTGGCTTCCTCATTTTTGCAGAATGTGCATGCTAACTTATGTACAGAAAGAACAGATTGAAGAGGGAGTCAGACGGGTGAGAAACGTTGTAGGGCAATTTTGGGATGTTTCTGTATAGGACTTGTGTCGCATTTATCCGGCATCTTGACATTCAGTCCATGCTATCTATGCACCCCTCTCGAGGGGCGATCAAACAAATGTTCCCCAAAAGTTCTCAAAGAACCCCTCGGATAAGTCCAGATTACCCAGATCGAGATCGGGATTCTGGAATAATGTCTGAAAATCCATGTTCATTTGTTGTCCCTCTTGGTTGTCCTGGAAAGTCCTTAGTACCTCCTCAATGATGATCTTCCCCCTGGTGGCACCAGACCAGGTCACTTCCAAGTCTCCTAGAAGCTGAATGCAGAGATGTAAGTCGGTATCTTCCCGTATGCTCTCCGGGTTCGTCATTCGTAACCTGTCAAGATCTTTGTCAGCAATGTATGCTGCCTTCTTTCTAGTGTACCTACAGGACAAGGCCAGATATAGTGAGGTAGTTCACGCATAATGCTAGATAGTGGGAAGGTGGTACAAAGTCTCTCATATGCCTCGAATTATTAATGCAACTCCTGGCAGCGGTTACACAATTCTCTACGGTTTGTCGCTGGCTGAATGAATGCTTTCTACGGGCAAAAGTCCTGGAATTAGCGTGTCAGTGCTATCTTCTTTTAATCCAGAGAATTGTTAAAGCTTACTGGTATAAAGCAACGAGTGTTCCATCGTGTATGATCAAGCTTTGGACAGACAGCTCAGACTTGGATCCTGCACTCATAATGCTGGCAGAATGGCTTATGATTAGCAGACGTTCAAAAAGGTCGAATGGTCACACTACCTCTCGGATGATTGTAGGTGTTCTGGAAGGTCTTTGAGCCAGATGTCTAATGACTTCTCTTGCCCTAGCGCTAGATCCATGACCCTCTTTTGCCCAACCTTAGTTCCAAGGTCGCGTATCTCGGTGGGCGATTGGATACTTTGCACTTCACCAGATACCTTGCAAAGCCCTATTAGATCTAAAAAGCCTGATACAGCTGATCGTGGGTTCATGTCATGGTCTAAAGTTCCCTCCAGACTGTATAGTGTATCCACTTCCTCGTCTCCAAGTGGGAGCGGCAAGGCACAGCAGCAGTCGCTATCATTTGCGGCCATTGGTCTTCCAAGACATACAGAAACAATCCTACGGCGATTAGTAGACAAGATAGCAGCTGATGCATGGACATACCTATCGAGGCAATAGATGCTCCACCAGATCCTTCTGGAAAGTTCAACCTCAATTGAATCTGCTGGACTCCGTGGTGAGGCCGTGGCTGACGGTGTCTATCTTTTGTCAGTCGACTTATTTAATATCAAGAGCCCTCCTCACTGACTACTTCCAGATGCATTCCCAATTCTTGACAAGCCCTTACGGCTTGCCCAGCAAAATGCCAGCTCGTTGATAGAGTATTCCAACCAGCGCAGCACATCGAGATCAACCCTAGACACTGGGTTCGGGACTTTGTAGCTTGTCCAGTTGTAGCGAAATGCAAGAGAAGAGCTCTCTCATAGAACTCAAGTCCAGGAAAGGATGAGTGATTCCCGTCAGGGGCGGTCAAACTTGATGCGCAAGCACATACCGCAAAGAAGACTGAAAGGAATCCACTATCGTGTATAGAACCTCTTTGTGATGTGTATAGACTCTTGTAGCTTTCGGTAAAATGCGGCTTGTAAAGCACAGGAAAGGTATAGTGGTAATGCTCAAAATATAGGCCAACTAGCATATCAGCCATGTACTTTGGTGGTAGATTCATGTCCTCGGCCTTGGGGAGGTAAGGTAGGTCGCGCCATCTTAGACCATGAACAAAAAAAGGAAGCTCAGGCTGTGGTTTTCTTATCACCTGAGTTGTGTCCTGTTGGCTTGCGGTGGAGAAAGGGGAATTATCGGAGCTCTGGCACGGTGCAAGAGTCAAACTGTCAATCGCCTGCAACAGAAACTCGTTATTCGCGCCGCCAATGAACCTACTCCAATCAGCACACCGAACAAGCAGAGCTTTGGAGGTCAAACCTTAGACCGCCATAGGAGTCGTGAACTAAGGAACCAAATGCTTGAGTTCCGGACTCTCCTTGATGATTCACTTGCTCCTGACTTTTGTCGGTATCCTGCTCCTGTGTATCTCTTGGCCGTGATTGAGAGGCATCATTATTTCCGAGGCCAGCAATGCTGCTGGCTGCTGTTGACATATCGTCCTGTTGAGGTTGCAAACTCTGATCGGGCAACACAGGTGGAGATTGGTGGGAACACGTGTTAGTACACTCTCCCTGTGGTAGTTTGTCGATTGCTTTTGTTAGTTGTGCTGCTACAACCTGCAACTTCTGACAAATCTCATCAAGCTCCCGATAACGAGCTTCATACATGGCTGCATAACTACAAGACGTCAACATTGATCCATGATTAGATATGGCACCAGGTCAGAGACTTGCGACTGTGAGATGCATTGTCATTGCTGCCAGGATACTCGCATGCAAGGTCGCGGGAGTCGCAATTATGACAAGGGTTATTTCCGTCGCACTTGATCTACTGCAGGGTAAGATAGTCTACCGTACACAAATGGGTCATTCAAGACAGACCTTTTTCCTTCGACAGGTCACGCACGCCTGCCAGACTCGTGATGTAATGACGTCGTGTGAGCTCATGATCCTGATAAGGATCTTGATAATGCTGGATGCTGTAAATGTGATTAGTTCATCAAAGAGTAACTGGACAAATGAACGACGTTATTGAGGGTTTAGGAGCAATACCCGGAGATGAAAGGGCGCGACAAATGGCCAGCGATATCGGAATCACTTCTGTTGGCCGAACCAGGAAGCTTATCTCCATTCCTAACGTTATCCCCATCACGAATGAGGAGACTGTTGATAGTGCCAATCTCTCGAACGCGGGGTTGACCCACTCCGGACCGAGCTCCGGCCGAACCATATCATGTAAGCCATCATATCAACTTTGGCCAGTTGACCGATCTACTATTGACTGCTCTATTATACAGATAACACTCGCTATGGCTTATCAAAATGCCTCCCCTGTCGTCAATGCCTTCGGGAAAACACGCCTCCAGGAATCCTTAGAGCGAGCTAGAGATCGTCAAGGTCCAAGCCTGGGACAATGGCTTGCTCTACCAGGACATGCTCTCGCCAAAACCATTGCACCTCTTGGTGAAGATGTCAGTTAGCCCACTCACCATCACTTGAAATGCGACTGACTTGGATAGTGGGTTCTCATTGACTGTGAGCATGGTCACATCGACGATTATAACATGTACCTTCAAATCAGTGCCATATCATCAAGTGGCGTGTCACCTGTCGTCAGAATTCCAGCCGGTGAACCTTGGATGGTGAAGCGAGCATTAGATGCAGGTGCCCATGCGATCATGGTGCCGATGTGCGAGACAAAAGAGCAGGCGATGCAGATTGTTGAATCGGCCAAATACCCCTCAAAGAGTTACCCGAATGGTTTCCGAGGCACTGGAGCCATGTTTGCCCCAGCTGCTTTCAATTTGACCGGCCGTGAGTATTTGCTCAACGCAAATAGCAATGTGATGATATTCGTCCAAATCGAGTCTCGCAAAGGCGTGGAAAATGTTGAAGAGATTGCCAAGGTCGATGGTATTGGTATGTCGCTCTCCACGCTGGACTTCATCACAGGTTTACTGATGCTGCTGTAATAGATATGCTTTTTATCGGGCCAAATGACCTTGCGTCTTCTCTAGGCTATGTTGCTTTCGATCATGCAACAACACCGGAAGTGCAACAGGCGACTCAACGGATTCTAGACGCAACTTTGGCCGCTGGAAAGTATGCAGGACATTTTGCTCTTGATGCAGCAACTGGTAGATGACAGCGCCCAATCTCTCCGAAAGACTGTGTCTGGTATGCTAACTGTTGAGTAGCTGCTCAGCGATATGAACAAGGCTTCCACTTTGTGAACTGTGGTGCGGATATTGTGGCATTGACATCTCAGATGTCAGCCGAGATACGGAAGGTGAAGGATCTAACGACAAAGGACTTGGCCTATAATGCCGCAAATGGAAGCGGATCGGAAAATGGCGTGAAAAGCTTGGACGGGAGGGGAAATGGTAGTGTGGATGCCGTGAAGCTCTACTAGTAGATTACAGATACAGCATGCATAATAGGCTGCCGCGAACCCTGAGGAAAAGTTCAGCTCGGATCTCCATTACATTAAGAGATGTATAGCTACGATTTATACTCCATAATGAACATATGGAACCCATTGCGGCAATCTAGAGACATCTTCATCATCATCATCCAAAGCTTCAATGTCACGAGTATCCGACGCCGTTCCTCTCTCATCTTGCAGAATGGATCTTGCCTTCCTCTTACGACCACGAGTCGGAGTCTGTTCTCTGAACCATTGATCTCGCCGCTCTAATGTCGCTTTATGTAAGCCTCGACATACCGACTCATCTGCCGAGTCACCTCGCTGAATAGCTTCGTAGGTGATCCTTGCCATATGAACACTGATATCATCACCAACCTCCCAAAGAGTACCGATGACATGACGAAATCCAGCTAGTTGAAAGGCACTGATCAGATGAATGCTTTCATCAAGGAACTTCTCGTGGGCAATCTGTCCAGTGCCGCATGCCGAGAGGTATGCAAGGAATGGTGAATATTGCTGGATGTTGGTTTCCAGAAGGGTTGAAACAGTTAGAGGTTCATCTTGTAACAGAAGACTGCTTTGGGAAGGGTCGCGCAGGTTCGTGGCGCCGTGGCCAGCGAAGTGGAAGACCTTACACTCTGGAAACTGCGAAACAATGTCTTCTTTAATACCTTTGGGTTCAACTACCTCAAATCCTTTGGACTCGCAGATGGGACGTAATTGAGTTATTTCTCTGCCTGCTGAAGGGAGTGTACTGTACCCTGGTGTTCGCTCCATGGATACAAGCACGGCCCGCTCGTTGCCCAAGGGAAACGGGTTTAGACCTGCACGACTCCGAGTCCGGATAATGGCTCTGAGAGACGAGCTATACGATGACATAGCTCTGTCGATCACGGTGTCTCGCGATCCTTTATAATGTCGGCCAGCTGCATGGAGAGGGTATATGCTCAATACGCCTGTTGGGATCCACCAAATCCGTGGCAGGCGTTCTTCAGGAGAAACTTCATTGACTCCTAGTGCACCAAGGACGGGTTCAGCTATAGTATGCCACAGCCACTCGAGTATCTTTGGACTTGAAGTATGGCCCTGTTGGGTATTGGACCTTATATCTAGGATTGTAAGCTGAGGCAAAGGAATGCTGCGAATCTGGTCGCTCTCCACGACAATTGCGTCACGACGGAACTCGCTGGTATCGATAACAATAATGGCTCCAGGAATTGCAGTATTCTTGATGCTGAATTCGCTTGGCGCAGAGAGAAACTCTTCAAATCCGGGCCTTTGGCGGATCTCGTCGAGTAGTCTATGAAGCTCGCCGAGGTCATGGTTCATTCCGGCATGCCGGCCTGATGATGAAGGCCTGTGGATCTCATCACTGGAATAACCGACAGCTCCAAAAGAACTGATTTGACCTTGCAATCGGTTTAGACTCTCAGCGAGTTCGGGATGCTCAGTCCGAAGATCGAGGCTTTCCATCCGTGATTCTTCAACGGAAGCTGCCATCAATCCCCGTCCTTGTTCAAGAAACCGCAATGCAGCAAGTGCTCCTCTGTTCGCCGAGAGTGCCACAGCTGCTGAATCAGATGATAAGCCATAGACTTGGACCAGTGCACCTTGCTTATCAGCATTGCTCGTAGTCTGTGCGATGAGATGAGGAACAAGATCCATCGCAGTTTTGACAGCTTCATAAGCCTTATCCCAGTCAGGTACTGCCGCGTAGTACTGGACAAGTCCTTTTCCTGCGCGAATGCGAGACTGATCGTCAGTGCTAGGACTATGTAAGGCAGACTCTAAGTGTGCAATGGCGGCATCGAGATGTTCTTTTTCTTTCGTCTGCCAGAACAAATCACCATAACGACCGCCTTGGTTAACCAGCCTGCTAGCGCGTTCCGGGTGGCTTTCTTCTGTGGCATCCAGTGCTTCTTGTCCATAACGGATAGCTTCGTGCAAATGGCTCGACACTCCAGTTTTCTTGGACATGTCACTCAACTGCACTGCCAGGGTGTTGAGACAAGCAGCTCTATTCGCATGATCTTCCGGTGTCAAGTCGACAGCCTGCCGCCCAAGTCTCAACGCCTCTTCAAGGTCCTCCAAATTTTGTGTCAGTTTGTATTTCGTAGTGAGAAGGGTTGCAAGGTTGTGAAATGTAACAAATATGTCGGGGTGATTCTTATGGGCGGCCTCTACAGACTTTCTCTGCACACTGATTGCCTCCTCAAGAACGTCTGGATCATCTGTTCTGAAGTATTCGTGCTTCAAGATGATTGCTAGGTTGGAAAGGTGTTTTGACTTGCTATCGTCGTCGGGGCTCAGTTTACAAGCCTTTCGTCCGACTTGTATCGCTTGTCTCAAATCACCCACGGTTCCGATCCTTCTATATCTTCGACTGAGCTGAATGCCAAAGTTGCTGAGACATTTGTGTGTGTCCAAATACATCTCATCGTCTTCGATACGATCGCAGACCATTTCGAAATTGTGGATAGACTCTTCGAGATCTCTGGTGCTTCCTGTCTTGAGGTATCGATCAACGAGGAAGTTAGCATAATTGCTCAGCTGAGCCATGCGCTCCAGACTATCTTCTTCAGTGACTTCAATAGCCTGCTTCACAACTTCGATGGCTTCTTCGAGATCGCTTTGGTCTCCATGTGTGTCGTACCTTTCGCTTAGTGCTAGCGAAAGGTTACTGAGTCTCTCGAGAAGCTGGGGCGAGTTTTCAGCCGTCTGTGCTATGACATCATGACATATTTGAATTGCTCCGTCGAGATCTTCCTTTTTTCCAAGGATTTGGTGTCGGGCTGTAAGAGGAGCAGCCAGGTTGGCTAGAAAAAGAATACGCTTCGGATTGCTGATTGGTGTTACCTCCACAGCTTCTCGTTGGACTGCAATGTTTTCGTCGATAACTCCTAGTTCTCGCGTCTGCATGAAGAGCAACCCTAGCTTTGTGGATAGCTGATCAAGGATTGTTCCTCGGTGTGGATAAGTTTCTGAAAGAGCTGCAATCGCGTCTCGCGAAGCTTTAATGGAGTCTTGAAGTCCTTCTAAATTTTGTGGATCACTTCTTGGGTATTTCTCGTGCCAGTAGACAGAGAGGTTGATCAGACGTGGAGTTCGCTGTTGGTGACTTTCTGGCGTGAGATCAATAGCCTTGATTGCCATGCTGATAGCCTTGTCAAGGTCGGCTATCAATCCGACTCTTCTGTATCGGGTGAAATGTCGATGAGCGACTTTGAATATCTGATTTGATAATTCAGGATCGCTATCAGAAATGGCCTGGAGAATTGCCTCCTCGACCTTGATTCCTTCAGGATCCGTCATGATAGGCGATAAGGTAGATGAGTCTGCGGCTACAACTGCGTGTTTATACAGGTAACGAGCAAGATAGAAGCAAACAGTTAGGTAGTACGATTGTGAAGAGACAACTAGTACGTTGAGTTTGAGCTTATCTATTGCATGATTAATACCCCGCTTGAATGCATTCAAGGTAAGATCGGGCTGAAAACGGCATGCTGTGTGTGTACGGTCGCTTCTTCGGAGCTGGAGCCTATAAGGAGTCAGACAGCCTCTTTGAGCTCTTAGTGAGCGTTGTTTACTTGCTGGCGAGGCTATATGAGAAGATGAATGATAGAACAAAATAGGTATTACGAGGGACTTCAATAGTCAATTGATAGGCGATTTTGCTCTGTGGTATGATACTGACAGGCACGATTTCAGGTGCATGTTGGCTTTGTCGCATCACAAACTTTTGCTCTTACTCTATGAGAGACTTCAAAAATTATGATGGTGAGCAAAGACTACTGGGACATACTGAGTCACAACCACAGCTATTCTAGGGTTGCCAACAAAGGCCAGTGATATTGATGAGACGTTGCTGGGGAGGCTAATTTGTAGGGCGTCGGAGGAATCAGTGGCAATATTGCAAATAGCATGGTTGACCTTACTCCAGAATACTTACAAAGCCTTGATCACAAAAGGACTTGTGAATATCCGTGAGCCTTGTGAAATTCGGAAGAAAGGCAGAAGACGAGAGCTTCAAGTGCAGTGAGACATTCAGTAAAGTTAATGGAACTGTTGCTGGGAGTGCTTATCTTCAGCCTTCAGCTAAGGACGCTTATTGGCCCGTAAGTGAGTCCCCCTCTTGCAGTTAGCGGTGGATGAAACTCGGACTCTTCGCAATGGAACACTCAACTTCGGAGAACCCGATATCGTATCATGCAGGACCTCGTCATTCCATGTCCTTGATTTGGTTGTCTTATGTTACACTGCAATGCAATTTCCAGGTATTTGAAATACCAAAACTTCTGTACTTGTCGCATCTTTTGTCTGGGGCGGTGTTGTTCCGCTTCCTTGTTGCACCGTGACATAGATGGCTTTCATGGGATGTCATTGCATGTTGGTTCAGCCCGCAACGCAGCCATTAATTCTTGCCGCGTATCACCGCAGCCCTAGCCTAGCCTCCACCGGCCCTGAAATTCTTCGAAATACTGTGCTCCCCCCCGTCACTATTTTTCACTGCTGTTTACGACAATTCTTGACTTGGCCTTCAATCCGCTCAGGGTCACGTTCTTTAATTGACCCCTAGTATTTCTTGTGCTTAAACATTGTAAACAGCATCTAACAAATTGTATAATACTAGTTACGAAACTCGCCGAGATGTTTGTAGCCTAAACTTGTCAGATCGATGCCTCCAACGATGGATCAATTATAAGGCAGCTCCGCGAAGTATCGCGGGCAGCAACAACAGAAGGACAATTTGGGGTTGACATCACAACGTCCATCCCTTATCAGGTTGAACGCATGTCAGATGCGACAGCTGCTGAGAACCAGGGTCATGGGCCAGCGGATATTTTTGGCCGACACCGTTACCAAAACAGGCAAGCCACTGAGTCTGTTTTGAACCTTGGCACGGTACTTGCGGCTCACCATACAGACGGCTCGCAACGGAACGCAGCGCTTCAATGCTACTTTGTATGAGCACGGCCAATATAATAGAATCAAATGCTGCATTCCGCTTCCTCTTGGAGGGTTCTAATTCCGCACCATCCATGATGATGCGGCATAAGCAGCCATGGTGTACATAACGACCATCTTCAATGCTTCTCATCCGAAGGGCGGTTGCAACGGCATCAGCCCTTAACACAACGGCATCCTTGATTCTGAGGTCCCAGTATAAATATGTCTGCTTGGCCCCTCAGAAATAACAGAACAGCACATCATCCGCAACAATCTTCTTACTCAATACTCTACTTTCTATCCAAGCTAGAAATCCACTGCATCATCCACCATGTCTCAGATCAAAGTTGGTGACTACCTCTTCCGCCGTCTTCACGAGCTCGGCATCCGCTCAGTCTTTGGCGTTCCAGGAGACTACGAACTTGCCCTCCTGGATCTCGTCACAGGCAACGACCTCGTCTGGAAGGGTAACCCTAATGAACTCATCTCTTCTTACGCTGCAGATGGCTATGCTCGTGTCCGTGGCGCGGGAGCCTTTGTCACCACCTTCGGTCCTGGTGAACTATCCGCGTATTGTGGTATGGCTGGCCAATACGCGGAATTTGTTCCTGTTGTGCATATCGTTGGCTACCCAACTGTCGATGCTGTCCGCAACAGGAGAATCATGCATCACAGTCTTGGAAACGGGAAGTTCGACATGTATGAGAACATGGCTAAGAACATCACCGCTGCAACTGTCGTGATCAACTATGCACCTACTGCGGCCCGAGAGATCGATGAAGCGCTTACTGTTATGATGCGTGAGAGTAGGCCCGTCTATATCGGGCTCAGCGTCGATATTGCGTACGAAATGATTGATGCCGAGGGGCTCAACGTCCCAATTCCTACCGAGCTGCACCCAAACGATTCAGGTCTCGAGGGGATAGTTGTTGAAAAGATCAGAAAGCTGATGGAGAGATCGAACAACCCAGCTGTTATTGTTGATGGAGGCAATTTCTAAGGTCCCAGTTGCACAACCAACCTCACTAACTATCTTAGGTGCTGTGCGCAACGGTGTACTCGAAGAATCGCATGAGCTGATCAAGTTGACCAACCTCCCAACCTTTACTACCGCGATGGGCAAAGGGGGCCTTGATGAAGCCATTCCCCAGTTCGCAGGTGTCCACTCCGGGGCTGGCACTCTGCCCGCCGTGAAAGAGGCGCTTGAATCTGTTGACACAGTCATCTGGATCGGCAACTATCCTTCTGATTTCAACACGGGCGAATTTACGACTGTTGTAAACAAGGATGCCATTGTTATTGGCCTCCAACGTTTCGCGGTTTCGATTGGCAAGATCCAGTACCCGGTCTCAATGAAGCATGTGTGTATAGCTTACAGTCACTTTTGGCAAAGCCAGCTGACTCTCTCAGATTCTGCAACGCCTCGTCAATTCTCTTCGTTCGAACCCAATTTCCATGGCTTCGCGACACATAACTTGGGATCCATATCCAAAGTTCAACTTTCAGGCCAGCGACGACCTGAAGCAAGATTTCCTCTGGGGCGTAGGTCACTCCGATGCATCTTCCAGTGAAGGCTGATACTTACGGAAACAGACACTCAGCTCCTTTTTCCGCCCCGGTGATGTTATCATTGGTGAGACCGGTACCTCCGCTTTCGGCCTGTGCGATACCAAACTCCCCAGCGGAGTGATGATGTTCAACCAAACCGTATATGGCAGTATTGGGTATGCTACTGGTGCCATCGTTGGAGTTGGTCAGGCTATCAAGGAAAGCGAAGGGAAGTGGAAGAGGCCTGTCCTCGTCACTGGAGAAGGCTCCATGCACCTCACTATTCAGGCACTGGCAGATATGCTGCGGTGGGACCTCAAGCCAATCATGTAAGCATCCTCTTCTCATTTCTGACGGCAGTCTTTAGCGTCTGCTAACATGATCCAGATTCGTGCTCAACAATGGCGGATACACAGTCGAGCGTCTCATTCACGGCAAGGAAGCCTTTTATAATGAGGTCGCAGTTCTGGACTATTCCATGCTCGGCAAGACTTTCGGACCAGCATTCGAATCCAAATACCACGGTCCTATCAAGACTTGCGGAGAGCTATCGTCACTCCTTCGAGACCCCAACTTTGGCAATGTAGGCTGCCTTGAGGTAAGACTTCACCCTATTTCACCTTGATCGAGAGACGTTGCTGATGAAATGCAGTTGGTCGAACTCATCTTACCTCCTCTCGACGCACCTTCTGCTGTCATCAAGACTGGTGCCGCGATCGATGCATTCAACAAAGCCAAGGCTGAGCAGGGGCCAGCGGTATCCAAGGTGCTTGATGTTTGATCCTATCGTGGTATGAGTGCTCAATATGGAAATTATATTGAATTTCAAATCCCTTGCTCTGATCAGTACTTCACTTCAGCCAATGTTCAACGCATTCTTGAGAGCCTTGACCCCATCGACAGTAATGGGTTTGAGGTGACGTCATTAGCTCTGTAGGCGCGCCCTACGATTGACCGCATCCACATTTTGTACTCCACCATCCATCGAAATACAACACTCTGAGAAGACGTCCGCTCTGTTGCATTGGAATACTTCAAGTAAACATTCTGTCTAATTGCCAATAGTCGGGGTAGCTCTCAAGTGCGCAACCATGTCGCTAATGGCCAACGATCCTGGCGAGCTCTCTCTGAGCAAGCTCCTCTCAACTCTCACCCATACAGCCCATCCAACCACTTACGTCTTCGCCACGTTCACCGACACCTCCAATCTACCACCCCTGTCCGAAACGCAGATGATCTTCAAGGAGTCCGAGGGAGTCACTGTTATTGTCAGCAAGGACTACGCAGAGTCACACAAGATCGATTACTTCTTCCCATGCAAAATGATCAGTCTCAACGTCACCTCGAGCTTGGAAGCTGTCGGATTCATGGCGGTTATCGCGACGAGACTGGCAGCCAAGGGCATTGGTTGTAACCCTGTTAGTGGTTTCTATCATGATCATATCTTTGTGCCTCTTGGTCGGGAGGAGGAGTCATCGGAAGTGTTGGTGCGATTAGCGGCGGAGAAGAGGGAGGAGACCGAGAAGGCATAAGAACAAGAGCCATGGAGGAACAATTATCAGTCTTGGGGGATCCTTCGATGTACAAGGATAAGATCATGGAAGTTTATCTATGTCCAGTAAGATACTGCTTCCCAGCAGCCAGAGCTAAATTACCGAGACATCACTTCAAAAGCCACTTGATGCTTTCAACAAGATCTACAGCTGCTTTCTTTCCTTGACTTAAATGCGCGAAGGCACCCCAAAAGATATGAGGCATGCCAGGATAAATATCCAACCGCGTCTCAATTCCACTATCCTCGCGCAAGACTTGCTCGTAGATCAGAGCCTCGTCGCGAAGGACATCCATTCCACAAACCTGGAAATATGTCCTAGGTAAGTCGTGGTGACCCGTTGGCCAGATGAACGGAACAAAGAGATGCGAGGATATATCCCCAGCTGCAGAGTCGTGGAAAACCTTGTCCAGAGCTGGGGTGAGAATAGGATCGCCCTTACACTCAGCTTGGGTCCGAGAAAGATAAAGGTCCTTGTACGTCTCAGGCAGTGCAACTTCCTTCTCTGGTGGCAGTATCATTGGAGCGAGCAGAAAAACGCCAGTTATCGCAGGAGTCAGCTTCTCATCTCGGGCCAGGTGGCTGGCTATCGCAGCCATGTTTCCTCCAGCTGATGAACCACCAATGATGAAACCCTTCGACAGTGAAACCCTCAGCTCGGGCTCAGCGTTCGTAGCAATCCATTTCAAGCTGTCCCAGACATCGTTTATGCTAGCTGGAAACGGGTCTTCAGGTCCTTGCCGATAGGAAGGCGCCAAACAAACGACCCCCAGCTTTTGTACAATATCACGACACGAGCGCTCAGCATCTTCTGGAGATCCGATAGTCCACCCGCCACCATGGATGTAAACGACAAGCGGCGGGGTTGAGCCAGAGTTGTTAACCGGTTCGTAAACATGAGCGCGCAACTTGTGGCCATCTCTTGCAGTGTAATAGATATCGCGCTCAACAACACCACTCTCTGGATCAGGCAGCTTATGCAGGCTTTTCATATACCATCTCAAACTTGCGATTGCCTTCGCTGGATCAGAAGTGTCAATCTGGGGAATAGTTATTGTTTTGAGGTACTGCACCAGATCAGTCTGGACTCATCCATGTGAATGCTGGAGACTTACGTCGTCCAGCTCGGGATCAATAGCTGCGAGTTGCAGTCGTTCCTCTCTTGAAAGTGCCATCTTAGCAGTTGCGAGCGTGGTCACGATATCAGCGATTATCTAGAGTGTGTATGAGTGAAAGGTGAATGGCCCGTTCAAAAATTCGACCTCCCGGAGTTAACGGTCTTATCGCATGTGGAAGTGAACAATGGCTCAATGTAATCCATTTTGGGCTTACTACTATACTAAGAGTTCTCACGTCGGTATTAAGATTCGGACATAATAATTACATCCTCTCCTCAGGTGTCCCTACATGTCGCCTTCCTGATTCTCCTTCAGATACCAGCACCGGCCTTCAAGACTGTCTAGGCTTGCTTATTGGCAGCTCACATAAGCACCAATCCCCCTTATCCAATCAGGTTGACATTATCCGTGGCTTCAGGCCTCTTTTCGGAGAAGGCCTTAGACTCTTCCTTTCGCTGACTATCACCCAGCGAAACACGTCTCCTAGCATCAATATACACCATGTACTCTTCATACGTATGCGGCAAGACCTTAAGATCTTTGGGCACGGAGAATGTGTAGTTGAACTGACCAGTTGGCTTTGCGACACCATGCTCAACATCACGGACCTTACTGTCAACACGGACATGCACACGAGTCATGGGCTTCTCCGGATCCGGGAAGCCAGGCTCAGTACCGTCTTCCTCCAACAGCGGAGGATCGGTGTATGCGACAGTAGCGGTTAGGTACAGAACACTGCCGACGGGAACCGGATTTCGGAACGTGCAGGGATCAGCGCTGATAAAGGTCGGTCGCGCATGAGCAAAACTGGCCGCACAACAGAACGCTAGCTCAAAGGTTTGCTTCAAATGGAAGCCACCAAAGATCATGGTCTGGTGACGATTTCGGTACTGAGGTTGCATGATCGCAGCCGTTGAAAGCTGGGTCTTAGACATAGCGACGACGTTGGAAGGTTGGCGAAGGTCATTATTCGGATCGTGGTATGCAAGTTGTCGCAACCAGATTTGATGAATCAGAGCGGATTCGGTATCGTTAGGTTCAGTCTGAAGAAGTGAAGCCTTAGAATTCTCCTTCTTGGACAGCGACTTAGCCTCTCCAGCCTTGAAGATCTTCTCTTCCTCCGCATTGGTGGGGACCAGCTTGGGGATGTTGACTGGCTTTCTTGTGTTAGGGTCCAGGGCGACCATGGTGAAGGTGCATGTCAGAAGGACATCCTCTGGCTTGCTAGGTTCGCCTTCTTCTCTGGCCTTGGCAACTTTGCAGGTGATTTCGACACTACTCCTGCCAGAGGCATAAGTGACTTGACCGCTGTACTCGAGATCGCAAATCTCTGTAAGTGGGTGCGCTATTGTGATGCGGTCCAGAGCGGCGGTCACCGTTGTAACGCCAGGGCCGGTATGCTTGTAGACGATGATGCCAGAGAGGGCATCGAGGTCCATGAATAATGTTCCAAGTCTATCAGTTTGGTCAGTTTGATACGTATGATTGAGTCAATCGGCGCGGTTACCTTATGTGACCCGAAGAGTTGACATAAGTGTCTGAGAGCCAAGGGTCTTTCTTGAGCGGGAGTACGACGCGATGATAGCTGTCGCTCATTTTCTTGGGGGTCAGATCGCGTTCCTTGGGATAGTCATCGGACTTATGAGCCGGCAGACCCTGTTGCTGACGCTCGAACGCCTCTATCCACGGCATCGGTTGCCTCTTATCCTCGAGGCCCTGAAATACGCCATCTGTTTTTCTTGGTGTTGTTGTATGGAAGCTGTTGGCATTGGGACGCGCCAATGCAGGGTTGGCTGGTCGCAGCACATGTGGCCTGCGCAGCGAAGCGACAATGCTTCTTGCTTCTCGACTTCTGGACATCATGGTGAGTTGTGAAAATGAAGTTCAATTGTTGATGGTCGTGTGACGCAATGTTCAAGTTCGCTGGCGGATCTGATTTAGCGAACCGGAGAAACCCGATAAGTCAGCGAGACGCTAAGATAAGACCCTCGCGGACTTTGATAACCGAGCTTGTAATGAGACTTGAGCGGATGAAACCGGCTTCATGGAAATGTATCTGCGGTACAATAATTCCAGTAAATCTTCTGCAGAAGGCGATCGAATATTTTTTATTCCGATTGTCAGTTAAAGTCGATGTTCCTGCATAATTGTATGGGTCTGGTGGTGGAACCGGCACCAAATTGATCAGCCAACCAGCAAAGACATTCGCTTATGCATCTGGACCTGGGCATATCCTTGCTTGTTGTGATATGTGACCTGCATGGAATATCCTATCATCCTGCGATGGCACTGGATGTCATATACCTCAAAACATCGATGGTGCGATGAAGTAGCGGGTGAGAAGACATTCATTTATCGTGAATTCGGCGGTAAAAGGATGTAAGTTCAGATAAGAATTACGTCAATTCATCAACTATTGTACAAATGGATTTAGCAATGTCTGTCCAAGCATCGCTGTCTCACAACTGTAATATCAGAATTCCAGCTTTGAGACATTGTCCCACTTCTCGTCAGAGTCAGCAAGAGCCTTGGCCGCCATATGAGCATATTGGAGCGCGTCCTTGCCCAGGATGATTCTCAGTGGGGGCTCCTCCACATTCGAAAGGTGAATAATAGCTCTAGCTATCTCAGAAGCCTCCGTCCACTCTGAGTGTCCCTTGACCAGCTGAATCATCTGGCCGACAGTCTGCTGATAAGGCTCGCTGACCTTGGCCGTCTCAGTGGCAGTGGTAGCCCACTCAGTCTTGATGCCACCAGGCTCGGCGACTGTAACCTTGATACCGAAGGGGGCCACCTCCTGTGACAGAACAGTTGAAAATCCTCCAACAGCCCATTTGGCACTCTGGTAAGCGGCTGCTCCGGGTGTACCGACGCGGCCTCCGACACTTGAGACTTGAATAACGTGGCCGGACTTTTGTTTGCGCATGATAGGCACGATGGCTTTTGTAACATTGACGACCCCGAAAAGGTTGACGTCAACCTGCTCGCGGAAGCCTTTTATATCTGCATCTTCGATGGATGCCATGTCTGCGTAGCCGGCGTTATTGACGACCACGTCGATGCGGCCAAACTTGTCAATGGCTTCCTTGGCTGCCTTGTTGGCTTGGTCGAAGTCTGTTACATCAAGAGCGGTTGCGAGGATCTTATCGGATCCATATTTCGCGACGATGTCATCGAGTTGAGATGGGTTGCGAGCAGTTGCGACGACGATATCGCCCGACTCAAGGACTTTCTCGACCAGTGCGCGGCCAACTCCTCGAGAGGAACCAGTGATGAACCAGACTCGTGCCATGTTGGAAGGGTAAGTGTTGTGTGACTAAAAGAGGATATTGCAGTGATTTAGTTGTTGGAGAAACTTGAGTAGATGCTGATGATCTAGTAGCTGTTGTAAAGGAGAAGGAGGCGATTTATATAATATGAATTGCTTTCACAGTTCCGACTGTTGCTCTCGTCTACAGTCCAAACAGCGGAGTTCAATACGAAAACTATGGCACGCCATACCTACTCAGCCCCATATTGGCATGAGGCTGTCCAGTAGAGAATGGGAATTCACAATGAGCATTGACGAAATCGAGAAGGTATTAACCTTGTTGTATGCACGTCGTGATCCACTCCGGGAATTGCAGCCTATCTCCGGGTGCTGGGGTGCATCGTTGAAGTCCGCTGCGCGGTGACGGACATAACTTCGCTGGGAGATAAGCGGCGTTTAGTCTTTCCAGCGTTACACTGCATGGAAGACGCCACAGGCCTGGCTTATCCATTGGCTTATTTTCTGAGTGGCTTCTGCTGTTTTGGGATACTGATTTTTTGGCTTACTGGCTTACGGCTGACGACCCACCGCCGCAGGGTAGTTTGGATCAAAAGGCGAAAACTCAACGTCAAGCTCTCTGTCTAGCCAGGAGATCAAATATTCAGATGCAAGAGTGAACATATCGGCTTGAATAGTGAAACATGATTGCTTCCTCTCTTCCCCAGACTTCCTCATTTTGTTCCTGATGCAACTATGTGTGATTGCTGCCCGTAATTGTTCACAGTCCAAAGTTTGATGCCCCACTTGCGAAAAGTGGGCGTCCACTCAAAGCACAACCCCAGAGAATTGTCATCACCCATGCTATTGTATCAGCCTTGGAGGGAACCAAGCTGAATTATTTGGGCTCGAAATGCGATTTATTGTAAGTAGACCTTGGCCAAAACCTGTCTGTGAGTGAGGCGCCTTTAAAGTAAGTCTGCCTTGAGATTAGCCTAAACCCCACTTCACATTCGATCTGCCTCGCGACAAGGCGACCGTCTTGCCTACGATCAAATGTTTGAGCAACGCAGCATCGATAATTTCTGTTCCATCAACTTCGACAGCATCTTGGCCCATCTTCAGTAAGCCTTGATATCGAATCAATGAGCGAGATGGTGAGCCCTAGCAAACCATGCAGCGTGTGTTTCGACATGTTGCAACCAGGTCTGGAAGCAGTTGAGAATAGCCTCCATACAGACTTCCAGCACCACAGTACTTTCTCTAGCTTCAAGCTGGCCGTAGAAGGTGGGTGCTTTATATGTACGAAGCTCTGGGACTCCGTGGAAGATGCCTCCATCGACGGCTGGTCCAACGAACCTGGTAGCTGGGTACCCTTCGGCTGAGGCCTGGGGCGATGGACTTGGGCGCCACGTTGATTCAGAGCTATTTATTGGCACATGAGATACCTGAGGTTTGGCATGCCGCCTAATTTTAAGTTGAAGTACAAAGGAAACGTCTTCTGTTTTCTTCCGTGCGAGGGTACGTTTGCTTCCCTGCCGATGAATCATGGTTCAATCACTAACGCAGTTAGATGAGAAGTCTTCCATGCTGGAAGAATGTTCAATCGGTCTTGAAACTAGCACATCATCAGAAAAAGTCCTTCAGCTGGCTTATGAGTGGTACGAAGCCTGCAGTGACTCACACGAATCCTGTCAGCGCTTGAGGTCTTCACCGAAGTTTGCTCCATCAAGGCTCATCGACATCAGTTCTGGTGATGACTGGAAACTCTGCTTATATCCACGGGATATACTAGACCCTCCAGACTATATGACTCTGAGCTACAGATGGGCCAAGAACCCTTCGATTGTTCTTTTGAACTCAAATCTTGAAGACTTCCGAAGGGGCGCACCGATTTCTCGCCTTCTCAAGACATTCAGAGAAGCCATCACTGTTGCGCGTCGGCTTTCAATCAAGTACCTATGGATTGACTCGTTGTGCATCATTCAAGATTCAACGGAGGATTGGGCCCGAGAATCACTCCAGATGCACCAAGTCTACGCAAACTCTGCCTGCACCATCCCGGTAACCGCTTCGGAAGGACCTGATAAAGGGCTATTCAGGAAGGCCCCATGATAGTTCTCATAACATATGGGGCGCACCATTGACCGTTACTATCGCGAGCAATATCCTGCACTTTGTGCATGTACCGAGGGAATCTGGGGAAATAGCGCGGACTTAGTTACAAGCGCACTAAGAAAGTTCCCTGGGACTAAGTGCTTATGGTGATCAACAAACCGTGGAGCAAGTCGATCTACAGGAGAATGCATCGGCCCTTCCATCGATCGTCTGTTTCCATGTTACCATCCATGAAACGATCCTTTTGCCCATTCAAGAACTTCACGCATATCGAGCATTACATGATCATTACAAACGTACATTTCTTGCTTCTGGATATCATGACCCGATCCCACGCAACTGCCGTATCTCATTACCATGGTGTTGCTCGGAGCGCGATTGGATGGAGCTGTCTCGGTCCTACTCACGGCCTTGGCTTCATTTGACCGGTTGGGGTATCGCGTGGAGGCGGAGCTAGTGTTTTCGGAAAGCTTGGGGATTGGTGATTGAAGAGGAAGAATTGGAGAGCCAGTCATTTACATGTCCGAAACAAGTGTTGGACGCAGGGGTCCCTGGACAGTATCCCACTTCACGGACCCGAAACTGCTCACGGGATCAGAAAAACTGCCGGTGAACTTGCTCAGCATCTTCACAGCCTAACAATTCAGATGAAGCTGAAGGACTTTGAAGATGAAAGACGGGGTCGATTTATATCAGAAACTCATCATTGGGTATTCTTCTGGGGTAAATCCGGCATATTCTTCAGCTGAGGGAGCTGATAGTATGCTATTTCTAGAGGGCTCAAGTGCCGACAGCTTCAGATCTTTATCATGAACCAATAACAATACCACAAAATAGCTATCCGACTCATAAACGAAGTTTCCCCAGCTTCTACCGACGCTAGAGCTTCTAGCGGGACCTCAACCTAGTTAACCGCAGTTCACCCAGTCCTTGAATCATATCAGGACATGTCCATGACTCGTGCAAGTGACACTTTGAACAGGCAATATCCGGCAAACTTCGCAAAGATCAATTAGACAACTGCGGGGTCGCCGAGTTCCTTTCCTGCCATGTACCCTTGCTGGTATTTCAGCTAAGTGGAACGAGGTGGTATCGAATTGTCCATCCCTTGTTCATATCATCCTATAATCTGGAGATCTGGGGGCGTTGGGAAAAAACCTGGAGACCCCGCGACGTTTTGTGACGACCCGTGCGGGAAGAGTTCCGTGCTGTTGGTGCCCGTGCAGCATCATACCGTGGTAGCTTATAATGGTCGTTGATCGCCCCCGTTTTGCGTTTTGGCTCTCCAGATAGCGGCTATCAACAACTCCACAAACCAACGATCCACTTTGCCAATTGAGCAGAATGGCCGTGGACTCCAAGATCCAGCCTCCGTCTGGGGGCATTGAGGCTGTTCTGCCGAACCAGACTACACCGTGGTATAAGCAAGCCCACTTGGTTAAACTCAATAGTCTGATCCTGGGCTTGGTCTGCTTCCGTGAGTTGCATAAGGAATGATCAATATGGTTCATGAGAACTGACTTGAACAAGAATCGGCAATCGGATATGATGGAAGTCTCCTCAACGGTCTTCAATCTCTACCCCAATGGAGCGACTTCATGGACCATCCTTCTGGTGAATGGTCCGGCTTCATCAACGCCATCTACTTCATCGGATTCTTTGTAGCGTGCCCTCCTAGCTCATGGCTCGCAAACAAATATGGTCGTCGTCTTCCAGCTTTCCTAGGCTTCATTCCGCTGGCAATCGGTACTGGTCTCCAGACAGGTGCTAAGACTGAGGCAGAGTGGATCGCGGGCCGTTTTATCCTCGGTATCCCGACTGCCATGTTCGCGACATCAATCCCTCTTCTCATTACTGAGATCGCGTACCCTAGCCACCGAAGTGTCATCACAGCTTTGACCAACTGTAACTATTTTATCGGTGGTATCATTGCAGCATGGGCGTGCTACGGCACCAGGAACTACACCGACTGGGCCTGGAGGATACCAACCATTCTCCAGATTGCCTTGCCTCTTGTTGCACTTCCTGCTTTGATCATGGCGCCCGAAAGTCCTCGATGGCTGGTATCTGTTGGACGAGAAGACGCAGCGCGGGAGACACTAGGAAAGCTGCACGCGGTAAGTCAAATTAGCATGATCGATGCGTATCGAACAGTTAGCTAAGTACTACTTTACAGGGCGGTGATGCGAACCACCCTCTCGTCGACTTCGAACTTCACGAAATTACAACCGCAATCGAGTCCGAGAAACAAGCCGAGAAGTCAAGCTCCTGGGCATCACTAGTATCCACTCCCGCCCATCGTCGCCGTCTCTTCATCACGGCATCATTGGCAATCTACAGTCAGTGGGTCGGTAATGGAGTCGTCAGCTATTACCTCTCTACTGTCCTTGCCACCGTGGGCATCACCAGCGTCACTGATCAGACTCTGATTATGGGATGTCTTCAGATCTGGAGTTTCTTGGCTGCAGTTGCTGGTGCCTCATGCGTCGAGAGACTGGGACGACGACTTCTTCTCATGATCTCTTGCGCAGTCATGCTTGTCAGCTTTATCCTAATCACTGCCATGTCAGGGAGCTTTGCGCAAACTGGATCACGATCAGTTGGAGTCACAATGATTCCATTTGTGTTCTTATTCAATGCTGGTTATGCTATCGCTATGTAAGTCAACTCTGTTTCACCCACGTATACTCTGGATCGCATCACTAACACAGCTCTTCATAGAACCCCTCTTCAGGTTGCTTACCCTCTTGAGCTTTGGCCCTTCCAGCTACGTGGCCGTGGAATCTCTGCAGCCTGGATGATTATGATCCTGGCCCTCATTTTCAACGTCTTTGTGAACCCAATTGCTTTGTCAGCTATTGGTTGGAAGTACTACATCGTGTATGTGGCTCTTCTGGTGTCCTATGGCTTCGTCATTTTCTTTTTCTATCCCGAAACACGTGGACGTACACTGGAGGAGATTTCGGTCATCTTTGGCGATGCACCAGATGGACTCTACTCTGATGAGCTTGACACGAAGCAGGTGATTGAAAAGGCTGATGTGAAGCATCTGGAATGAAAATTGACGAATGGGAAAGATTCTTGTGTTAGCGTAGCCAGCCCTCTTTGATATTATCAACTAGACTAGGCGATATAGAGTTTCTTGTCTCCTTGGCACATGCGTCTCAGTTATTACCGATTTGTGATTGTCTTTTTGCGTTCGAGTCGAAGTAATACCAGTGCTCTTCGCCTTTCTCATCGACATGGTCAAGATATCCAATTTCGAATCTTTTGCCTGAGACAGGATTCTCGGGCGTTTTGGCCAGGGCATCATCACCTGCGCACCGCGTTTTCTTACATGTCCCACAGGTCTTTTGTGTGATGTCGTTTATTTCACCGCAGCCGCCTGCTTGTGCATTGCATCCCCAGTGAACGTGATGGCTGCTCACTTCCACCGTGACTCGCCCGAATGTCATGATGGATGTGAATTAAGAGTAAAGGTTTATAGGATTATAGTGGTTGATGATGGAGGCTTGTCGTTGGGACTTGTGTCGGGGATTGGAATCAACGTTGACGTTAGTCAACGGTTGTGATATATAGCTCTTGAGAAGCTTAGAAACTCCCATATAGCTAATAGTCACGGCAAGTCAGAGGCCAGTTGATCACACAAGGAAATGGTGGTGTGTTTCAGCAGGTAGTTCAGGTTGATTCAATGATTGAAGGACATGCGCCACACAAGCTACGGTCTTACTATCAGGGGCTACCATTTCTCACTACCCAGACAGTGATGTAACGCATGGATTCGTTGCCTGATTCATGTCACGGAGATGTCATGCAAGCTTGACATGCGAGTTGAGTGATGTGATGTTGCACGCATTTTACGACCTTCATGGCCATCTTGCGGTTGCTCTTTGAAGTGAATAATAGTGTCTGAATGGTATAAATACGGTATCTTCTTGCTCGTAAAAAGGCTTCTCAAAAGCTTCATTCGACAAAACACAAAGCATATAGCAACACTTTGCTCAAATACATATATACTAAGCAAAACACAAATCCCTACAAACCAGAATATTCCACAATGGCCACCACGACAACAGTTGTACGCAAAGACCACAAGAAGTGGAAGTGCAACAAAAACATCTCGGGAAGGCTTTGCAGCACTGTCACCTCGATGAGTAATATTTACTGCGATAAATGTGACAATAGACGACAGACCGACGATGAAGCCCTCGCTTCTGATGAATCTTCGATCGGATGGATGTATCACCTAGATACCAGTCTGACAGAGCACTGGGAGTACACCAGTCCCGAACCTCTATAGGCACAGTTATGAACTCAAATGTGATGAAACGTGATGAATGACGGCGGGACTAGGCGGTCCTATTACCAGAGAATGGAGCTATAAGAATCCAGGGGCTCATGGTATCTCTAATAGTTAACCATCAACAATTTACATTCTTTGAAGCAGAAATATATGGCTAGTGATAGCTGACATGAATCATTTGCCAGTATACAACGTTATTAGAATTATCGTGATGTCGAACATTGGGAATCTCAAACAAGAGATTGGAACAGGTGTATCTTGGCTACTTCCATTTCTACCTATTTCATGGTGATTTATAATTCTCGTATTTCCAGCCAGTCATCTAGAGCTCTTCTGACTCTAAATCAGTATCTCCTCCACTCAGTGCGCAGTGCTTTGCCTCCCTAACCAGGGCTGATGCGTTAACCCATTGTAGACTTCCGTTGTCCAGGTAGTCTTTCACCGTGATGCCAACACCGAGGAAGAACTGCACGCCGTAGCCTGGCTGACCAAACCATGGCCTGATAGGTCCTGCCTGAACGGTAAATGACTTGGTCACCTTGTACACATGATAGTTGTTGGGAAATTCTTTGTTCTCCCCAGTGATGAGATTCCCAGGGTGGAGAGCTCTTTGCGAAAAGGGGGCTGTAGCAGGAGAGAGATAACGACCTTTTGCAACATGTCAGTGTTCAATATCGGAGTAGGGCGCAACGTATAGTTTACCTGTAGGTTCTCCGAATCTGTCAACCAGCGTTCCTGGCGCAAGATTCACGTTTGCCCTGATAGGCCGTTCATCGTCGTCCAACTCAAACCCGTTCTTCAACGGATACGTCCAGCCAACTGGCTTTTTACCATCGGGTCTGGCAGTGTTATTCCACCACTTCTCCAGAAATTCGTTGGGAGTCAAGCCTCCGAAACGGTCATAGCCTGCAACATATGTGCTAAGAGGGAGGTTCGTGGGGAGGTCTGTAGGCCCAAGACGTTCATCGCCGCAGATGTAAATATGCTTGAGCTTGTTGTTCTCACGAACATGTTCTCCAGAACAATCGCATTCTTTGCTCGTGATGTCCTCATGAGGTATGTATAAAGCGAGGCCAGTGGCCAAAAGTGATGAGAGGAGCAAAGATTTGAAGATCATGGTGACGGTTGAGAGTATTAGGCAGATTTACAAACACCAAGCCAGTCGCGAAGACTAGGGTGCCATGCTCTGTACTTTTATATGGCAATTTGAGGGACGCCGCCTCTCCCATTCCAATCCAACGTTCCAATGATCGATACGTTGAAATTTACATCTTCCCCGATCCGTCTCAAACGGCTGAAACTATAGATATAGCCTGTGTCTTGCGCCTTGACGTTTGCCATTTTGGGAGGTGATCCGGTCAATAGACTCACAAGCTGAGAAAAGCCTGGGGAACAGTCAGCCCCAGCATTCAATAGTGTATCCGGGGATCAGCTGTGGCTTTTGCCCAGCATTCTCTCTTCAGATTACCTGTTCCAAAACTGATCACCCATGTATCAATTGGTCGGGTCTGTCAGCGGACTTGCCCCGTTTTGGTTATGATTTGGTGAATGGTACGGGCCGCTCCCCGGGAAATCGATAGCTCCAAATTACCCTGGTCAAAATCCGACCCAGTGGCTGGCTGAGAAGCCAAAGTGGCTGGCGGTAAATCCCCCTTTGCTCGAACCTACCGTTGGCGCTACTGCTTTTTTTCTTTTGGCATTGATTCCCTGCTGGCTCTCGAGATAACCATTTGGGTGTTGGCAGGCGGTCGCGGGAATGTGATGATCGATAGTGGCCATGACCTGGCTTGAGCACCTTTGCCTCCAGCTCAGGACTTGTTCGCCTGCTAGTTCCCTCCTTCTTTTTTTTTTCCGCTGAGAATAACACATTCTCCAATACTTCTCAGATTGTATTGGAGAAAACAGGCCAGAACTTGAGACCCGGCCGGTCCAGTCTGGTCCAGACGCAGGGTGCTCAATCAATCCAGCAGCTTACTTTGACGGGGATGTCGGGGACAGCGAACAAGACAAGTGGTAGGGCTGATTGGCTAAATTGGCTAATTTGATAGGCTACTGAACCACTGGAAGACATTGCTGGAGCCCCCGTACTTTCCGACTTCCGGCACGGCGCGAGAACCGGTGAGACTGCCCCTACGACGAGCTTGAGATTCACAAAGATATTCTGAGATAAACCTTACAGTCTGCTCTCATTTCTTCACAATAGGGCAGGCTGATCAAATTAACTGCTATTTATGCTCATGTTGAAATTGACAATCTTATCATTACGCCTTTGCTCATTCAACCCGATGCCCACCCGCTATCCTCTCGCATGATGCTCTGGCAACTCGTAAATCACTGAATCGTGGTGGCTCAGCTCAGCTGGTCGGCCTTGGCCGGCCATCTCTGATGGTTCCACACGTTCATTTTCTCTGGGCAAATCCTCCTTGAAGACAGACAATCGCGGCTCTAGAGGACTTCCTCCTACTTCCACGATATCCGAGACCTTCTCTTGGTGAGCGCGTTCTTTGCGTCGCTTCATCCATAGCCAGGCAAGAACACATATCAGCAACGCGCCGACTCCAATGCCTACCCCAACACCAATTCCAGTCTTTGCCCCGGAGCCCAGGCCTTTAGAACCCTCTGGCTCAGGCTCATCCTCTTGTGTTGGTCTGTCTTTGGGCTTCTTGTCATCTGTCCCATTTGTCGGAACCTTTTGCGGCAATGCTTCTGCATCAACCCAGTCGCCATCGTAATCCTTGAATGCTTGTACAATCGTCTCGTTGGACCAGTAGTACAGCCAAGCTTTGCCTTCGCTCTGTTGAGAGACTACGGCTAGACCGGAGCTCGCGATATCGGCGACAGGCCATGCGCGCTCTGTTTGGTTTGAGCCGAGCTGCCAACCACTCTTCGTCGATTTGACTTCGTGTATCTTCTTATCGTCGCCGATATAGAAGATACTCCGTGTTCGCGATCGGTCTCGGTCCACTGCTGCGCCGATGGCTTCGAGTGAAGAGTTCCAGGCAGGAAGAGAGAAGTCGGCTTCGTCTTCCAAGCTCCAAAACATATCCGTCGGCAGTGTGTTGTTAGTATAGAGTCCGAGGAACTTGTTCGGGAACGCGTCTATTACTTGTCAGCCACTGCTTCTCCAGTACTACCAGCGCGACAGGGTCATGAGGCGTACCTAACGTCCAGAGACCAGACTTATCCAGGCGGGACAGCTCGATATTCTCAGAGTCCTTCGGGAAAGGCACAGTAATGTTCTTGAAGTCATGTATCGTTGACCCTAACGCCATGCCTCCAGCAGTATCCTGTGATATAGCGCCCCCATCGTTCCAACCATCATCATCAGTATACCACAGCATCTTGACTTTCCTGTCCTCGTCATGATAGAACAGACGATATCCATCTTTCTCTCCAAGGTTGACGATTGAGAGGCCCGTTTCGTTGTGGATGGAGTCGACGCCAGCCGCCGCCGAGATCTGGAACTCGCGGTCGCGTACAAGTTTTCCCGTCGTCATGTTACAGATGTATTTCCCCTGCACGATCGTATTATCTTCAGTCTGCCAGAAGACTTGCGCCTGGATATGCTGTGAGCTGTATGCAGCGACCAGTTTGGAGAAAGAGAGGAGACGTACAGTGATAAATTGCCAGTCCCCCCAGCCTACGGCTGTAAGCGCAGTGCCATTGCGCGGTGGCTCTTTTGTATCGAGGATATTGGGCTTTTCGAGGGGGAAAATTGGGATATTTTGACTATTACAGGCACTATAGAGAAGCTTTCCTGTGGTAGGGTCTTGTGCGCCAACTTGTATAGTGAGGTCGGTGAAAAAAGCATACAGAGCAGAACCGTAGCTGGTTTGAGCCCATGCCAAAAACACCAGCCACGAAAGCATGGTTAGTTGCATGTTGAACAATGATAATGTTTCAGAAAAAGGAGCATGAACGTAACATTGACGCGGCGAGGCGAGGCGATGGAGGAATGGGAGCATTAAAATGGAAAGAAGCAGCTTTACAGCCATATCAGGACCGGGGAGCCTCATTTTGCCTCCCAGGAGCTCAATTGTCTGCAGGGTGATATGGCTGTTGTGATGTTACCAAGCCACGGCACCGGACGGGACACTTGAATAAGGCAGCTTGATGCCGGTGAGGGATAATCCCTCTGGCTGGGGGTGCGGCTGAGGCACACTCACAAAACTCAACGATGGCGACACTAACTCCCGACTTATTTGAACAGACACAGGCTCAAGCGCGGCATCTTAAGCCCCAATCCTGTTGAATTGAGGTCTTGTTACACAACTGTTGGGGCTATTTTCTGTGTCTTGAAGGGCGACTATCATTGCTTCTGTTGCCACTTATGCAGACATCATGTATGCTACTGAGACCTCGCAGTTGGTCGGTGCGTTTTGCAACACCATAAAGGCTAGGTGATCAAGTCTCGTCAGCCATGGCCAAACTGTTGTCAATGGAGAAGGTTGCGAAACCTGTGAATATCCCGTTGTTCTCATTCTACCAAAGAAGCAATTGCCGTGATACATATCCCAATTCCAACTGTTGGTAAAACAAGGCTCTGTTGCACAGCCAAAGGTTGGGGAAAATACTAAAGATGCGTCTCGCCCCCATCATCAGCACCTACATCAGAAGGTCTGTTGGGGGCTAAATATGCATGCACGTTGAGGCTGAAGCTGTCGGCTGGGCCAGCTCGGCTTCTGGACTTCATCCATGCATCGCTATTTTCGGATGACCGAAGCCTCTTTTATCCTTAAGCACAAACCCTCATCCAGATCTCTTGGACAGATAGAGAAGGGAATAGTCGATAAGTCCCAAGCGTATTGATGTAGCGCGAGTCTCAAGGGTCCCAGTTTCCTTAGCATTCGTCGCCCAACGACACAGCCTGCAGAATGGCAGAATGTGTCTGAACTGTTATCAATCAATTGTCTATCTTAGAGCCTGATTGCCAAGACTGATCGTATTGGATAGGGTAAGCCCGAATATGCATGCCATGAGTCTAACCAACGACATTCTACTGCGATCAGTCCGTTTCATCCTGATTGGTACTCATCTCAGCCGCAGATATGCAGTCAGCATTTTTTATTGCCAATTGTAAAACGCCGCCATGATATCGCACAGCCACCTAGAGAATTGTGCAACGATGTTCTCTCTCCCGGATTAACTCCTGCTGCAGGGCTTCATATTCTCCATCGCTATACTCAGAGTCGGAATATTCGGAGTCAGATTTGCCCATGATAGATGAGTCATCACCGTAGCCTGAGTCGCTAAAATCATCAAGAACAGACTCTTCGTAAGAATTGCCGCTGCAAATCGTCAGTCACGGGCCGTGAAATGGGATACGAATACTCACCTGACCAGCCCTGCCATGACTCTCCAGTCTGATGGAAGGTTCTCTTTCACACTGACAGCTTGCGCAGACCTACGCAAATCTCTCCAGAATCTGTCCATACTTGGTCTTGTGTAGTGGCTCCATGATGCGACATCCTGTGATGCAAGTCAGTGCCTGTAGAATCACGTGAATCAAGAGCTGGGTGAGAAGCTTACCAAGTTTGTGCACACGTGGATGAAAGCGACAACAAATGATATCCACCTCTTCGTCTTGACCGGGCCTCTCAAACCTGGGCCTCCTCGAAATTCGATGCTACCGGAGCCTCCACCGAAGATGTTGTCAAAATTCCAGAGGACATATCTCTCCTGCTTCGGCTCTGGGCCAGATTGCATAAGGTCTCTGATGTCTTCTTCGTCAACGCCATCGTCGAGCGCGTCCCATAGCTCTCTGAGTGCTGCTTCTTCGTGGAAACTTGACATGAGGTCATATAATGGTCCAGATCGTAGCGTGTTAGGTCTGCAGTACTTGTTGTTCTGTCGATGGTATGGAAGCAGGCGAATGACCAGAGGCTCATAGTAGACGATACCGAAAGCAATATTGCGAAGCTGGTTCAGGTCAAATTCCATCTCTGGTGATGGTGACACATGAATATGGCTTCCGCAAGCAATAGATGATTCTGGCATGTGGAATACACGGTCCCATGAGTTCCAGAAAACATCTACCTGGTTCTCCCAAGTGTAATCAGTGGAGAGTATAGGTGAGACAGCCTCAAGCGGAACTGTGAGTAGGTCCCAGTATTAGTATGCAATTACAACAAATATTTAAGAGACTCACTGCATGGATGCTCAGGATCCCCTAGCGATCCATCCTTTGTAATCCACCACTTATCGTAGTGTTCTGGACGTTTTCGATATCGCTGATTGAGCTTATCTGCTTCTGCTTCGGCGCCATCATATCTCAGTGATGTCGCCAATTCTTCGTAGTAGACAGCACGCAATAGAGGGTGTCGTACTCTTTTCGGCTCAGCAATGAGCTCCAATTCGACCCCGAAGTTGTATGAACCAAATGAAGACATGGTGGCTCACGTGAAGCAATTGACGATGGCCGAGTCGCCCATCACAAGCACCTGGGGAAGCCATGTTCATAATCAAGATATCAGTCGCAACCTCAGAAATTGCACGAGGCAATTAAAATGAATCAGGCTCTGCTCTCGCAAGTCAGATTACGGGTTGGTGAGTATCTATCCAAGTACACAATCAGGCTCGCACTGTCTGAGAGGGTTGCATCCCTATCCATCATCACAGCTTCTTAGAGCCTTGTATTACCACACCTTTATGATTGCAAACGCCCGCATAAAGAGAGACTGATATGGTAGTAATTGGACATTTGACAATGTAACAGCTGAGCACCCTCCAGCTTCGGATCTGGAACACCCTGCACACTTCGACGTGGCTTTGACTGCTTGACGCGCAGATAGGAATTACAAACTTGGCGACGCGAGTATCGCAACCGTCGCTCAAGGTTGCACGGCAGCAAGCGTGACCAAAGAAATTAATCAGCTCATCTAGAAAGCCACCATAAATTGCCTCGCTCGTCGCAGCCTAACGAATGCAAATTATTGACTGTCGATTGTCAGGCTCCAACTGCCAACCCAGAGATCCTTCGCTGCAGCTCGCATAGAACTCCAGACCTCTAGAGCCTCACTCTTTCAATCATTGGGTATCAGCCCTCAGTACAACTCGACCGGGGTATAGCGTTTTTACATGCACATTCACGCCATGTCGGACTTGCCGGCGCAACTCTACTTCGCCTATGGTAGTAACCTTTGGCTGCAGCAAATGGCCAGCCGTTGCCCAGAAAGTTACTACGTTGGCAGGGCGGTTCTGTTGGATCATCGATGGCAGATCAACAGTCGAGGCTTCGCGAATGTGATTCCTTGCAGCGGATACAACGTGCACGGACTGGTCTACCAAGTAAGCGTCGACGATGAAGCTCGCCTCGACAGAAACGAAGGCGTCCATTCCGGCGCTTACACCAAGTCATATCATAGTGTCGTGTTACATGAAGCTGTTGAAGACCTCCAGCTTCCAACACGATACCTTGTCCAAGATGGTGGGCTAGATAAGGCTGTCAACGCAGTGCGGTCAGGATCGCGATCCCATGAGCCCGAGCGGCAAGGCAGAATCAGAAGCAACGTCCTGGTTTATCTCAGCAGTCGCTACTCGCAGTGGGGTACCGCACGGGATGAATACGTTGACCGCATGAACTGTGGCATAAGGGATGCTGTCACTTTGGGTATCCCAAGTGACTTCTTCGAGAACACGGTTCGACCGTCCATTCCATTGAGGTCAACCTCAAGACGATCTCAACGCGAGGATCAGACGAGAAGGGCGACGCGTCAAAATGGTCATCGCAGAGCCAGTTCAGACCCAGAGGATCCTCGTCGAAGAAGGCGTCGGAGCTCATCTCCGCAGCGCAGAGCATGGGGGACTGCATTCCAGCGCCACGCCTCAACCTTGGGGCGAGGTGTGCGCACTTCCCAGAGAGTTTCAAGGCCATTTTCGCAATCAACATCCTGGACATGGGGGTGGTGATTGAGCTGTCTCATGCCCGGCCCATTGTTTGTGCATATTCACTTCAGCCCACCCGAGCCTTTTTATTTAGTATGCATGTATATTCCAATAATAGATCGTTTTCAACCACAGTACTCCTGTCAATGTAAAGATTAAGAGGTAGCCGATCAGCCGCATGCAAGGCAAGTCTCAGGCTGCGCAGTGCGGCTGCTCGATTGTTGAGTCACAGTTGATGCAATTGTCTAAGCCTCAACGTGCAACGACCTCATTTCGTTGTCCTGATTGGGCATGAGGATACATTCGGAAAGTTGAAGTCCATTAAAACCAACCACAAGCTATAGATATTGTAACTTGTACGAATGATTCATGGTGATTCCAGTGTCCTCAGCCTGATGCGCCTGAAACACTTTCCAATCTCAGTCAATGATGGCTGCTAAATGTGCAATTCTGACTGGTCCCGAACTTGAAAGCTGTAGGGGCTCGGTCAGATTGGTTCCTCAAGCCTGAATATCGTTATCAGCACACGAGCAGTTTTCCAAAGCCATGACAGCTGAAAACGGTGGAGCCTGCACGATAGGGCTGCCTCTTGTCGGATCCCTTCTTACGTGTCTTGACGAGATGGTTTGCAAATTAGCCGACTACCCAAATGAGAATAACAACACAGATCGACCAAAATAGAAACACGCCGCTCATATAGCAAGCTTACGAAACTTAGCTGCCTATCAACTGCTTTGCCGAAAGTTGAGGACATGTTGGAATCAGGTATCGCTGGTTTGCAAAGTCTGATGAACTAAAGGTAACAAATTGATTGACATTCAACTGAAACTAAGATAAGAAAAAACGAATAACCACATTTCTGGCTCATCTCTGTGACTCATTCAGAACCTTCCAGTCTTCTGGCAAAGAGTTTCTCAAAGAGAGCTGACTGGCAGCTTTCTTGATCATAGTGTAAAGACCCTCTGGTGTCCATGATTCTAGAGTCGAAACATTGGGATTCGCGATGTTATTCTTAGGCAGTTAGTAGTGGAAGGTGATTAAGATCCTTGGTAGAACTTACCATGTTTAGTAGAGCTTGGATCAGAGCAATCGTGAAAGCAATCCATCGCTTCGTTCTGATCTCTCCCCTGAGGCACCTCCCGCCTCTGAACTCAATTGTTCCAGAGCTCCCGGGGACGATGTTGTCGAAATTCCACAGAACGTACCTATCGTTCTGCATAATATTCTTTAAAGCCGTCGTGCTCTTTGCACTTTTAATAAGCTCCGCTATAGCGTTATAGTTGCCGTTGCAGCGCATAAGCGGTGTTGAGTTCAGAGTATTCTGCTTGCAATATCGGTTGTTGGCTCGTTCTCGCATGAGAAGCTGTAAAATGAGATTCTCATAGTAGACGACGCCAAACGCGATCTTCTTGACTTGAGGAAGACTGAAGGTCTGGTTGAGGCCCTTGGATACGTGGATGTGACTCCCGCAGAGAAGTGATCGATCGGGCATATGGAAAACAACACGCATTGCGGTCCAGAAGACATCAATTTCATGTTCCCAGTTTGCCCTCAAGCTGAGGACCGGGGAAACAGCCTCCATTGGAACTCCATCTTGTCAACATCGACTCTAATAAAGATGGATAGGTCTCCTTACTCTTGTCGGTATGGGACCCAAGGGATCCGTCCTTGGTGATCCACCATTTGTCGTAGTGTTCCGGTCGCTTGGTGTAGCCTTGTTGTAAATCGTCCGCCTTGGCCTTTAGACCTCGTTTTCGGAGGGACGCAGCCAGCTTGCCATAGTACAAAGCATGCTTAGTGCTAAGTGGTGACCGAACCTTGTGAGGTCCGACAATGACTTCAATCTCGATACCGAAATGATAATCAGCCATAACTAGATGAGACGAAAAGTAGTAACTTGGAGACTATCAACAGATGCTATGCACGAGCTGCCATTATCGTCCGTTTAATGGCTTAATATTTGACACTGCACCTCTCTCTAGCAAGGCTCAGCCGCCTGTTCCCAGGCTTGATACCTGGCTAGGAGACATGTTCCCTATTGCTTACGATGTCTACATCCATCATAATTGATGGTGGCCTGGGCTGGCGGTCCGGAATTCCTTTTTCCATCATGATACATCGAAAACAAAAAATGGCACAAAGTGCAATTTCACATGAGAGTCAGGCAGGCAGGGAAACACAGAGTACCATTTCACCAAGCTTGATTGGCAGCCACCATCAGACCGATTATGCAGTCATCATCACCAATCGTATCATTAATCAGCCGCCGAACCGGGGGAGCATAAAGTGCAAGTCTTGTTGGTAGGTCCTAGAGGAACGGTGAAATGGATTTTGTTATTGTTAGAGCCGCGTGGGTATCATTGGATGCTTGAAATGGCATGGGTGGTGACGATTTAGGCCAGATGCATATGGATGAATCTTGTACCTTGATGTTCACAGTCAGAATTGTACAGTGACCAACGTGCAGCCTGATTGAGGCTCTTTTTCCCTTATCAGGCTGTGAATTCATGCGACCGGTCTGCCCCGCCATCGGAATTCCCAGACTCTCCCTCTTCTCTCGTGTTCCGACACTTCGTCTCCAAACAACTTTTGTGTATTTACAACTAAGAGTCATGTATGCATTCAATCCGTCGGGCCCAACTTATGGCCAGTCAGCCACAGTTGACGCACCCGGGTCAAGGATGATCAGAGCAGCCAGCACTCTGTACTTCGCCTACGGGAGCAACTTGCACCTCGCTCAAATGGCCCATCGCTGTCCCGGAAGTGTCTTCAAAGGAAAGGCCATTCTTGATTCTTATCGTTGGCAGATCAACGAGCGCGGAGTGGCCAACGTCGTTGAGTCTGGAAGCGATCACTCAGTCGAGGGTCTTCTTTACATGATCGGTCCCAAAGACGAAAGAACCCTGGATCGCTCCGAAGGAGTGTCAAAGGGTTTCTACCAGAAGTATCTGATGAGAGTTTCTTTCGAGCCTCATCAGCAATACGCGAACTTCAAGACTGGTCGATTATCCCATCTACTTGAGCAGCGCCGGGACTCGATAAGCGGTGATGGTGCTCATTCTCCCAACAATGCCAATCGCAAAGTGAGATTCAATGCACCCCCTCATATTGGACCTGTGTCCTACATGGACGGCGAGGAGACTTCAGGACGCCATGCACGTACTGAGCAAGTCAAAGCATTGGTGTATGTTAGCGAGGACTACGTTACCGATGGCTCCATCAGAGAGGAGTACATCGCGAGGATGCAAAGCGCCGTCAATGATGCAGTATCACTGGGGGTCTCGAAGTCATTTGTGGACAAATATATCGTCCCGTTTCTTGACTCTCAGCAAATTTGGCACTTATCCGAGAGAAACCTTGGAGAAACTCAGCACGAACAGCCTAGTAAGCTGCTGGAACTTGAATCTGAGCCAAAGGTTCAGGCCATCATCAGCAAAGAGTCAGCTGAAGAGCAAGTTAACGACAAGCCCCCGACTGAGAGCAACATGGTGGACGTCTCAGATCCGCCGACTGATGAAAAGTCGAGTGACGTGGAGATTAATGAAGAAACGAACCAAGAAGGTGAGATCAACCTCGACCACATGTTTGACGTATTCGTCGCCCTTGTTGCCACCGCATGCCTGGGCTATCTGACTTTCTGGTAGCGCTGCCGAGTGAGCCTGTGGTCAAGGAGGATGACCTGTCTGGGCATATCGATCTATCGAAGCTCAGAACAGAGAACCGCGACGAAAATGGTGGCTCCAGTGACATGTTCCCCATTGACTTGTTGGCAGCTGTTGACAAGGTCAACGATTCCGTCATCGATGGTAGTGGGAAGAATATTTATGTTGTCATTGTCATACAGAAGGGTACAGAGGCTAATTCTGGCTTCAGCGTCGCCACAGCGTCTAAGGGGATTCAAATGGCTAACGAGCTTGCTATGAAGGAGTTCAAAGAGTTATGTGCGCTGAACACTAAGCCAGTGGTGGAAGAAGGTGAAGAGCCGGATGTCGTGGTTGTCAAGGAGGGCTCTCCAGGTGATCTGACCTGGAAGCTAGAAGAGGACGCATATCTTCATCTCAGCAGTGCAAGACCTGGAGAGGAGCCTTGGTTGATGGTATGGGTGCAGTCAAAACAGCTGATGGAATGCCGTTAGATATTACAAAGATGGAACACCAGTGTCGATCCTTCGACTCCAGGCAAGTAATTTATTGATAGCAAGCCAAGAGGGTGTTCTTGCGTAGTATTATTCCTTATCTCTCATATATGTGTAGACCTCAAACACTAGTAGCTCGTATCATACCACTTGAAATCAGCTCCCCAAAGATCCTGCTTCGTCAGAGCCTTATCCGATGGGGTGAAGTACTTTCTCTGCGAAGTATCGGCACCAGCACCAGTGTTTTCGAACTCTTGGAAAACACTAATAGAATTAGCCTTTGGTCGCCTTGGGGGTCTTCTTGTTAGCTTACGGTGTTGCGCCTTCAGCCATGGGTGAGTAGCCCTCTGGTCTCACGACATTTGTCAGAGTGCTGTACTGGTACATCACTCGTGCGTTGACTCTCCAAGGACGTCCGAGGTAGACTTTGTTGGTCAGATCTTGGGTGCCGGTAGATGTGATCTATATTTTATTAAGTCATTGTCATTAGCGTCACGTAATGTAGCACTTACCGTGCTGTGATCGATGATATAACGTGAGGTGTCGGTTGGTTCGGTCCGAGATGATGCAGTGATGTAGCCCGGTCCATTAGAGGCAATAGTGGCTGAGCAAGGTTAGAAACGGTCGGTGGGGGGGACATTGGTATACTTACATTCGCCTATCCATGCATGGCCGTTGCCAAAGATGTAATCAACCGCGCCTACAGTTGTCCCTCAGAAATGTCACCCTCAATGGCCAGGAACGAATACTTACCCTCGATATAACAGTTGGAGTAGTACATCCATCCAGCCTTGACATACAGAGTATCCTGGTACGACTTGAAAGAGCAGCCGTAAAATCCGGTTTTGTTGCCATTTGCCGTCAAGGCAACAGCCTATCCTATGCTTAGCATGTTTCCTACTCGCATGATATGATAAACTTACCTGTCCAGCTGTATACCCGTTGACGAAGTCAATGTTGTACGCGGCGAAATCATTGGACCTAAGATTAACGGTTGAGCTTGCATCTAAAGAGCCCGCATCTTGTGACCCAAGAGTATTCTGGATAATTACGGTGTTCTTCTTATAGCTTCCAGTACTGAGACACTGCGTTAGTGCATCCGAAGTCTCCGAAGGGATAGTGTCTTACTCGGTGGTTGACCCATAGAGGGTCAAGGGTGCTTTGACCTTGATCTCCACTCGCTCATTGTAAGTTCCCGAGTTGAGGAAGATACACGCAGGCTTGGTAGATGAACCGATGGAGTTGACGGCAGCTTGTAGACTGGTGAACTCTGATGCACTTGCACCACTGGGTTTTACCACGATACAATTCGCAGGGGCAACAGTGCGACTATTGTCCGCTCGGGTTGGAAGGCTGGCTGCTTCACCGAAAGATGGACCTTGACGGAGGAAAAGCGCCAATTGGACCAAGTGGAAAAGGCCCTTGGAGAACGGCATGCTGATGATGAGAATAGAGAATCTGTATGACTGCACGGTTTCAACGAACGATGATGACCTGGTTATGGAGATAAAGGCAGGCAGTTATCGTGTTTTCAGATGGAGTTAACTGCCAGTTGGCTGAGCTAAGGTTATCCAGAAGCTTATCCCATTCATGGAAAATCACAGTTCGATATCAGGCTGAAATAACAAGTTTAAAATGCAACTGATCGGATCATACGACAAACATTCGGCAACTTTCTGCCGTTAAATAGCTATGCAAGAGTATTGGCATCATTTGAAAGCCATTCCAGCTTCTTGTTTCTCCGTAAGTTATCGAATAAGGAGTGTCTGAATACAGAAACCATTCCAAATTGGCCAAGCAAGAGATCGAAACAGGAAGCCTGGGGTCTAGCCTGAGGTTAAAGTTGGGGGCAGTTTGGGGTTGACTTTGGGGTATTAGGCTAAATTCGTGTATGTGCTAAACTAAGAAACTTGATGATCTTGACTATTGACAATTAGACTTCGATCTACCCCAGAAAACGCTGCAATCCACTCAATTAATCGATTATTTGATTGTCACTGAAACTCGAGAAGTAGGGTAGGATGCGGGGACTTGGCGGGTATTCGTTTACCCAAGTCGGAGATTTACTCGGGCTCAGCTCAAGGTGATAGGGTTCAGGTTATTTACCCATCTAAACTGGGCGAATCTACTCCGTACAACCCTTCCAAATTTCCAGAGACGCTAGAGTCCATTTTGGTTCGATGTGTTTGGTTAGCAAACGAGGGGTCGTATTTTCAAACTGCCGGAGAGGTTGATTGGTGGATAATTTGTTGAAACGGTTCTATAGTTGATTTTGAGCAGGTGATACGAACTCAGATCGTCCATAGACAGATTAAGGGGTTCAGCTATACTCATGAAATGGGTAGGATGAAATCATCGGGTAGTATTTTCTATTTCACCGATGAACTACTTATCAAGGAGTCTTGATGTGAGATGCGTATTTAAATGACGGATATCGCACAAGAAACATTTGCAGAAGCATAGACCGCGGCGTCTGACTACTACTACAACGATGCTCTTCCAATCAGTCTTCTTCGCTCCTCTCCTTTCACTCCTTGCCCAGGGAGTCGCGGGCACTCCAACCGTACACGACCATTCTCTCGCACATCACAAGCGAGCGACTTGTACTCCCAAATCAGCCGGCTCAGCTTCGACAGACGATGTCCCGACCATCGTCGCAGCGCTGAAGCAATGCGGCAATGGTGGAGTCATCGTGTTCCCCAAAGATACTACCTACATGATCAGAACCAAACTCAGTCTTACCGGCTGCACCAACTGCGAAATCCAACTCGACAGCCGACTTAAACTCTCGGATGATTACACGTTTTGGAACAACTCTCGTACTCAAATTGACGTCCGTGGCATTAACGGGCTTAAATTTCATAGTCCTGCTGGTACTGGGGAGATTGATGGTAATGGACAAGCTGCGTGGGATCGCTTCGGATCAGTTGGTGACTTGAAGAGGCCTGTTATGTTCGCCGTGGAGGGGTCTACTGATGTTGAAGTCAACGGCTTTCGTATGAAGAACGCTCAGAACGTCTTTGTTGATATCGGTTCCAACAGCGAGAGGGTCAAGTTCCTCAACATGCATTTGACCGCCATCAGCAAGTCAAGCTACCCACCGAAGAACACCGATGGGTTCGATATTGGAGCATCCAAGTACACGACCCTTTCGGACATCTTTATCCAGAATGAGGATGATTGCGTTGCATTCAAAGCAGGCTGTGATCAGGTCACCATCACTGACATAACCTGCCAGGGATCTCACGGTCTATCAGTCGGTTCTCTGGGCAAGACAAACACCGACACAGTCACCAATGTCTACGTGAGAAATGCCACCATGAAAGGCGCTACGAAAGCGGCTGGTATCAAGATTTACCCCGGTGGTCCTGAGCACGGAACTGCTGTTGTCCGTAACGTTACCTGGGACGGTGTTATCGTCGACAACTGTGGTGCTGCATTCGAGTTTGATGCTTGCTACAACGAAGACGAGTCTTATTGTGAACAGCATCCCAGTACTGCGCAGGTGTCTGAGATTTACGTCAAGAACTTCTCGGGCAAGACTAGCACCAAGTATGCGCCTACTACCGGCCATGTATACTGCCCTGTTGAGGGAAAGAATTGCGATGTTGAGTTTACGAACTGGACTGTTAAATCTGGAACAGGTGCTGGGCAGTTTTTGTGTGAGAACATTAGCTCTGATGTTTTGGGTATTACCTGCAAGGCTCCTTAGGACATACATTGCGATGGATCCGCATTCCTCGGGGAGCAAGAAAACTTCTCACCCAAAAAGGCCGATTAATCTTTACTAAATTTACCTAAATCTTTTCAATACTTAGAATAGCAGTCCTATGGAAGTTTTCTTGGGTATCATCTCCATTTTCTCTAAGCAGTTTAGTGCATTATCACAGCCAATCAGAGAGCATGGATTAACCAAAACCCCACCACCCCGAGAAGCACGAGCAGACGAGGTGATATTCCCCCCAGAAACCGACTTTGACGATTTTATGATCTCTCTGGCCTACCGCAACCTTGGTACTGCCTAACCCGACCCAATCGATTCGAGAGAAAAAAATGACAAATCAGAGTCTGGCAGGTCATATCACCAAGTTCCGAGTATCCCAAACTCCACGGATCAAGCGGAACAGACCCGCTGTATCTTGCTCAACGTGTCGTGCGCGCAAGCAGAAATGCGACCGACAACAACCATGCGGTCCATGTCAGAAGCGTGGTGTCCAGAATTCATGTCACCTAGAGCCAACTTCGCGACCGCCCGCCGCTTCGCTGGCCAATCGTGTTGATAGTCGAGTCCAGGATGAGCTTAGGCAGATGCAGAGCCTCCTCCAGAGTCTCCTCAGTCAGCCTAACCAGGACCAAGTAGCCACATCCTGCGAAAACCTAGCCGCGGGTGTGGATCGCATTCGGCAGGCTATCAATTACAGGGCTGTGACGGCTCCGCAAGTGGACCAACCTCCAGACATCGTATTTGGATCTCTCGCCAAAGCTACCTTAGAAGATGTTCTGGCGGCTTTGCCATCCCGCCAGGATTCTGACAATATTGTCTTGACATACCTCAACGCAAGACATATTGCTGTACCATTCATTCATATCCACCAATTCCGCAGACAGTACGAAGCCTTTTGGAACAACCCTGGATCTGCGAACCTTCTGTGGGCAAGCATCCTATTCTCAGTCCTCGCGCTTGGTGCCAGCATGCCTGATGGCAGGGGAAACCATCACCAGTCTTCAGCATTTATTTCCATGTCAGCCCGATGTCTTATATCCGGTCAGTATAGCACTGCGACTGAATTCTCTGTTGAAGCCCTGGCTATGCATCTTCATGCACGATGTTTCCATCAAGAGGACAGGGACATCAATCTGTCCCAGCTTCATGCTTTGACTGTTCGTATTGCGCAGCAGCGGTGTTATCATGTGGATGGAGGCGACTACTTACAGGCTCTGACACCCTTTCAAGTCGAAATGAGACGGCGCATTTGGTATTATCTCCAGTACTACGACGTCTTGCTATCTCTTGAGCATGGACTACCGCCACTGATACACGAAGATACGTACTCTGTCGGCCATCCAACAAACGTCACAGATGACGAGTTTGATGAAGAAACCAAAGTCATCTTCGCTAGTCCAGTGGCAGAGGCCAATGCTGCGCTCCCCTGCGTATACATGTCCCGACTATTGCCAATTCTGAGAAACATCATTCGCCACGCCCTTGGTTTCAAGACCTGCAACTATAAGGACGCCCTTTTCCTCAAATCGCAGCTTGAGGCATGGTACAGATCGATTCCACTCTGCCTCCGCGTGCATTCCATCAAGGATACTTGCCTGACAAATACTACTTTCACCGCTTTACAACGTATCCTATTTCAGCTCATCTACAACACAGGAATCGCACTCATATATCGTCCGTTCCTCAATATCATGAGCCTTGAGAATAGATATTGCGAAACTGCGCTTGACATGTCTCGCAAGAATGCACTAAGATCTATTGAAGTATACATAGAGGTTGATCAAGAGATGCAGAGAGGGGGAAGACTCTATAACGATCCACAAGTCAGGGCTAACTTACCCGTCAATGACTTCTTTATAACAATGATAATGGCACCACTGGAGTTCTTCGGTTGCCCCAACTTACCGTAAGTCTGCATTTAAGCGGGTACCAAATGCCTTGACTGAAGTATTGCAGGCAAAGCCAAAAGGGCTATATTATCCATACACTCGAAACGGCAGCACAGCTGTGGCCCACGAGATCATGTGTCTCTTCATACGCCCTTGAAAGCTCGCGACTGCTTCAGGTCATTCTGGCAGACATCCATTCGTCAACCTCAATTGAGCATCCTATATACCCAAACATCTCTAACTCAAGCCAAGAAAGTGCTTTACTACAAACTTTTGGGACTTACGGACCAAGGGGCGATGATGCCTGTGAATTCGACAACTTCCCGTGGAACACCACTACAATGTCGGATTGGGTTTGTGCACATTTCCACATACGGAGATACGCCACTGACGAGACCTAGGGCTCGATGAACTTGTTGATTGACCATGAGGAATTTGACAGGTCAATCACTGAAGAGTCAATCATCGGTGTTTAGGGCTGTACTGGTTTCTTGTTCTGCGTGAATGGCGAGATATAGTGGGGTTTCGGAGTTGTCGGTTCTAATTGTTACCGTTTTGGGTAATTGACATGTCCGACTTCAAATCCGACGCTGCGCCAAGACGCCCAACAGTCGAGATTTACGAAGAAAATGCTGGCAATGAGATTCCCTTTCGTTTCGCACGCCTCGAAGAGGAAGCTGATCAACGCCGGGGACGGGTATAAGAGGAGTGCCTGCACCCCTCAACAATCGTTCCGTATCCCGCCAGCGACTCATTCCACGTTCCAACTCAACCATCTATCACCAACACATCGTTAAAATGGGCGACCAAGCTATTCCCGAGTTCTCAACCTCACTCGTACTTACCGCTTTCAACGAGCCTCTCAAGCTCGAGAAGACTCCGCTTCCCAAAACAGTCCCTCCTGGCTCAGTCTTTGTTCGTGTACTCAGCACTCCCGTACGCCCTCACCAACGCGAGGGTTTCAGAGGCAACAGTCCTCTTTCCTTCAAGCCACCATATAACCCTGGAGACGGTGGTGTTGGGCGCATCGTATCCGTAGGGCCTGATGCTGTCGCTCTCAAACCTGGTCAGCTTGTCTACATGAACAACTTCATCACGGCAAGAGATGATCCTAACACCCGAGTCCTGCTCGGTCTTCATGATGGTGGTGGCCCTGAAGCTGACTTGAAGCTGTTCAACCTCTGGAAGGGCTTCTGGAGAGATGTCGCTGTTGTTGCCACGGAGAATATCATTCCTCTGAATGAAAAGATTCTCATCAATGAGATGGGTTACTCCTGTGGAGACCTGAGCTACATACAGCGCCTCTCGGTCGCATACGGCGGTATCAGAGCCGCCAATCTCCAAGCTGGCGAGACTGTTATTGTTGCTCCAGCTACAGGTCACTTTTCGGGTGCTGTAGTTGAGTTGGCTGCCCAGATCGGCTGTCGTGTGATTGCACTTTCGCGGTCAGCATCTAAACTGAAACCTCTCACTTCTCGTTACCATCGTGTTACTGCTGTTGAGCTCACTGGCGATGAGAAGAAGGATGCCGAGGCCATTGGCGCACTTGTACCCGGAGGCGCTGATGCTTACATCGACGTTTCTCCGCCTGCAGCGACAGCTTCACATCATCACCTCAACATCTCCATCAACTCGCTTACGTCTTTCGGCCGTGTCGTCTTTCTAGGAATGATGTTCGATATCAAGATCAACTATGTTAGCCTCATGGTTCGCAACATCACGATCAAAGCGCAGTTCATGTATACGCGCGAGGAGTTGGTATCTTTGGTCAAGATGATTGAAACGGGAGTTATCAAACTGGGCAAGGAAGCTGGGCATGAGATTGTAGAGAAGGGCTTCTCTATGGAAGAATGGGAAAATGCGGTCACCGTTGCAGAGACGGCTTCGGCTTGGGGCCAGCAGGTCTTGCTCTACCCCTAGACGAAAGCCATTTCGGGCTCGATTGAGACTTCCAAGTAGCTTCTATTATCATTTATATCTCCTTTTCTTATTCCATTGCTTATCTATCTCCTGTATCTGTCTTGTTCTGAGTAAATTCAGACTTCTCATCACTTGCCCTCAGCTGCTCCGCTCAGCTGCTCCGCTGTCGCGAATATGGATTGAGAACCCCGTCGCGTTCTTCCCCTCCAGACCGGGTTTGAGAGTCAAGGTCGGCATCTCATAGTCACCGCCATTTTGCGGCCTGTAAGGTATAGGCTCTATGGTATCCAAATGCCTCAGCTTTTCACGGAGAGTCTCTGCCTCCTTCTCGAAACCAGCCTGGTCTAGCCTGTCCGTTTGATAGACGACATGAGATGGAAGAACCTGGAATCCGGGGTAGTACAGCACGCCATGGTTGATGGGGTAGAGTAAGTCGTCAATATGTCCAGCAATTCCGCGAGCCGAGTAGTGCTCTTCACGACCCCCGATAGTAACGACAAGCATCGCTCGCTTTCCAACAAACACTCCTTCGCCATATCTATCGCCATAATGCTTCTCGCTATGCTCGCCAACTCCATATGTGAAGCCCATGGAGAACACTCTCTCGACCCAGCCTTTGAGAATAGCAGGCATGGTATACCACCAGAGGGGAAAGTGAATCAGGACCATGTCAGCCCAGAGCAGCTTTTCTTGTTCGGTCTTGACGTCGTCTGTAAGATTTCCTGTTTTGTATGAATCCCTCGATGCGTATGCAACCTTGAGACGGGCATCGGTTGAGAGATTAGGAAAGTCTGTACGATCGATCTCGGATTTCCATTTCATTGAGTATAAGTCTGAGGTTTGTACTTGGTGGCCCTGAGCTTCAAGCTCGTTAATGGACATTTGGAAGAGAGAGCCATTGAAAGACTGGGGCTCGGGGTGGGCAAGGACGACGAGAACCTTCATGTTGATGAGAAGATGGTATGCTTCGTGCTTAGGGCTCAGTGCTGACTTCCTGGCGGGCATTTATATACAAACGACTTGCTCCACTATAGTCGAAAGATCCTCTGCCAAGAAAACTATCATGGCATGATCGGATCAAAATCAAGTCCGATCAGGTTAAGTTCAGCCTGTCATGGCTCGGACGGCCCAACTTCACGCCCGACATTCTGTGGTTGACCAGCTAGAAGTCGATCATGGTCTTAGCCAGCTGATTCCCCACGTTACTACTGGGATACCTGATCATGGGTACTGGGCTTTTAAAGCTGGAGTACGATAGGCTTTTCTCTTAATCTCGTCCGTTCTTCGCCCGAAATGCTGAGATAACGTTATCACATCATTTGGTCCGCTCTGCCACCCCACGAAACATACTCCGCAGCGAATCAAAGCGCAGGCTGGAACCTTGACCCAGCTGATGATTAATTGATCCATTTTCGTTCATTTTCGTTCATTTTCGCATCGGGGTTCCTTCATTGTCCGAGGTCGTAGCTGCTACAATGATATCTAAACCTAGCCTTAGTCATTGAAGGGCATATAGGGCTGAAACAGAACACACAGCTAATGGGACAGGGTTCAAGCTTGAGTTCCAGCTCTTGAACTGTATGACGTATCATACTTTGATACAAAATTTATTGAGGTTTCCTGACGTCGTGTTCTGCTGTCCAATCATTTCCCAGATCCCAAATGCCTTTCTATGCACGTCCTCTCAAAAACCAAATGGTAATGAGTCCATGCACTCAATATTCTCCTCTGCTTCTTCCTTCAGACATCTCTCGCAAGTGCATTTGAACTGAAACTGCTCTTGTGTATGATTTTGTCTACTTGTGAGGTCTTTATGTGTTGTAAGATCAAAGTAGGTAATCATGCATTCTTCGCCCTTCGAGATGTCGCGAACTGCTGTATAGACCATTCGCGCTTGTCCGTCAGGTTTATGAGTGACCTATGAGAGCTGTCAGTAGCACATTCACGGGGGCTTTTCATAATAATCTCCATTCGCTCACATTTGGTAGGCAAGAATGGTTGAACTGGGCAGCACGGGGATACAGGGCCATTCCGTAAGATTCACCTCTTGGCGCAGCATTGTCGTTCACGGGCTGAGAGCCAGTGGCCCTCGGATACAGTCCAAAGGTATTGGTCTCTTCCTTGCATAATAGCAAAAGCATTTGTTCAGCACTTAGCAGGAGCGGTAGAACAGTCGCATCACTCAGGTACTCATGGACCAATCGTTTCCAATGTATAATCTGCACCTCGGGCCACGAGTCAAGGTATGCACAACACATGTCCACAGCTTTCCAGCCACGTAGGAAATGGGCCTCCCATGGATGCCGCTGTTGTACAAGGGCGTTACCGCTGTGTAACTCGGCATTCCACGTGGCAAGCAGACGAACAACATGCCAGACCGTAGCGAAATTGTACTCGCCCTCTTTTTGGCGAAGTGGTTCTGCGTGTTTCTTCAACCAAGAGCACTCAAAGTCATGTCGGGCCTTATCCGTCGCTCGGCATGCGACATTACACCAGACAACATCCTTGGAACAAGCATGCTCACAGCGGACGGCGCGACCATTCTGCGGGACACGGCGAGAGCATGACAAATTGCTGCATGTAAGCGGTTCGTTGGACGTCACAGAAGGGACGATAGCATATGGTATGTCTACGAGAAGAACGGTTCCTTCTCGAATAGGACCCGCGGCTCGAAGTAATCTTCCCTTGCAGGGGTCTTGGTCAGGAACCAGATTCGGATGTACATAAAATTCCAGATCGTGAGTGACGACATTGGAAGGTTTTAGTGAACTTCTTGGTGCCTTTGGCGGCAATCGGGGTTTTTGGAACTCCATTGTTGCTGGATAAAGAGCTGGTTGAAAGATAAAGTGTTTAGAGGGTGACGGATAAGAAATATGAGAATTAAAATGAATGGGAAAAGAATTTGCAGGCAAAGTCGCTACTGAGCATTTGTGTTCTGGACCCTCGGAATGATCGAATACGGTTAGATGAGGAGGCCACTAAGACACCATCGCCACTGAGATAAGGGTATCATTTCGGCGTAACCTTTTGCGGCTTAAAGCCAATTGCTGTATCACTGTATCAGAAAGGCGGTATGTATTTTGAGGTTCGACATTGTGTCACTGTAAGAAAGGTGCATTGTGATAAGCTCAGTGGTTGACGTGGACGAAGGAATTAACTTTTTCATCACAACACCATATGACCATGAGAGTTGTCAGCTTTTTGGGCGGCGCTGCCCCTGTTGAAGAGCAAAAAAGTCAGAAACTTCATTCAATCAGTTTAGCTGCCGCAAAGAAAAAAATTCTTTGTGTCTTTTTACGTCAACATTCGGCGATTTTTTTACCCCGTTATTAAATCGGCATTGCAATAACTGTTCATCGCTGAGTGGAGAAGGGCCACATGGAAGCTAGGGGTAATCCCTCCAGTGAGATTGGTTCCCGTCACACGTGTCACTAATAATAGCACAACCAGTTGGCCAGCTACAAATGCATCTCGACTGACAACGTTGTTCTCAAAGGGCAGGCTGTATTGCTAAACTACAATTCTGATTTGACAAAAACGTCATGGTCAATCTCTTGAGCCACTGGCTTGTAGGTCCATTGGCTCACGTAGACATCGCCTCCCTTGGGACAGTCCACCCCAGATCCTTTGCCGTTGCAGGTAGCATAAGGCCCAAGCAAGCTGCCGACAAATTGACCCATACCTCCACTAACGAGACTTGCCGATGCTGTCGCGATGTTGAGAGTCTTACCTCCGCGGCTTGATGCCCCGAGGTTGTAGTGCGTCGCGTTTGCTGCCTCAATATGTAGAGTAATTACACCCTTCTCCCAGCCATCGGGGACCGGTACTACCTTTGGTGCAGGAACATTCTGAGCTCCAGTGGCTCGGAATCTGAACGCGAGCTTGGACTTCTTGTTGCTACCTTGCTTGGTCGGGAGACGAACAATGCCAAGGTCAATATGATCGAGCTGCGTTCGGAAAACGGTGATACCAGCCTCCTGGTCATCTGACTTGGGCTTAAAGTCGATATCGACACTATACTTGAAGAGAGTGTGAGTTTGTCGACGACCAATGAAGGCCAAGCCCCGCTGTCCTGAGAGCTCAATCTCGTCTCCAGCTAGAAGGCTACCGGTAACGTTATTGCGACTCGGCACGATATGCAGACCCTTGGCAGACAGAGAGAAAGCACCCTCTCTGGGGACGCGGTGATGAACAAAGTGAGGTGGAATGTTTTTAGCCTTCCTCAGGTTGTAGTTATCTGGGTCGGCGTTGAAGGGTCCATCTCCAGGAACGTTTCGCGTCAGTTTTGGGAGAAGGTTTCCAGGCATGCGGCCTCGAACTGGTTGCAACTTGGGCCATTCGCCCTTGTTCCATGTGCCATTGAAGAGAACGGCTTCACGGCCCATGGGTGAAACCCCAGACGCTGTGATGCGAGTAGCCAGACAAAGACCCCACCAGTTGCCCTTGGTATCTTGGAACAGGTCACCGTGACCGACGGTCTGGAAGTACTCAGATGTTCCGCGGTTGGTCAAGATCGGGTTGTTCTTGTATGCTTCATATGGACCGGTGATCTTGCGGGCTCGAGCGATGGTGATAGCGTGGTCTTCAGCAGTTCCACCCTCGGCGATCATGAGATAGTAGTAACCGTCGCGCTTGTAGATATGGGGTCCCTCAGGCCATACGCCGCCTGTGCCGTTCCAAATGTTGAGCTCGGGGCTAAGCTTCCCTGTTTCCAGATCAAGCTCCTGCAGAGTGATGCCATGAGTAGCACAATAAACCTTTCCATCGTCGTCCCAGAAGAGGTCGGGGTCAATGTGTGTTGGCTTGAAGGTAACAGGGTCACTCCAGCTACTCTCATCCCAGGGATTGGTGGTCTTGAAGATGACACCAATAATATCTCCAACGCCTAGGTACTCGCAAATGACGTAGTATGTTCCTTTGTGATATCGAATGGTTGGTGCGTACATTCCTTGCTGTTGTCCCACTGTCTTCCAGCTAATGCCAGGCAACTGTTTCTCACGGTTCCAGACATGGCTGATGAGACGCCAGTTGACTAGGTCTCTTGAAGCATAAACGGGAAGACCTGGGAACGAGATGAAAGTTGAAGTGACACAGAGAAAGAGGCCGTCTTTCTGGATGCATGATGGGTCTGAGTGCCATCCTGGAAGGACCGGGTTGGTGTAAGTCGAAACATCCGTCTTCTTTTCAGGAAGAGCACTTCCCAGCGCAAGAAGTGAGCACAATAGCCAAGAGAAGCGCATTTTGAAACCACACAACTGATATCGTCCTAGTTACATCAGACATCACTTCAATCGCGAGAGCTTCTCCTCATTATATATCCATATTCGAGCCGTCGATCAGGAGAGAGATCCAGGCAAATGCGGGGGAGAAAACGGCTGAATTACAATCCCCGGAAACAAATTTGTCACGATTGATAATGCCGATTCGAGCGCTAGATTTTGACCCTTGTTACTAGCATGACGATCTTGTCGAAGAGCGCCTTGAGCCTGCAGAATGAGGGGTCTTGATGCAACTCAACCTTGCCAATTCCATTAAATAGGCTGATTCAACGACTCAGAAAATAAACTACATCGTCATGAAGAAAACGATGTAAGCCATTTAGGCTAATCGGATATTGTTAGTAATGAAAGAATTCATTTCAAGACTTCAAAGAAAACCGCTTCAGCCAATGGTGAAGGGTGAAGCTGTATAATACCTTCAATTTCTAGCGATCGCTTTCATCGAAAAGCTTGAATAAAAAGGCTGAGAATCTCTTACTTAATGCTCAGTGTTATCTGTTCAAGTGCACCAACGTGACACGGCTACTTTGGGTTTGGCAGGTATCCATCTCTCCACACAAATTTTGCTAGCGATAACCTTTCACATAAAAGACGGGGATTGTCGCGCGCCCTCAAAAGCTTAACATTATGCGCATCATTCTTTACCAGTCGCCCAAAGCAACGATTTGGAGGTTTGCAGACTGCACAAAAACACATACTTAGCTACGGATGCCTTTAATTTGATTGACCATTCAGATCTAGCAATTGATTGCTCAATCGCGCCGATCGACATGATGCGCCTGGTGTAGGGTAACATCAATGGTAGGATGGACCCTGTAGTGACCCTGGCGGGGAAGTTTCGCGAAACTTCGCATCGGCAAGCAACAGCAGCAACATTGAATTGCGTGTCGTGTCAAACAACAAATGCCTGAGGCTCCCCAATTCGATGCGATTCCACGGTCTCACAGTCTGCGAAAACCCTCGCTTGTATCCCCAAGACTAGAATAGTCTCATCATCCGATAACGACATGCTCTGACAATGAGATCTGGTTGACGTCACCTGCAACGGTACACGGAAGAAAGTCACCGAAACGTCCTGATCCTGACCGCGTTTTCTCAAGAGTCTGGAAATAAATAATACTCTTTCGGATTTAATTACCTATTTATCAACTCAATTCGTGTTCTACGTTTTTTTTTTTTTTGTTTACTCTGTGCTTGGGTAGTGGCTTTTTTTACGCACGCGCAAATGTCTCTCGCTCAGCATGTAACCCAGACTGAGGGCTTCGACTACGAAGGCCCAGCGAATCCCAACTACGAAGGTCCGAGTCATCCGAATGTTTCTCCTGGCTTTGGTACGGGAAATATTCTCGCTCCTGGTGATGAATGCGATCAAAGCGGTGATCGATCAGAATGGCGTCGATTGAGTTTTGCGCCTGTCGAGATTGCTAAGAAATTGCCAAACATTGCGGCTTACAAGGTCTCCAACCTCAAGCGCTATGGTGAGTCAATCAGTTAGCCCAATTGCGAGGCATCGCTAACCTCGCGCAGTTCAGGTCGCGACTGGTATAATTGCTTGTTGGTTCGCAGCAGGGATTGTCTTCGGTTTCGCTGCCCTCAAGCCAATTCTCATCAACGAGGGCATCTATTCCGAACTCTGCCCGGTGGTGGATTACAGGATCCCATGCGCTGAACAAGACATGCGATTGAACCTTTTGTTCATCTCAGCGTCAATCTCCGCGAATGTGTCTTCTCTTTTCGCTGGCGCTGTGCTCGATCGCTACGGTCGACGAGTATGTTGGCTGGTCTCGAGTGTTCTGCTCACTCTCGGTTCGTTGATGATGGCCATCTCATTCTCGCATCCCGGCTTCCATGGATATCTCCTCGGCAACATTCTTCTCGCTTTCGGTGGCACCTTTATCTTCGTTTCCAGTTTCCAGCTCGCGAACGCGTTTCCGAAATATTCTGGGCTGATCGTCGCGCTCGTCACCGGTGCGTTTGATGCCTCGGCTGCAGTGTTTTTGTTCTATCGCATGGCTTATGAAGCATCCGGTGGATCATTTTCACTTGACAAGTTCTTCTACGGCTACATTTCCGTTCCAGTAGCCATTTTCCTGGCTGAATTTCTCTGGATGCCGGCCCACTCGTATCATACCCTCCCTCAACTCGAGAAGAAGATCGAGCACGCTCAAGACCGCACCCGCGATGTTCACGAATCGGACGAAGAGATCGACGATACAAACGAATTGACACGCGTACGAAGCGCCCGAGCCGACCAGAGAAAAGCCAAGCTTGAGAAAATTGAGGAACTCGCTGGCGATAGTCAAGAACGAGGCGAACGCGTCAAAGAAGAGGAAGGCCGACAAGAAGCCAGCGGAGTCTGGGGTGTTCTCCACGGAATGCCAGCTCACAAGCAGATGATGACGCCTTGGTTCATCCTCATTCTCGTCTTGACGATCCTTCAGATGATTCGCATGAACTACTTCATCGCTGGTGTCAGATCGCAGTACCGATACATGTTGGGCTCTGACAAGGCCGCTGAGCGCATCAATGAGTTTTTCGATGCTGCTCTGCCCATCGGAGGCGTTGCTGCGACGCCATTCATTGGAATTTTGCTCAATAACCTGAGTGTTCCCACTACCTTTTCTGTTTTGACGGTATTTATCATCATCATTGGCGTCCTGAACTGTATTCCGAACCTGGTAGCTGGATACTTCACAGTCGTTGCTTTTGTCTTTTTCCGTCCTCTTTACTATTCTGCAGTCTCGTAAGTACCCTTTCAATTACTTCACCAATTCTAGTTACTGACCTGCATTCTAGTGACTACGCCACTAAAGTCTTCGGTTTCGCTACGTTCGGGCGCATTTACGGAACGATCACTTGCATCTCTGGAATCACGCAGCTCATTCAGTCGGGACTCGATGCACTCACTCATGGCCCATTGCACGATGACCCAACGCCTGTCAACGCGACCTTGGGTGCCGTCGGAGCTCTTGTAGGTCTCATTTTGACCGTCTTCATCACTGTCAAGGGTAGAGTCTTTGTCGAGAAGAAGGTTGAGATGGAGGCCGATGGTGAGAGAGAACGACTCCTGTCGGATGCTCAGAATGGGTATGGAACTGGTCACTGAGTCTAAGGATGGCAGAGAACTATGAAAGAGGTTTTGTGAGGGAATTTGGAAATCGTTTTGTAAGGTTGCATTACATTTCTATCCTGTTGGAAGCTTCCAAGTCGTTGTCTTTTATGAATTGTGTGTTCATGGAAGTGTAGGATGGGATTAAAAGTTATTGGATGGGCGTATCGCCTTGAGTTCTCACTAATCGAATTTATAAAGATATGAAAAAATAAAATGATGCAGGAGTTGGCTGGGCTATAGATATTCATGTTAATTAATTTACCATTCTCACTGATGCTGTTGGTCATGTAACTCATGCCTGCCAATCGGGACTCAATCCTGCGAGATGCTGTATAAACATGAGAACCAGGGAAACTATGCATATTAGGATATTTAGATCAATAATACCCGTTCCCAATTGATGACAACGACGTGAGCACGGTTCGGTTCAGATCCACGCGCCAAACGTCGCCCGAAGCTCTCTCGAGACACGCAAATGTCCAGCCTCAGCATTTTGCCTACGACAGCATGCAGCAAGTCAGATCAGCATGTGGAGCTTCAATTCAAAGCGAATGGCCAGCAGGGAATGCCTCAGTTTGCACGCTATGTGATAGATTTCGACGCATTTGGATCTTTAAAATAAATGTAGGGAGTGAGGTAGGGCGGATGGGCTTGGAAGCATCACAAAAGAGTCCCGTTTAATAACCAGTAATAATTACAAGGCGATGTCTCACTATACAAGCATATTTTATCGAGATGCAATCCATAACGCTGCCTAGTTTAAGTCGGGCCCAAGCTGAGAGATTGACAGTGGTTGCTCCCTTACAGCTATACATACCGACTAGCGACTCTCAACTCCTGAGCTACCAAATGTTTCCATTCCTCACATCACAGGCCGGAGACAATTCTCCCTTGATGGTGGATATTCGAGAAAAGCAATTAAATATAATGCCTCGCCTCTTTCACCCTCTGTCAATAAGCTGCTTGTCTTGGTACCCAGCAGAATGTCCAGACGACTCATTTCGTTACTGCTGTCAGGTCTCATCACACAAACTGGTGCTCAACATGTTGTCAAAGAACCAGATACAGTCTGTGTAACGTACTTATCAACATATCTCGTCCCTATTTCGTCGAACGCCACAGGTTCTGTGCCTACAGATGGCGCGAACAGCTCATCGCAGACATTTGATGCTGCCTTGACAGCTTTTACCACATTAGAGTCCGGGATTAATCCATCCCTCGAACTGACCGAGGCTCTTCAACCTTCCCAGTCTCTTTCTGGTGATTCCAATCAGTTTATCACAACCTCGGTCACGACCGGTACGAATACAGCGGACTCCGATCCCACGACAGCGCCCGGGCCTGATGACCAGCTCGTTGTCTTCCGCATCGTCCCAGACACTGATAGCTCAAGACGGAGGCGACTCAAGAGAGCGCTTGGAGGCTTTGTAGGCTCTACCTCGGAGATATGCCAAGATGCTTCTGCGTTTAGCCTCTCTGGCGGACGCCTTCTTGACGGCCGGAGACCCATTTACTACAACGGCGAAGACTTTAAGGAACTGCGCGGTCAACAGACGACACCACCTCGCGAGGCTGTTGCTACCACATTTGCTGGTGATGGTGGATTCCTCCAACAACCCATTTCCGGATAATGGCTTGCCATCAGTGGCCATTGCGGCCTACTGGGATAACTTGCACATTAGAGGTAATGCTGGTTACGAAATCACGTACAGAGTTTACGATGATGCTAATTATCGCGCTGTCAATATCGACTGGTGTGTTGTGAATGAGGATGATGTTATCACCCACTTCATGGTTATTCTCAGGGCTTACGATCTTTCAAACCCCGAGTCAGTTTTCATGCGTTACTTCCAGTCAAATGGAGGAAATTCTGCCACTATAGCTGTACAGAATCTTGTTGATGCAAAGTCTGAGCAATTCTCTTACGATATGGAAGATGCAGTGCCAGATGGATGCACGGTTCTCTTCTTCACTATAGGAGGCGATGAGAGAGTTGTTTATGTACCACCGTAAGGGGCATATAGCACCATCTACTACATTTCGTATGTTTATGTACTTAGTTTCAACACAGAATAATGTCATTCATTTTTGCATTGCACCCAGCGCTTACCCTTTAAGAACGCAAGTCACGCCCAGGAAAAGCAGAAATACATCATGTGTATGAACTGTTGAGATTCGTGTGAAACCACATAAGAAACTATACATAGCTATATTCTATAGATCAACATCACCTGAGCTCGATCTCCATCCCAAACTATACATAACATCTGAGAAGGCAACCATAACCCTCCAAAGACAAGCATCAAAAATATCTTGAGCCTTGTCGAGGAATCCAGCCAATCCGCCTCGAACGTTCTGAGCAAACTCACCAATCTTGGTGATAGCCCAAGATGAAGTCTCATAGATGCGCTCCATGCCATGATGCAGACACTGTGGTCTTTTCACAGGGGAGTTACTGGGGTTATCGCCCTTGGGAATCTCCTTTTCCTCAGGATCAGACCAGTTAGAACCAAGGCGGTACACAGAATAAGCATTATCTGGTCCGCCACACTGCTCGCGTGTATCGAAAATGGACGTGAACCAGCATTTATCGTCGTCAATTCGCGCAGATTCATCTGGAAGCTTATTGGAACAGAAGCATCTAGATCCATGGCGAAGTGCAACGGAATATCCCTTGATAGTACACTGACGGTTGCAAGAATCTCCGTTGGAGCTTCGATAAGGTCCTGTGATCCTGACGCGTGGAGGATACGAAGAGGTGAAGCCTGGAAGGGTGAAACAGCCATGGGGTTTCAGCTTGGACAGTCCCATCTCCGTTGGGCGTTTCGAAACCTTAAAGGGTCGCTCGACTTCCTCAATCTTGAGCTCATCATCCACCACTTTAGTGGCAATTCCTGTGTTCACAACACTCCAAGCTCTTCTCCCGCCACAAGCTTCACGAGACCAACCGGGACACCAGTTCGCACACTGAGCATCATCGACCCGTGCGCTCTTCGCAGGATACGTATCAGAGCATAAGCACCAGCCACGCTGAACAGCTGCGACAGGCTTATCCTCGCGCTGACAATAGCGAGCGCATTGTTCAAGGTTGTTCATGCTCTCAAGCTTCTTGTGTGTCAAGGTAGCAGACTGCATATTGTAGCAGCCATGTGATGTGACATAGCCTAAGCTCGGCTCCTCATAAGGCTTCTGTATATGGCCCCTGTTATTGGATTCTTGTTGGATGCGGTATCTCCCACCAGCATAGCCAGTCCTATATGCCGAAAAAGTATCTGCAGTACCACTGTGGCCTCCACAAGAATACTGAGAATCGCCAGCGCAAGGGATCTGACATTCACGAAGGTCTGCTGTGGAGCTAGAGCGAGGATAGCCTTGGGAACAGTGACATTGCGAGCCTTTGATGAATGCAACACCTTGTCCCGCGGCTTTGCACGAGTCGATGCAGGATGAGGGGAGCTTTGAAATTGCGCCTGGGTCTAGAGGTATGCGGCTTGCAGTCATGGGGATATCGTAGAAGCATCGCTCAATCTGTCTTATAGGCTTAGGCTCGATGACAGGTCTCCTCTCGGGGCCGAGGTTGTAAACACTGAAAGCGACATTGTCGCCACCGCAGTTGAAAAGATTTGTTCCGGGACACTGAACATTACACTGAGAATCAGGAAGTTCATCTTTCTTATCGGGATACTCATTGCTGCAGTGGCAGATCTGATCCCGGGTGAACGCATACATACGGCCCTTTCGCTGACAGAAGCGGTGGCATAGCATAGGACTATTGCGCGCAAACAGTTTGGAGACAGTATCTGTGGGCACTGTTTTGTAGCAAGCTTGTCCGGGATGCCCATTCGGCTCAGTATGCTTCGTAGGTGTCTCCTCGGCGCTTTGCGATGTAGTGAAAGGATCGTGGATCTCAACATCAACGCCAAGGCCGGTGTCGTAAACAGCGATATAAGGACTGTGGCGAACTTGATTGTACTGAGTTGCGCGCTGGCATCGATCGTCGTCGTCGCTCAGGCAAGGCATGTAACATTTGTAGGCTCCGACAATAGAGTCTGGTCGGGGATACCTTCTACCGCAGTAGCACGCGTGTCCACTGATGAAAGCAAGAGGTTTTCCATCCTCAGCACATGCCTTGGCGCAGTCGCGGCGGGAGTCATCGTCGCGAATCAGCATCCTCTTACGGAATGTTGGGCGCATCGTAACATGATAGCATCCCTGCGCCGTGATCTTGCCAACCTTGCCACGGTTTGTCGCGAGTTGCTTAGGTTCGGTTTTCTGAATAGATGGTCCCTGCCTGTGATGCGATGGCAGTGCATTTGTTTCGTCATTGGCCATAGAAGGAATGGAGAAAACGGCGAAAAGTTCGTCCTCCTCCCCAAAGGCATGGTTTCTTGGCTGCTTGACGCAGTCACCATTCAAAATACCAACACACTGCGCATTACAGCGGTTATTATCGACCTGATGATAACTCGGAGGTGCGGCATTACTGCAGAAGCAGTTGACAGAATCGAACGCAATCCATTGCTGACCGCGCCGGGTACATGTATCGACACACTTCTGGCGCTGAACCTCGTTTCGTGAAAATCCACCAACAACAAAATTCCGCGATCTTGCCCGATAACAGCCCTTATGCTTAAGAGCCTCGAGGTTGGAACTTTGGGCAGCTACCAGAGCCACCCAGAAAAAAAGAGCGGCATGTAATAAACTAAATGTCGCCATGGCAAAAGAGTGAATGGCGTCAAAGAACAAGAGGGAACCATTGGGGCCGGGAATGAGGTGTTTATGTTTCCGTCATCAGCGGCCGGTCTAATTTTACATGAGGACAATCTAGACTCTCGTTGGTTGCCCTTGTGTTAAATATGGAACGATTTAGGCATCATACAAGGATCTGTGCCTCAATGCTGGCTAGGATCATAGAAATCAGCCAACGAGTGGTAGACTTGGGGAGCTAAAGTGACAGGGCTGCGGATCCTAGCTGAAGCGTCGTTCTTGGCGTCGGCTACAAGGCATGCTGAAAGAAGAAATCGCCGACACTCGTGATATTTCTATAGGGTAGGGAGATCTTTTTACAAACCTACAAGAATAAGTTCAAAGACTCATCGTTATCATAATCATCAGGGGGTTTAGCTTAGATTTAAGCTTATATTGGATTACATTGCCGCCAGAAAAGGAACGCTGTTCCCAGTCTTCCTCAACCTGGGTTCCATCAAGCTCTTCTTGGCTGATTACGTATACATATCTTGCCTTGCATATGAGCCTCGAGCTCAAGGTAATTCGTCGGACAGACGTCTCGTCGTAAGTTCTACCAATTCCTGAGCTCTCAAACAATACAGGCAGGAAAAAGGAATGGCAATCACTCCATGTTCCCCGCTTGCTAGTAGGCAGACGAACGACACCATGTTCGGCTGAGTAATACCCGCGCGGGTGAGTGTCCACCTTCATTTGATGAGTAATGCATAAACCTCGGGCGGTCCTTGATGGTATTAGAAACCTCATTACGTTGATGAAAGCTGTCTCTTTTCCTCAATCTTCATTCTCAATCTGCTTCCCGGATTGCTGGGCCTACTTTATCCTGCACTGTCATCGTGTTTGTCGCACCTTGACTGCCTTGCTGAGCAGCCGATATGGCCCACGAGATCCCCTCCAGGGCTGGCTCATCATCAAACATCAATGAGTATATGCATTCGACCGGAGCGAGCAGCCAAGGCTCAGCGTGGGAAGAAGAACGAGAGAACGAACAGACCAGTCGGCGCATCAGCATAATCACCACCACGCTCTCTTGCTTCCAGTGCCGGGCTCGAAAGGCGAAATGCGATCGATTGAAGCCCAACTGCAGTCGATGCGTGCGACTTGGAGATGAATGCGTGTTTCCAAACTCGCGACAGAGGCGACTCGTTCGGAAGACAAACCCTGCTGCCACGTTGGAGACCCGAGTAGGTTGGTGACCCTTGCGTTCTTTCCAATAGCCGGGGTCAACTAACCCTTTTCTTGAAGCGCGACTAGAAGAGATAATTACGCAAAGCGGCCTACCAGACATCTTACTGAGTGAGTCCATATCCCTTGGTGATGAAGCCGGACTTGATATGGGCTGGAACCAGGATGCAGCCAACATCAACCAGTCAACTTCCTACGGGCCCGCGTCCAATGGAATTCCCGTAATGCAACCAACTGCCGCGTCGCCCCAAGAAGACCCATTCATGATGCAAGAATTGATTGGAATTGGTCAGTTTGAGCAGCTTCCGCCCAGCCACTTGACCGAACGACTGTAAGCCGTGACCGCCTCCGACTTCGTTCCCTAACCCCCTCTATGCTACGCTATTACTACCGTCATTTATCGCTTCTACATGCGCCCGACTATGCTAATCCAGGGTTTATAGGGTTGCTTTGTATTTCGACGAACTGAACCAAGATCTCCCAATGTTACACCGAACACGCTATGTGACATCTCTTCATTACCCTGCCCATATGCGTCCACCCATGTCTTTACAATATGCGGTCTTGGCTCTGGCCGCAGCAACGCGTCAGGAGTTCGCACACCTCGCAATGCCATTCTATCAGCGGTCTAGGCGGTATGCAGAGGCAGATGAGATGAAAGTGAGTGCATGAACCGAAACGCATGAGGAGCCAACAATCATAACGCTTTTGGCCAGGGCCAAGGAGAATACTTTACCACCATAGCTCATACGCAATGTTGGTGCTTACTCGCCGCCTATGAGTCCCACCAACTCCTCTTCTCTCGGGCGTCTGTCAGTCTATCTAAAAGTGTCCGGATCGCCCAGATGCTTGGGCTGCATCGTCTTGATAGCCCAAAACAACCAACGGACCCTCCGCTCCCTCCACCGGGAGACTTCTTTGAGGTTGAAGAGCGGAGGAGAACCTGGTGGGTAATATTCTGTTCCGATCGGTTCGTGAGTGGCATCACGGGTTGGCCCGCTCTAGTCAATGAGAAGGATGTGAGTAGATCATTGGACTGGAGAAGCTTGAGAAACCAGAGGGCTGATGTATCAACTGCATACAGATCGAAACCCGATTACCTGCCTCTGACGATGCATTCGATATGGGCACTAATGAAGCGACACCCTTTCTCATCGCTGCCCTTCAAGGGGGCACTCTCTATTCTCCTTTCGCTGGTAAGGTGCTTACTGCCCATACGTTCCACAGAACTCTAGAGCACACATTCCGGTCCCTCCCAAATGATGGCATCGAGAACATTTCGAATGGGCCATACTGGATTCGACAGCGGGGTATTGACGCTGACCTATCTAATATGATTTTGTACCTCCCAGAAAACCTCCGCCTCCCACAGTACGGACAGAACCGGAATGCCGTCGTCGTCAATGTGGGCATTCACACCTCCGTTATATGCATACACAGAGCGGCATTGGCAAAGATAAGAGAGTTCGGCCTAGCCGCAGACTTGTTTGCAAATAGCAGGCTTCGGCTTCTACCTTCGGCAGAGCAAATACTGAACGCTCTCAAGTCGACTGACGACGCCAAGGGCGCTATGGCAGATCATTTCTTGGTGTTTTCGGCGTATCTTGCGGCCTTGATCTTTCTAGAAGACTACATGGAAACCAAATATCTGAAGAACGAGCAACATCTCCATTACATTCTGAATGCAATGACCCAAGCTGGCGAGAAAGACCTATTCTCACGTTCGTTAGCAATTCAGCTTGCTTCAGGGATGAAGCACGTCGGAATGGATTCGAGGACTATAGACAGAGTAAGAACGCTCACGCAATGGCCATCTATCATTTTGAAGTTGCTAACAACGTGAATTTAGGTACAAGAACTTCCGCCAACACCTGTATCGATACCCATTCTTGCCAAACAAGACAAGGCCTCATCACACATCACTTTCTGTTCGATTCTGCCCACCAAGTCAGATCACTACTCGATCTCACCAAGAAGGGGATAATATCGTGGCGTGTGGGTGTCCGCTTTGGCCCAAGCATTGAGAGTGTGCCGGTTGTTGAGACCCGGCGCTGGATTGTAATATTTACTGTATAAAGAATGCCATACTCCTATGATATAAGGACTGCGCTTGTTCGGTGATAATGGTTTGAAAGGCCAAAATCAACAGTAGAAGAAATACTATGATACGAGTATGGAGCTGAACCCTAACCCGTTCTATGAATGGAACTCAAAGCTAATCCTTCGAAAGTCAGATCGTCTATCAAGGGAACATTCTCCAAGCCCAGAAATGTATTGATAAGGTCCGAACTCAAGTGAGAGTTACTAGCCATTGCCCCAGCCTGCGTCTATCATGGGGGACCACCACTTGGTGCGTATCGGCTGAGCTTTCTAATTCTCTCGCCAAAGACATAAAAGAGTATTGGAACTGGGAAAAGCCCAACCGCTATAAAGCCAAGAACACTGGTGGCCCAATCAACCCCCAGCCTTTTGTACATGGCGGCCGCAAACATTGGAAATCCTGCGCCGAACAGTGCCCGTACTACAGCATTGGCAGCGAGGGCACTGTTTGCATTCATTCGATAATTATCTATGATGTAGGTTTGACCTTGGAGAAAGATACTACGAGCAAGTCAGCAGTCGCTCTGCGAACCTGCACGATCGAAAACACTTACAGCATGATACCCACTCCCAGTGGAATTCCAGCTAAAGCTTGTGGCACCCACAAGATGTTAGGGTCGGAAGTCCATGCGAACCAGAGAAGCCCAATAGGAAAACATGCCCCGCCAACCATCATCGGTAGAAGCCGCTGCTCAGGTGGCAGATGACCCTTAGCCTTGATTATGCGTGTAAGCCGGGTCTTGGAGAAGATGACAATGAATATGACTCCAATGACAACGCCGAGTATTATAGCTAAGAATGGGAGAGATCCCACACCACTGTTCCAGCCCCGGTCCTCTTGGAAGGACACTGGATATGCTTCGAAGCATAGGTAGATGAGGCCGTATACGAAGGACATGTAAAGCGTGACGAGGATGATCACGGGCTCGAGGACTAGCATGGCGAGTGGCCGGACTAGGATTCGGTTTGCCATTTCGTGGATATCAACCGGCCTTTCTTCCGCAACGGCATGCATGGCCCAGTCTCGGGTTGATAGGCGGACTGAACGAGCTTTCCGAGCCAGAAGTGTAGACTCTAACGTCTCAGGAACCGTGATGAAAGCTATGGGCCCGAATAAAGCTGCCATAATAGCCGTGATGTACGCCGTCCACCGCCAGCCGAGTGAACTTTGGGTGATGAACCCACCCATGATAGGACCGGCAACAGGACCCTGCAGTCATCGAAATGAGTGTCGATGTCACTGATATCCAACGAAGAAATCGCACTTACGACGAAATTCGCGCCCGCGAAAATGCTCATGGCAATGCCGAGCTCGACAGGTGGCCAGAGGTCGACAAGTGCGCCGCCAACAACGCTGAGGGGAGATGAACCAAACAGGCCACTCAGAAATCGACAGACAAGGATAGTTTGAACATTCTCGGCGGTGGCCACGGGGATCTGGAATAGTGCAAAGACGAAATACCCAACAAAGAGTGGGTATTTACGGCCGTATACCTCTGACACAGGCCCAAATATCAGGGGACCAAAGGCGAAACCCTAGAGGTGGATTAGCCACAAGTCGGAGTGTTAAAGATGTCGCTAGCGATAGCGAACGTACTAGGACAAACAAGCTTGTACCCAGAGTCATGACTTCTATTGAGACGCCGAACTCCTTTGCAGCAGGCCGAGTTGCCGTGCTAAATATGCTGCTTGCGAAGGTCACAACCCATGTCAGCATGCCTAACGAGACTGTGATGATCCATTTTCTCCGATTCGGCCAGTTCTTGGGGTTATCTGGATCATCTGGACCGTTCCAGCCGACGATTTTGCTGTTGGGATCCCGTCCGGTGATTGCTCGATTAGGATCGGCACCCATGACGCTGTCAGAGGAAGGGCTAGAGTCTTGTTTCTGCTCGTTCGTGGAATCGCCTTCGGAGATAGAAGAGGGAGACGTAGTGGCTCCGGCGCGGGACGCCATGGCCCAGAGAGGTCGAAGGACAGGGCTTCTGGCTTTTACAGAACAGAGAGTTACTACCGTGAGCTTAGTGGTATCGAAGGCACCGGAAATGTTTAGGACTCAGGAAGTAGATAGGTGTCACTATTATAAAGCAACGGTACGGGTTGGGGGTGGGGTCAGGAAATCATGTTGAAATCGAACTTCGAATGCGTCTGAAGACGATCTAACAAAGCATTACACCAGGAGTCACGCCGATTTAGTCAGCACGCTGGTTCGGTCGTGGCCGCCTACCGAGAGAGCCCGGTCCGGCGAGGTGCTTGGCGCGGCCGGTCTGAACGGTATTATCGCTGGGCCGTGGTTGGTCCAACCGGTCTTGAGCATAAAACCGGCGGGCCGCGATCTGTCCGGTGGATCCACAAGAACATGCCCCTCCATGAAGAAGCCATTGAACCCGGCGTAGCTTCATCGAATCATTTAATTCATTCATTTATCATTTTACTTGTAAGATTTTATATGGTAATGTCTTAGTTAATAAATCCTAGCTCATGTGTAAAAGGAAACTTCAAAGACTAAGATAATAGATGTCTATAAAAGCAGCATTTAACAAATGAATATCTTATTTAATGTAGTTTATCTAATTACTGGATATAACTATTTCGAATTGAAATGTTTTCTTGAACCAAAGCAGACCTCCCGTCTAACGTTAGATCTAATGCAAAACGAGTTCTAGTCCATTATGCGCTATGGGGCTTCACCTGCCAAACATCAAGGGATACCCAGGGACCCGGAAAATCAGTCACAGCTACAGCGAGAATCTCGTTAAGCCAAGAGTACTTGCTGCTTCCAGTCTCAAACTTGAGTCTATCCAAAGCAGTAGTTCCCGAGATCAAAGGACCAGCTGAGTGACTGTAAACATAGGATCCGTCATCCATCTGTACCACAGAGTGCGCGTCGACGTTGAAATTCCCCAGAGCATCGATTGCACCGAAATCGGCTCCGATAGGGAGGACCGTTCCTGCGAACAGTCAGCTGGTATTCATCATGTAAACGTGTTATTCGGCCTGCTTGTACCTTCGCCTTTGGGGCCCGACAAGCTGCCACCGGTTATGGGAATGGCCAATCTGGTTCCCGCTGGACCTGGACCGGTGTTGATGGTTGAACTGAGAGTGAGGTTCATACGGAAGAGGTACGTGAGAGTTGGAGCCTCAGGGGTCGCTGTAGCGGCCCCAATGCTGCTGGCGATGACAAAAAAGGCAGAAATCAACATGTTTGTAGAGCGAAGCAAGAAGGCCGAAAGAGAGTGACTGGGTTGTGATGACTACTAATTTTCAGCTGCAATGTACGAGGCGAGGTCGTCTCTTAAACAGAAGAACAACTCGTCATTTATACCAGTCTCTATGAACGAGCACACTCAAAAGAAATGGCGCGAGATCGGATTCTAGAAACGCTCGTGAGGTTAGCCCCAGCCGGAGAAAATGGGTCACCGTCCGCAGCAAGGAAGACGAGGATAATTTGATGGCTGACAAATGCAAGACTAGCTACATGGATAGATATCGGCCTGAAGTTGGAAGTTAGCCCGAGGAGAATCCAGTTCACTACAAAACTTCATCGCCCGAAGTGGCCGGTCTTTCGGTGTTGCGATAAGACCGCTTGTTGTGTGCTGACAAAAGCGGAGGAGCCTCAATGCGACACGTGAGGCGGTAAAGAGAGTTTCTTTATGGATAAAATCTCCTGCTAAAATATTGGTATCAGTTTCGTTCAAATACCTCGCTGTCTGCTTGTCTCACTCACAATCTCTCTCGCATACCCCACTTCAGTTATTAATTCATAATCATGTCCCGCAATCTTTTAATCACTGGCGCCACCGGGAAGCAAGGCGGCAGTGTCGTTGAAGCCGTCCTCTCTCGTTTCTCTAAGGAATTCACTATTCTCGCCGTTACCCGCAATGCCCAATCGCCATCAGCCCTGCGCTTGGCCAAGAAGTCATCCGCCGTCAAGCTCGTCGAGGGAAACCTTGACGACGTACCTTCTCTATTTCGAGCCGCGAAGAAGGTTGCCTCTGGCCCCATCTGGGGTGTCTATTCAGTTCAAGCCGCAGTGACAAAGGGCACCACCTTCGAGGGAGAGATGCGCCAAGGCAAAGCACTTATAGACGAGTCAATCAAGAACGATGTGAAGCATTTCGTCTACAGTAGCGTCGATCGTGGTGGCAACGAGAGGTCCTGGAGTAACCCAACACCAATCCCGCACTTCAAGTCAAAGCATCAGATTGAGCACTATCTCCGCGATAGTATCGAAAGTAAGAAGTCTGCTATGGGTTGGACAATCTTGCGCCCTGTCATCTTCTTGGATAATATCACGCCGGACTTCCAGTCCAAGGTATTCATGACAAGCCTGCGCAATACCATGAAGGACAAGCCATTGCAGTGGATTGCTACTTCAGATATTGGCGTCTTTGCAGCCGAGGCGTTTGCCGATCCTGATCGCTTTAACAAGCAGGCTATAGGGATGGCCGGAGAGGAGCTCACCTTCGAGGAACTAGACCATAGGTTTAGGAGCGTGACGGGCACCGGCGTAGGCACGACGGTGGGGCTACTGGGGAAGGCACTCAAGGCAGGAGTTAAGGAGGTCGGTGTGATGTTGGATTGGTTTAAGGAAGAGGGCTATAATGTGGACATGCAGCTGGCTAGGAGCATTCATCCGCACATCAAGGATGTCAGGGCGTGGCTAAAGCAGGACAGCGCCTTTGTCACACGATAGCGCTTATGGCGCGCTACTTCTCTTTTACCTTATAATACATGACAATACTGGTAATAAATGTAGTCCAAGGAATTGCATGTTGGGGGTCAAGCATCAAAGCGACCAACTTGGACTTCTCTTCAGGTTTATCCACATAAGTATGGTCACAAAAAGCCGTGATCACACGCGGCACTTTGAGTTGCGTGGTTAGTTCAGCTTTACGCTGTAGCATTTGGTCAGGCATTTTGGTATAATGTCTAAGTTATGAACCAGATGTGTTATTTGCAATTGAGACTTGTGGCTGAGAGCTTGAATTAGCACAGAGAACTTAGTTGCGTGGTTAGAAATACCAATACTGGCGAGACCCTGTACTCGCAAAGGAGTATTCGCCACACCAATAGATATGCCACAAATTGCAGCTGCAAATGTAAAGTCTAGGTTATGGCTTTCAACTTTCAACATCTCGGGCTCGAAAAGATACCGTGATTAGGAAGTTAACTTCCTGCCGAAGTCAAAATCTTCTATGACTTTATGTTGCTAAAGTTTGCTAGTTTGTCAAATTCTCACCACTCGCTCAAGTCAAACATCTTACTCCTCAGAGTTAATCTCTCTTCTATTCTATCTATAGGAGAAGGGCTCGCAATAAGATTTATTGGCTATCGTGGAAGGTTTTTAGGTAGCCGCTTATATTATTAAACAGAATATGGTGTCCTTATCTGCCAGGGTCTTGAATATATTTATCTAAAAATTGCCTTACATAAGCTTTACACATTTGAGAAATTATTACCTATTGCTTCTTCTAAGAAAATCTGTTAAATTCTACTCCTTAGGTACTTAATTAGCTATTTTAGAGAAATTAAATACTCAATCCGGCCTCCTTCAGTGGCGCGCTAACAAGAATACTGGGACTGAAGTGTATGTGTTAGCAATCAGCTACACGGCTGCCTATAAAAGAACGCCAAATTCTCGACCAACAATCTCCCAAATTCTCAACTACATTACCACGTGCGATCAACCATTCATACTATAACACCAACCTCGAATTCTCACAATGGATCCCTTCGGACGCCTCCCTTTAGAGATTCGGGAAATGATCATATCGAATTTAGAAATCGGCGGTTTTTTCTGGTATCTTTGTCGAGCATCCCCCGTTTTCTGGCGCCAACTCAAGACGAGCAAATTACTAAAAACGTGGGACACCCTTAGAAAGGAGCTGGGCTATGAGATGTTTCGGCAAGTCTTGATGTTTGTGCAATATTTGAAGATTGAGGAACCCATTCCACAGGATGAAGAAATGGATGTGCGGGGAATGCCAAAAGTCTACTTGCGGGATCCGCTGTTCACCCCACAGCAACATTTGATTTTCGAGATGCATGACAGGTACCAAGGCATGCTCAACTGCTTTGCGTTGGGTCCTGCATTGGTGCCTCTCTATAAGGATAAATATGCTGACGTCTGCCTTGGCAAGTTCAGCGATTACCTTGCTAAATCTTTCGGAGAACACGGGGAACATCTTCCTACTGTAATGCCTCCGATTGAGCCCGGAATGGGATACAGGATCTTCTATCTTCTCCTCGCCATCGAGATGATGGACCAATGTCCATCAGCCTTCGTGACAAGCCTGAGAGAGCCTCCGAAACAACGATCTATAAAAGAAGAGCGCTCTCTAAGGCTTGTTGATGGCTGGATACGGAAGGTTCCAGGAAGAGTTTTAGGCGATTATAGGAGGTTCTATGGCCTGCCCGAGGAATCTGAGGAAGAAGAAGAATATGATGATAACGGGGAGGAGGAGGAGGAGGAGCAGAGGGAAGCAGAAGAAATGGTGTTTATTCAATGCTAGTTTCGCTTTTGAGCGCAAGTAAGCCTAATGTGCTGGCTTGAATAGTTCTAAATAAAGATTTCATCACAGCATCGACTTCCTGAAAAGTTTCCAGATGATCGAGATGATGAGTCAATACCTACCAAATTCCGCGATAAGCCTGAGAGCCTCTGAAGTAACGATCTATAAGAGGAAAAAAGTGTTTTTCGAGGTTCATTGTTCCCTTATAAAGCAAGGTCCAGAAGATGGGAGACTAAGAGACTATATGGCCAGAAAGGGGAAGGTGATACAGAGGAGGACTAGATGTGAATTATCATGATCTTGGTATATCTTATTCACAAATCTCGTTGCTATTGACGCACCGCTCTTGGTCCGATCTGAAGCAACTCATGATGCCTTGGAATTTGGAGTGCTCATAACTAACTATGCTCTGATATGAAATAATGCGTGTTGCTTGTGTCATGAAGTTAGCTAAGATATAAAAATACTTCTCAAAGGTTTAATCTCAAGGGAACACTATAATTTTCATCTGCTCAGGGATTTCTGACTCTCAAGGTCATACCATTGGCTGGCTATTATTAAGGTTCATATGCAAGGTTTGACTTTGATGGTCGAAAAGGAGTTCAGGCTCTGGACATCAATGAATATCCTGTCACTATAAGCTTCTCCAGTCCTGGCAATGTCTGCCTCATCAAATCTTCCGACCAGACTTTGAGAATACTGTCATGTATGGAGGTAAGTTCAGGACCAATTTATAAATAGTTATCCTGTCCTTGAGAATTCGCATCGAACTTGGTTCCTTTACATTTTACTTCCCTCCTCTTCTGCCCCAGATGTCTCCCAGCACCATCACCATGAAGAGTGTTTCCGCCAAAGACCCGTTTTTTCGCCTTTCTTCCAACGTCCGAGAAAAGATCATAACAAGCCTTGATTATTACGTCTGGTACAACAATCTTTGTAAAGCTTCGGTGGTTATGAATCACGGGCGGCATACAAACAAGTTGACAGTTTGCTCGGATTCTATCATTGGCAAATTTAATTTCTGGAATGATCGCTGGAATTTTCGAGGCGCTCATGTGCGCTGTCTTCTTTCTGACGGCCATTTATCAGGCATAAATGCGGTGGACTACTACAACCAGACACTTATGGACCCCTTGTTTTCGACAAAACCTGAAATAGTTTACGAGATGGATGCACTTTATGGACGTTTAGTAGACTACCTCAGTCTGGGCCCTGAAATTGTCCGTGCATTCATCGAGAGACACGCAGATCGATATCTCACCCACCGCGTGGTCAAGGCATACGGAAAGCATGGGGAAAGATTTCCAACGACATATCCCTTGAACGCGAGGGAACATTATCATGTAACGAACTTTCTTATTCTTGTCGATGTGATGGATGTTTTGGCCCTGTCTGGTCCTAACAATCCGCTAATATGGTACAATGATCACAGGCAATTCACTGGAGGAAATCGCTTTGCCTGGGGATTTGCATCCAGGCTTGCTGTGGTTATTCAACTATAGGTGCAGGCTGAGGTAGAGGCTGTGATGCGAGAGGAACAACTGAGAAAATGGGAGGAGGAACAGTGGCGAAAAGTGCCACAACTATCGAAGGTAGATGTAACCGACGACTTTTGGCTGAGAGCTTATATCACCACAGAGAACTTAGTAGATGTAACCGACAGGACGGATGAGAACGAATTGAATGAGGCAGGAGAGAAGAAGGAAGAAGAAGAATGGGTGTTTGTTTAATGATAGTCTCGCTTAGGCACGAAGATTTGTCTGATGTATCCGCTCTATCAGCCCCTTAATCAAATCTCATTAGGTACAATCTCCTTGATGCTCTAGAGTAATTCATTTGAAGACTGAGTTAAAAAAAAGTCTCCGTCCTGAACCCGCAGGGCATCATTTTGACTTTGGTGGATAAGTCAACTATGGATGGTTGTGGGCCATAGGGTTAAACTTCAGGCAGTGTAGACTTGTAATTGGAACACGAATATTGGCCACAATATAGACTTCTTGATCTTGCAAGCATAAATAAGTCAAAAGCCTCCCCTCCAAAATCCTCATTTTCATGCTCGCAAAATCAAAGGCCCAGCATGTCCGAGAGCACGCCCGTGGCGGAACCGGGCATCAGGGACCCTTTCCAACACCTCGCTCCCGAAATACGAGAAATGGTTATAACCTATCTTGACTGTTACGAATATTTCGACGGTCTGTGTCTAGCTGGCCTCCTTTGAGAGTTAATACAATCCAGCAGCCCATCTTGCCAAGCTCAACGCGCGACAATGGGTTCAGCCTAAGCAGAACCATCCAGAGAATCACCCCGTACTCGACACTGCCGAGCCGGGTCCAAACACCCCTTTTTACAAAGCATTTTAGTACCCAATCAAACAATCCTTCTTCTGAAGGAGGGTGACAACGTTTGAACCAACGCAACATCAGTCGTTGAATAATTGGTTGATGGTGGGCTACCCCGCGTTTCTGACGTTGATGGCACAGCAAAGCAGTTGGTGATAGTTTATCTTATACTGGAATAGGAAATTCGCAATGTGCTCTAATGCAGAGCTGACAAACAATCTGTATCGTCTCCTCAAGATGACGGATGGTCACGAGGTCGTGTGCTTGCTGTAACATAAGAAGCCGTTTCCCCTCTTTTGTGATTGCGAAGCTATTTTCTCTTCATTTCATTTGTCTTTCCTAAGTATTCTACATTTAAAAACTACAAGATCTTTCAGGGTTATACAGTCAACTATTAACAACTCAACATGGCACCTCAGACCCTTGCGGAGAAAGCCAAGGCCAAGCTCCAGGCTGTTCTAGAGGATCCCAACAGGAACGACTCATCCTGTATGTGCTTGTCTCTTGATGTTTTTAATTTTGATCACTACTGACAATTTGAATCAACAGCCTACAAGCAGAGAGTGATGACTACTACGACTCCTGCGACCGGATCCGAGTGGACCAACACTTGGGTACGACGAAATAGTAACGATCGTCGGGCCAGTGTTGGAAGTGAAGGTTCAACTGGATCACCTGTTCGCCGCAGGTCAAGCTTCCAAGAGTGGCTATATCCCTCAGCTCGTTAATGATGTATATGATACAAGGTTGCGCGTGGTACGTAATGACGTCGTGGATTATTTCATGCATGCTGTTTACGGTTTGGGTTTGTAATATGTTTCAGAACGTCGTCCCCTTTTTCAGAAGGTGCATTATTAGGTTATCTCTTTCGACGGGAACCAAAACGGGAACCAAATTGTATTTGCTGTTGGGTGGGTTACGCGACAATGTTCTTTCTTTGGTCACGAGACAATTGATCAAGACGAAGGCTACAGGTAATGAATGCACTGTATATATATAAAACTTATTGGATGATTATATAATTAAGAATCGAGATTGTATTAATTTACATCATATATCTAAATGCATTTTTCGCTTTGGAACATCTATCGTCACGCCGAGTCAGATTAGCTTGATCGGCAAGTGAAAGGAGCATGAGCAGAGCCATCGGAAGTAATATCAATCTAGTAAAACGTTAGTTTTTTGAGCAGAAATGCCATGGTTGAGACAACTTACGATATCTTTAATGGTGGCATATGTACCAGCACCAAGTGTAACGATTCCGATGATAAAGGCCAGGATGCTTCCCAAGCTCATCAACATGTTCTTCTTGGAAAACCACTTGCCCTCGCAGAGCAAGACGAACCACATGACACCGGGGATCCAGAAAGAGAAACCGGAGACAAAGAGAGCCGAGGCCAGAGAGAGCAAGTCAGAGAAAATAGGGATAGCCTCAGCGATGACCCAAGCGATGATGGTGAAGATGGTCACAAGAGTGATCCAGCTGACCCAACCCATGGGGGTGTTGACATATCGCAGAATTGAGTCCTTGAACATACGGCCATGAAGATATCGAAGGGCAACGGTAGAATTGATCGAACCGGAAATAAAGATGACGGGTAGAGCGACCCCAAAGGCGATCTTGGAAATAAGTGGTCCGGCGGAGAGCAATGCGGGCGATTGCACTGAGGGTCCGATAAAAGCGTAGCACAGGGCTCCAGTCAGAGTGTAGATCGCAATCTGGATGAAGCAGGAGGCGTAGATGGACTTCATGTAATCGGTTGGTGTGTGCATCTCGTCCATGAAGGAGAATTGACCGATTGCGAAGCTGAAGGCGAAGATGATGTTGCTGACAGCGACGAATGCCTCGGCGAAGCTGAGGTCCTCCTTGGGCCAAGCAGACCACTCAACGCCAGAGAGTCCACCAGCTGAATCGCTAGCTTGAATACCGGTGGCAATGACGGTGATGCCAATGGCAGCAAGGATAGACACGAAATCGATATATCCAAGAATGGCGACTTCGGTGAAAGATGGGGGGATGGCGAGGATCAGAAGGATGATAGCCGAAACAGCAGAGAAGACGATGGAGCAGACATGTCCACCATTGATGTCAATGAGCGCAATGCTACCAGTCAAGGCATGCGAACCAACAACCATAACAAGCTCGAGAACGAGGGCAGCACCGAAAATCTCATAGCCAAAGCGACCGAGAAGAAGGCGTCCGGCATCAGCATAGTGCGCCACGTGGGGGAATTTCAACTTGACTTGGCCGACGATGTAGCTGGTGAAGATGGAGACGAGGCCGAGAGTGATTGTGAGGAAGACACCGGGGAACATGCCCAGCGTGTGATAGGCTGAAGGAAGGCTGAGGGCGCCGAGGGCAATAGCCTCGACGATTGTGACGACGGCGAGACGCTTCCATCCCAGGCGGTGGAAGTGAGCATTTCCTTGGGTAGCGAGCTGCTTCTGCTGGGAGACTTGGATATCATCCGCTGTCTCAGGATCGTCCATCATGTTGGCGGGTTTGGCGGACTTGGCCTTGGGTGAGGTGGTAGCCATTGTGTCGTGAGTGAGTAGAGGAGTATGTTCGGTGGGAGGATGGGTAGAAGAGTGGCTACTCATAAGACCAAGGAATGGTCAGTGTAGAAGAGTCGAGAAATGTACGGAATAGGTAACCGACGAACAATGGGGAAGAATGACAACAGATCAAACAGGGTCCTGAGAGGAGGTGAGACAGGACAAATATATTTAAGAGGAACGAAAACAACCGGCTAGAAGAGCTTTGTGACGGGAAAAACGGCGCAGGGCGAGCCATGGCGCGTGTTCGGTGTATCCGGGGTACCCACCTCCGAAAGATCGGGGCCGGGACCATGTCGCGGTTAATGTCATGATTAGATAACAGCACCTTTCTCCAGGTTTTTATTCCATTTAAACTCGTAATTCATTCATGCCATGCCGACTCCGGAGTTAACTGTCCCTTGTACCATCTGATCTCAGAAACTCCATAGTTCCTGGCGAGAATTCCAGCTTCTGAGAGAAAAGGCCCGAAGGGAGTTGACGAGCCGCACTCGGAGTGGCGTACGAAAAACCCGTAAAAACCTTCCAAAAGGAAGACGCTTGACCCAAAGTCGTATGGTGGTGGAAGAATCTGCCGGCTGTGGGGCTGTATGACATGAGACCCCTGGTGTTATTTTTACGTGCATGAAACGTGTCATTGGTGAGAAATCCAGCGAGGCTCCGTCACCGAAAAGGCGCGTGTGGATATCATCACGTTATGATATCCTAACAATAACTCTCTAATGTCGCGCTCCGCGTCAAGATGAAATCTCGAACGACCCGGACAACGAGATTACTCCGGGGCCCCAAACTCTGTTTCTGATGAGAGAAAAACGCATTCTCTACATTCAGAGATAATGCGAGAGATGTTGTCAAGCTTGGTCGAGCTAACTGCCGTCTTGGCTTGCAGCAATCTCCACCGAAAAAGTCTGGGGTGAAAAGCTCTTTTATACATCGAGTCAGCCTCATAAAACTCTGCATCAAATGTTACTCCACGACACCCTCATCTCCGCCATCAATCGCTTATCTGTGGGGTTATTCACCTCATTGACTAATATGAATAATGAATTTTCGTGACCTGTTCCGGGGTCTTGAACTGTACCCCAGAAACCGTCGCTGGCCTCAAACAATACATTCCGGTTTGACGGCGAGTTTACCCGCACTGCACCCCAGAGATCAGGTATTTGTCGGGATGGGGGAGATGGGTTAAGCTTGTTTAAACGGGCCGTACTGGAGGGTAACTGGATGGGTAGTAGGGTAAGATGACTTCAAAGGAGAGACTTCTTTTGACTGTCTTTACCTTGTCGTTGAGTCCTGCGAATGGGGGCACCATACCCTAGAGGATGCCTCGTTGTCTATCATTAGGGTATTGGTAGATGGTTTTGAGGTGCTGTGGACTACATTATTGATAGACTCTTGCTACATATTCATTTATTGACTTTGCATTAAATACCTTATGTCTTCTGGTTTCTAGTATTGGCATTCTCGTGCACCATCAAACATCCTGCTATTCTCAAGATCAATGCTTCTAAGCTCAACCACTTTATCAATGAACTTCTCTTTTCTGGGCATGATTATCTTCCTTCAGCGATTCTTTTGTCGAATACGACTTGGCTATGTATCAGAAGCACTGCTCAAGAGGCGATAACTCTCAAGTCCAACTTGAGTCGTCGTCGCGAGAACGCCAGTCACGAGTCACCATGTGGACAGGCATTAAGGACAGGCGACTCGGTTTCAAGGCCACTTCTGTATAGCCAGTCAGACTATGTAAAAAAGAAAGTGAGTACCAGATAAAGTGCTCATCACAAAAGTTTAAAATTCCTGTGCCATATAGAATTAGATTCTGTGGTGACTGGTCCAGCCAATCCGCCTCCTTGACTAACCTTATTCTTGGTCACGAGCTTGGAGCAATGTGGTGTTCGGTAACATGGATAGCTTCAAAATTTCTCTACATCTCGACCTGCAATGAGACGTATCCAGTTGGCGATGGGTTTGCGGTGCTTTCGCTTGTCTCTGAAAGTATATCTGCACAAGACTTTCATGAGAGAGTTTGGAACACAGAGTAACGTATTATGAGTAGAAATATTGAACAGTACCCTTGCTGTGACATTCTGTCTTCCTCAACTCTAGCAATATAATCTGAAACACGTCCTCCCGGGCTCAAAGAAATCCATATCACACGATCAACATGAGGATCGTAAATTCAAAAGAACTCGGCAATTTGGTGATGTGGCGGCCGCTCATGCTTCTCGACAAGACACTTTTAGGACCCGCCTACGTCGAAAGTGTCGTTTCGCGCTCGCCTGCACTTATCGCCTCCCAAGCAGGCAAAAGACTACCACTTGAGCTCTGGGACATGATTATCAACTTCGCTAAAAGTTATACCAAGGATCACCGGTTTTCTCTCATACAACCCATTAGGCTACAGACAAGCGTGCGAGGCGATGAACTTGTCTGCAGCAAGTTTCAACGCTGGTCACCCTTTGGTAACATCCAGAAATCTGAGGAAATCGAAATCTATCGATTTTACTTGGCCCATCCCGACAAGTTATCCCGACCTGGCATGAATTCATCCTGTCCTAACCCCTTCGGCGATCCATTGACCCGCGAGTTCGGCTCACTCTGCACGTTCCCCACGGCCTTGCTCGAGACGGCCAAGTTTCTCCACGTGGAGCTCACGGTTCGAGATATCATCAGGTACCTGGAAGACGGGGACTGCAAGATCTGCTCTGGAACGCGCGTGACCGGATCCGACATTCTCTCGGGTTTTGTGCCCCAAAATAAAGAGCATTCGCAGTTGCTTGGCGGATTCCCACCGTCTGCGGCTGAACCTTTAATATGCCCGCTCTGCGTCGGACTGAATCATACCTGGCAAAGCATCAATACACGAAGCCGATTTGTGCCGCCCATGTCTAGGGAGGATTATCGATCGTGGCTGGTTAAACGACTCGAAAGCTTTTTCACAAGACCACGTTAGGCAAATTCCCCAAATAAGATCGAATTACTCTCCAGCTCAAAATTTGCCTCTGGATCTTGAGCGCGCTGAGGTTGGCGAAAAGGGTATCGGATGGGTAAAGGTGGCTGGATTGTGGTTAAGATCGAACACACTGGTCTGTATGTAGCCAGTGAAAGTCCTCAATATAGCACGACAACCTTCCGCGTTTCATTCAGCATAGAAACATCAGCAACTAAGAGGGACTGGGTTATGATAAAATTAGGATGGAACCCACAATGGTTCTACGAAATTATGACAAGATTAGGCCTAAATTTATGGTATCCTTAGGTAAAGTGTTGAATTTGTGTATCATCAACATCCCCGGAAGAAAGGTCAAGGCAACGTTACGGTTACTTTATACAGATCATTATCAATAAATACCCATTCATTTTGTTCCAAATGATCCGAAATGTACTATGCTGAGCTCTGTCAAACATCAAACACATGCCGGATTTCGTGGTTCACGATTGGTGGTACAGCCAAGGGCCGATGACGATGCCGGAGACGGATATCACGCAACCGCATGAACCCTTATCAATGCTCGGCGATCTAACTTGATCGAAACAACCACCATCACCGATCGAGTGGTTGATTTGCATAGTTTATCTTGGTCCCTGTCATCATTGCTGGGGTTGAGTGGTGTCATTCTTTTATTCCGACTACTTTATCTTGATGCTTCGCCGCTCATCAACGTCAATTATCATCTCCTCTTTAGCTGCTTCCAAGTCGCACAAAATCCGGCAAATTTCTTGACTTGGTCGGCAGTTGGAACCTTCGCCACAATGTCGGAATCAGAGGGCAAACATACGGCTGATGCCGCGAATGCTGAGGCGTTGAATGAGGCTCCGATTAAGCGTAAGTTCACCACTTCCGACCTGAAGACTATACTGATGATTGACAGCGAAATGGAATCGGTCGCCAATCTACAATGCAACCATCCTCGGCCTCTGCAGTTTCGCAGCCCCCGGTCTCTGGGGTGCAATGAACTCCCTCGGCGCAGGCGGTGCTCAAAAGCCCTACCTCGTCAACACCGGCAACGCCCTCACCTTCTGTCTCATGATCATCTCATGCTGGTTCACCAGCGGCATCGTCAAATATGTTGGTATCAAAGGCGCTCTCGTTATCGGAACCATCGGCTTTGCTCCCTACAGCGCGGGTCTCTATCTGAACAACCGTTATGGCGTCGAGTGGCTTGTCATCTTTGGTGCCGCGTGCTGTGGTGTTTCGGCGGGTATCTTTTGGGCGGCTGAGGCGGCGATCGCGATTGGATATCCGGAGCCGAGAAATAGAGGACGGATGGTGGCGTATTGGCTTTCATTCACAAGATTGGGACAGATTTTGGGCGGTGCGATTAACCTTGGCCTCAACGCTGATCGGAGCGAGGCGGGCAAAGTCTCGTACAAGGTCTATCTCATCTTTATTGCGCTTCAGGCACTGGGACCATTTGTTGCGTTTCTTCTCAACAAACCCTCCCAAGTCCAGCGTGCAGATGGAAAGAGGGTCGATTTGAGCATTCTCGACCATCCATGGAAGGAATTCAAGGCCACGACGCGTACGTTCCTCAAGAAAGAGTTCCTGCTACTCATCTTTTGGATAGGCCAAGGAGTCTACTCAGAGTCGGTCTTCTTTACCTACATCGCCCTCTGGTTCAGCGTGCGAGCTCGAGCTCTCGGTTCATTCATCTCTGGTATCGTGGCGGTCATTGCGGGAAATCTTCTGGGTGTGTGGCTTGATCAGAACCAAATCGCTCTCAAGAAGCGCGCGCGATATGCTTACGCTGTCATCATGACCCTCCAGGGAGGATGGTGGATCTGGCTCACCATCAACGTCACCAAGTTCAAGCGCGATGAACCTATCTACGACTGGAGTGATCCTGGTTTTGGTGCCGCATTCGGTGTTTTCGTTTTCCTTGTCACTGGATTCCAGCTCAACTACAACTTTGCCTTCTTCATCATCGGTCAGATCTCGAACAATTCGCAAGAGACGGTGCGGCTGTCTGCGTTGTTGAGAGGTACGGAGTCGGCATGGCAGGCGCTCAGCTATGGTCTCAATGCTCTTCCGATCATGGCAACTGTAGGGAGCACGTATATGAACTTTGGGATTTGGGCGGTTGCTATCTTTCCAGCCTGGTTGGTAATCCGGCAGCTGGGCACAGGCGAGGCACAAGGAAACAGTGACACGGACGAGACGGTTGTAGTTGAGAAGGCGTAGCTTAGACGAGGCTCTTCATTGAGATCTTGTGTCGCTGGTAGTCTTAATATTCAGCACATGACTTGCAGTTGAGACCCTTGGCTGAACTCTTATATTGATCCTTGACCGAAAGTCATCCAAGCCCACCTAGCCGTTCATCCAACAATGTGACCTTGTGAAGAATCGTTCATGATCACATCTTTCTTTCACGCAGATACCCTCCGGCTGCCAGTGATCATCTGCAACAACTCTGCAACATCATTAGTTGCCGAAAACAAAGGACTTGTATCTGCTTACCCATTCTTATAGCTTAGCTAAGGGGAGAATTGAATTCTGGCCCCTATGAGGTACTCATACAATGAGACATTGCCTGAAATGGTTTCTTTCTCTGTCTCTTGTAGGACGAGTGCTCGGGAGCCCTGCCGAAAGCAGAGGTGGTCGCAGATGGTGCCGCCGTTAAATCAACGCATAGATTACTGAGGACTCAGGAGACGGATCAATGGATAGTAGAGTATTCGGAAGTGACTTTGATTCACAAATTTGGTCATGGTGGATGGGGAACTGGATCGGCAGTCATCTGGAAACAATCTAAGTCGGGGCCATCCGAGACTGTAGCTTGGCGGTCGGTCGGGATAATTTACAGCTTTGCACTTCTATAGAGAGCAGCCCTGGTCAGTGTTGAACATCCTTGAGGCGACCCATGAATACTTACCCTAACAGCAGGGGGCTCCTGCGTTCTTCCAAAGTGTCCTTAATACTCGGTTCTCTGTGGTGATATAAGCTCTCAGCCATAAGCCTCAACTGCAAATAACACGTGTAGTGAATACATCATGGATGAACCTGGAGTTTCTCCAATTGATCTGTATCGACGTTAGTTACAGCACAAAGGACTGTTTCGGTTCAAGAGTCTTACTCATATATGAGACTAATAAACTACTGGAAGAAGGTTAGCAACAAGTTCATGAGCATTGGGCGTACTATCTGACGTACGTACGTGATTGTAGTCGACTAGAAAGATCGAGTCAGTCCTACTTTGGTTTGTCAGATGCGGTAGTGATGTTTGCCTCACTTGAGACACGTCAGTATGTATTCAAGAGGAGGTCAGGGTAGTTCGTACTGGTGGAGAAAGGAATTACTAAAATGATGTCAGCTTCCATGACTCTAAAAACAGTTGTGTACCAAACTACTCACGTTGGACGTGGTGGCGGGAGAGGAGCGGGCCGCAGCCGAAGGGCCGGATGCAAAGCCAGGCGGCTACTCAAATAGGTCGGTAAAGGACAATCCTACAACTCACGGTCGCGGACGGTGGATGGGCGGCCGGATCGGTCGTCATCTGAGACTAGCATTCAAGTGACAAGTCTTGTTGGCCATAATATTGTGCAATCTTGCGCTTCTACAAAGAGTAGTTCCGATCAGCGTCGAGCATCGTAAAGGCAACTCATGGGTACTCACCTTCCCCGCACCAGGGGCTCCCTTGATGAGTTATGTTTCTGACGGAGGGCTTACTTCTGTCTTCTTCTGTATTGACGTTAGTAACATGAATTTCGAAGTGGCAGCATTCGTTGACACAAGTGTGGCTGGCAGGGATCAGACCATGGACTACTTACCGACGCTTTTTTGTTGCCCATGCTAACGCAATGTAAGGAAACCAGAATGTTAATGACTTCATACTTGAGGTTGAATCTTACGTTGAATAGTTGTTGGGCTGCACAAAGGATCAGTTAGTCAAGCACTTGGATGAGCTGAGTGACTCCGTTGAGTTGGAAGCCAGTCAAGGGAGGGAACTTACAAATTTGTGCGGTAAACAGTCTGCCAAAGTCAAGTATGTTAGTGAGCCACTCATTCTGTCCAACCGTCGAATGAACTGACAAATTCTGGTACTAAAAGAACTCCTATCGCGAAGAACTACGCGTCATCGGCCAAGGTCTAAACCAAAGGGGGAACGAGAATAATCGGTTACGTACGCTATTCTCAATAGTTAGTACGGGAATATCAATATCTTGGTCATTCCGTTGTAAATATCCCAGGGCAAGAGATACTTACCGGCGGCGATGTTGAGCATCGTGCATGTTATATGAAGTGCAAGAAGCAAATCCGGTTTCTTAGAACGTGTTGGTTTTGTATGTCTCGCTGAGATATCATACCAAAGTATTAACGGATGAGTGACTGCGGCGGCGAGATATTGTGGGTGAATAAGAGGAAAGGTGATGGAGGAAACCTTCTGAAGCATTGGAGCAGTGATTAAAATATTTTGTGGGCGCGGGCCAACTGGATGTTATACAGGGCAGGACACAAACAGGTGGACGCCGGCCCGCTGCACTGTGATCAGGTCAGCTCGCAGGTCAAACGCTGAACATTACCTTACTTATTGGCTTTCTTTTCTTGTAACCCAGAGTTTTCCTAAGCAGATGGTCAGGTAGGTTTATGGTAGTTTAGGCAAACTTAGGATAATGTAGTATAGTTTAGGATCCATCCTTATGATGATTTATGATCAATTTAGGGGGCACTTTGACCGGTTTTCCTTTGACCCCAGGTTCACTGAGGGTTTCTCTTCCTCCATGAGGATGCCTGTGACTTGTTTACTTCATTATCAGCATACAGTCCATCTGGTGTCTCACGAAAACATATGGAGTATGGGTTTGAAATCATTCTTGCGCCGGTGGATCTTCAAATCAACGAGTTCAGTGGCTGTTTCCTTCACCCTCACTAGTAACCCCCACATTTGGCTCAATTGTAAAATGAATAATTCTTTTAATATAAATATTCTAACAATGGCTATCTCTGAAAACTTAGGGAGCGTCGGTAGGATCCCTGTATAGACGTCAGTGTTCAGAACAAATGATTCATAGGCAATGAATACTCACCAATCTGTGACCAAATGCTCATCCAAGCCATCCAGCTCCTTCATATCAGCCTCAGAAATCTCAAATCTATCAACGCTTGCGTTCTCGACCATACGCTTCTGCTTAGTACTCTTGGGGAGGGTGATAAAGTCGTGTTGAAGACCCCACCTAGATAACGTCAGCACACAAAACGCGGTACAGGTTGGGAGCCATACTTGACAAAGATCTGGGCAGGTGTAACGGAGTACTTTTTGGCCATGTTGACAATGGCAGGGTGATCCATACGCTCAGCTCGAGCGAGGGGAGCGTAGGCCTCGATGGCAATGTTGTGCTTGGCGCAAGTGGCGCGGATACCTTCTTGAGTGTTGAAAGGATGGACTTCGATCTGGTTGATCACAGGAGGGATACGAGGGTTGGAGGACATGAGCTCCTCGATCTTGAGAGCATCAGCATCGTCAACTTGCAGCAAAAAACATGAAACTCACATGAGCAGAACCAAAGTTGCTGACGCCAGCAGCGCGAATTTCACCCGCATCAACAGCATCTTCAAGGGCCTTCCAGCTCGTAAGTCTGGCTGTCTTTCCACCATACGGGCTATGAAGGAGGAACAAGTCAATGTATCCCAAGCCCGAGGCCTCAACCGATTTCTTGACGGATCTTCGCACAGCATCATACGACTCGTCGCAGCTGGCGAGCTTGGAGGTGTACCAAATATCCTCGCGCTTCAAACCCGCCGTGTTCTCACTACTGTCGAGAAAGTCACTGATGGCTTTACCGGCTTGGCGCTCATTGTGGTACATCTGTGCGCAGTCAAAACCGCGGTAGCCGGTGAGAAGGCCTTGACGAACTGCATCGGTGGCTTCTTTGGTGGACATCATGTAGAGACCGAGTTGGATGCGGGGAATGATGAGGCCATTGTTGAGCTGTGAATGTTAACGAAGGCATCGCAGCATTGGATGAATCGTACCTTGGCCGTGGCGGCGAGAAGTGAGGGTTGAGACGCCATTTTGGTAAATGTTTTGGTTGTTGGAAGAAGCAAGAATTTGAGATGGTGATGATGTCAGGACGTTGCGATCTGATAAGAGATTGATGGGGCCGACATCGCTGGGTCCATCAGTGGGGGTGACGTAAGACGAGGGTAACGATGCGACTGTTACGAGGATCCTAAGCTTAGGCTGAAATTATCCTAAAGATCGTAAGTTTACCTCAATTTTACTGCTAGCTCGTAAAGGCTTATGGTCTCTTATGATGGTATTACCTAAATGAAAACTAAGCATGGTTGTCTCACAAGGGTGCTGTTGCACAACGTGCCGCAGTGCTCTGTTCTCTACAGCCATTGGCTCCCGGATCAATAGCGTCATGTCAAAGGCAGATCAGATAAGCTCAAGTGCCAAGCTTGAGTATTTTCTTGCGCTTCAGTCGTTGCCGAAACCGGTCCCTGGATTAACTTCGAAGCTTCAAAAGCGGTGCAACATGCGCCCGCTCAACGGCCACGTTTGAGTTACATGCTTCAAAAGTTTGTTATTCGCATTTTTTTTACTGATATGAAACCCAAGAAAACATTCTCCAGATGCAAAACGTTGCATAAATGCAGTACTCTACATATCACCGCCGTCAGTGGCCCGATTGTCCTGTCATTCCCGTCACACGTCCCCTCTTTTGTTTACCACCAAAGCTCATAGTAACCTCACTTGAGCTTAGTCCTCTGAAAGCATTTTCTCCACTCTTCTTCCAACCGTCACACTCCAACCATCAATCTTCTTGTTCCACAGATCCGTCAAGTAGAACGTGACGGCCAGAAGAACAACCCAACCGATCGCGTATCCGCCCGTCTTTCCGAAGCTGTCGAACAGTCTTGGCATGATCCAAAAGCCCAAGCTATGCAACACAGGTCCGTGGACAAGATACAGCGAGAAGCTGACCTTTCCTAGATACTGCGGGAGGCGGCTCTCAAGGAAGCGAACGAGCACCGGACTTCGCAGGATGCACGCAACGAGGAGCACGGCGCCCATCGCCTCGTAGAACATCCAGCCAGACAGCGGCGTGTAGTACTTGGGTACCCAGGTCGAAAGATAGGCGAAACCCGGCGTGTACTCAGCACCAGAGTCGGGATACGACAAGAAATACAACGCCAGGACGATACCAGCCCATCGCAGCGCCGTTCCCTTTGTTGTCCGTTGGAAATCTCCCCCGCGACCCTTCGCGCCAGCAGCCGATGGTGGCAGATCTGATGAACGACGAACATCATGCTCTGAAAGCAACATACCGCCCAAGAAAGTCGCCATGTCCCATCGTCCGATGAAGAGACTGTACGCCGAGAGGAAGCAACCGATTCTCGTTCGCCATTTGGCCTTGATCGCAGCGGTGCCAAGAAGGAAGATGTAAATGACCATCGAGCCACGGAATTCCATTGGGATTGTGAAGGTATGCGGATCATAGCGTGTATGGTAGTGACCGAAGTTGAAGGGGTTGGCCCACTCGGCGTAGGATCTGGTAAAGTTCTTCATCGCGTATGTCAAGTTTGGGTGGATGAAGGGATGCTCCTCCCATGAGCCTCCCATCTGAACCCAAGTAAGGTTCAATGGGTTTGTGGCATTGGTGGCATTACCGAAGGTGAGATCCAGATCATCTTCGTCATCGAGGTAGCTGAGAGCTGCGAGTCGCTCCATGCCAGTGGTATCCTTGACAGGCTTGGTGGAGTTGGTGTCATTCTTGGGGAACTGAGCTTCATACTCGGATTCCAAGGTGTAGAGCTGAGAGGGTCCGTACGATCGTGTTGTGTGATTGACACAGAGGAGCATATCTGTCCATTCTGTAGTGTTTCCTTCAGGATATCCAGTGGTATTGCGGAGATACGTGGTGGTCTCTATTCCCAGGTAATTAGCAATACCTGCTGCCCCTCTCACAGCGGTGCCGTTAGCACAGAAGTTACCCTCAGCCAAATCAGCATGAGTAATTGTCGCATTGATGTAGTGAGAGTCGGGACCCTTGTAAATGGCGAACTCGGACTTGAAGACACCGATTTGAGCTAGCACAGCGACAAGGAACATGCTGATGGTGGGAGGAATATAGAGGCGAAAGACACGTCGGAAAACAGACGAGGCAAGCTTCTGATAAGCAGTATCAAGCTTGCGCTCATGAATCAAACGGAGAATATGGCGGCAAATAACATAACCCGAGATGGCGAAGAAAATGGCAACCATAGCACGTCCACGATGCAAGAGACAAATAATAGGCAACGACTGCAGTCCCCAATACGGCTCAGGCGCGCGGGGAGGGAACGCGCCATAGCCTAACATGATGGCAGGCGTCCATGGCCAGAAGAAATGGTAATTGAAGACAAGAAGACATGCGATTCCGCGCAGACCGTCGAGGCATCTGATCTTGTCTCTGTTGAAGCGCGAGGCTGGGGCTGACGATGAGGGCTTATCTTCGTGCTCGGAGCGAGGCAGCAGATCCGGCTGTTGCCCGCCCATGCTGACGGATTGTCTTGATCTAGCGATTGGAAGCATTCATGCGCGCGCAGTGATGGGGGCTTCAATTGGCGCGTGATGAGGGGGATGTTGTATGTGAGTTTGAAATGACGAGGTGAATCAAGGGAGGCTGAAGTCGTACAGAGTGTCCTTGATACGATCCATGTTCACGATTACTAAAGTGAGGTAAGATCTGCAAACGGTCTAGCCCGGTATAGTAACGACGCCACAACAAAGTTACGCCGCAGCAGCCACAGTGCGGTTTATTCTTGTAGGGTAAGCTGCCACGCGACAGTCTAGACTTTGTAACGCGTCGCCGACAACCTTCATAAGATCTCGACTGAACATAAATAACATCAGTTACTACAAATGGCAAAAAGATGCAGAAACAGCAAAAGAAATGCGTAATCAGGGAATCGAACCCTGGGCTCCCCGACGCTGCTCGAATGGCAACGGAGAATTTTACCACTAAACCAATTACGCTTAGCTGACTTGTTTCGAGTCGGCCAGATTAAGGTTTTTGGAGCTCACAAAATCTGCAGGTGACTGGCAGCTTTTACTGCCATGCCATGGTCTATACTTCTCTTCCTAAATGTCATAGTGAGGGCGCCTCATTGGAAAGAACTAAGAGGGAACAATTAAAGACTCTTTAAGATTTATTTTACTTCCTCTGTTTCTCGGTTTAATACTTCAGACCAAGTCTTTTGCACTAAGTGCGTAATGCTGAAATTTTATCACTTACCCTGAACAACAGCAAAACTCTTATTCCGAACACTCATTTTGACGTGTCGCGAGTAATGCAATTGATCGTTTCATCCCCCCGATCATTTAGAATATTTATAATATAGGATATAGCAAATCATCATTGTCCTCACAACTGCCCCCAGGAGGAACGTTAGTGAACCAATCCAACGAACACGCCGAAAAAAAGAGATCATGTTAGAGACAGCCCCATTGACCAGGTTCAGGCTGCGCGATACGAGCTTGGCCAAACACCTATTCAGCTTCTATATTATGTGTCGGGCAATCAATTTTGCCATGGCCCAGGGTCCGACGCGCTGAGGCATTTTTAGACAAACACAAAGAGTCAGCACAGACTTGATTCGAAGCCATTTCAGGTGACAAAAAGCAAAAAGGATGGGTTTGCCGTCAGCAAGACTCGAACTTGCGTTTTCAGTGCTTTCAATAGCCACAAACTGATGTACTGACCCCTATACGATGACGGCTTTGTTGGTTGTTGATGGGACCCCGGCCGCTAATTCTGCAACTTGATGCTCCATGACCCACAGCCCCATTCACGGCCAAACAGCTTCAAGACAAACAATTACCGCTGTAACAGATGACTTTCCTTGTCTCTATTCGCATGCACTCGATATTTGCTGTCTTCGTATGTCGTATGTCTAGTTAGGCAGATATGCCTCCGCTTGGCAACACCAGCATAAGCACATGAATACACTTCCTTACCATCAAACTTCTTCTCTTCAGGTTCTCATGGTCCTTTTTCGAAGATCTTTATATGTATCAGAGGCACAGAGACTGGCTTCCGAAAACCCACTATCACATGAGCCAATAACCGTGGTGTTGAAGCGGTAGTGACAAGTAATTAGCACATCCTGCTATCAAACCCATTGCCATAATCATTCCGATCTCCACGCCCTTGGGCACGCTTCATCTCGTCTTCCCTCCGAATGCTCGTTACATAGCTGCGAAACCGATTGCACATCTCTAGTACCTTCTGAAAATGGGCCTTAGTGACAACTGTTACCAATGCAGCATCATAATCTGGATCCTCTTCACTCTCAAACTCTGCCAGCGTGATAGCTGTCTGCAACGCATTGCGAATATCCCGTCCGTTAAGACTCGTCTCGCCGGCGGTCTCAAGAACCCATTTCTTCGCGTCTGATGCGATCTGTACCTTGCCAGCACGTTCGCGCACCAGTTTGCGGAAAAAGCCACCCCAGACCTTTCGCCTGGTCTCTTCGTCGAGGGCCTGATATCCGATTGCAACGTGGACGCGTGAAATGAAGGCGTCGTCGATTTGTCCAACGCGGTTGGTAGTCAGGAACAGCAGACCTTTAAAGTATTCCATTCGTCGCAGGAAGGCTGTAGATGGAACGTTACCTTGCATCACCGAGACAAAGGCTAGGCGGAGAACTTACCTGATACCAGTCCGTTTCTGGCGAGGTCTCTATTTTGCCGTCGTTCGAGGAAGATATCTGCTTCATCAACGAGAAGCACTGCGTTCCAAGCTTCCGCAAGATCAAACCATTTCATAAGCTCGCCTTCAACGAGTGTTTCGACCGTGCCGATATCAGCCACTGTGAGAGCAAGGAGTGGTCTGTGCAACCATTCAGAGATAGCTTCTTCGTTTCGTTAGCTAGTTTCAGTCTGGAAATTCGCCGCTGACATACCGACTGTGTAAGTCTTGCCGACTCCTGGAGGACCTAGGAAGAGATTATCTGTTAGGGCTGTAAGAACAAAGAAGATTTTATTAAGGAGGAGATACCATGTAGCAGTATGATCTGCCCTGATCCCTTCCCCTCGATGAAATCCGCCGACCAGTGCCTTGTCTCACTATTCTGGCGATTCGAAAGAGCCTGTATGGTCTTCAACTCATCCTGGGCAATAATCAGATTAGAAATACTCTCCTCTGATGGCACGGACTCTTCAACGTAGTCGAGAGAGATCAACACTAAAATTATATTAGTGCCATTGCGAGGACAATCAAGAGAGGGGCATGGGCCTACTCCAGTGCTTGCGTCTCAGGCCATATGCCAAAGCGTCTGGGCATAGCAAAAGGAGTTGGTGCTCTGTGAGTTGTTCCACGACGTAACCACTGATATCTACGCGAATAATATCGAGGGGACGGTGCTCAGGTACATTGTCAAGCCATACCTGCATCTCCTCCCCGTTAACCATGGCGTCGTTGCTGTTGGCCCGTCTGGATACAGGGTTCGGGGGACGGTTTCCAGTATCTTGGGTGGTGTAGAAGGACCTATCATTGTTGATAAGGATCCCATCATACTCCTGGAATCGGGTTGAATAGTCTCGAACTTCTGGAGAAAGGGTCCGGTGGATGTCAGATTCCGCACGCCCTCTTCGATGGTCGATAACCACCTTTCCCGTGTACTGTGGAGGTGTCAGTGGCATATCTACCGTTTCTCAGCAAGCGCAGGCCTCACATATTGGGCCGTATATTTGATGGGTCCCTTGTAATCCACGAGGAGATTGCCCCGTCGAAGCGCCTTGATGAAAGTTGCAGCGCGGCGTAAGATCCTCCCACGTCGCTCGCCATCGTCGTGTGCATCCCAAATTGAAACTGGACACACTGGAAGACTAACTACATCTCGGAGCCCAGAGTAAGAGTTTACGCTTGCAGAAAAGAAGCCTCTTCCGAGGCTGGAGCCATCACTCTCAAGCCGCCAGAGGTCGACCAGCCAAGACCCGTCACTCCCGGACCCCCACACCCTGGACAAAGAAACATCAGCTCGTCTGACGCCCATCACGACTGCAGCATGCGCTGATCCGTCAACTTGTACATAGACATCTGTCCCGGGTTTGAGAGGATACCAGACCATGTCAAACGCGACCTGCGGGACGGAGCTGGAAAGGTGCTTTTGACATGTTAGGATGGACTCAGTGTAGATTGGCCTGAGAAATTTCATCAAATGCTGTGAATGTACGACTTTCAAGTCCGTTCCTTTATCCATAAGTTCATCCTCAGCGTTGCAAACCGTTGGACCGTTAGTTTCGTTGGCCATGGCTGCGATAGCGTCAAAATGGTGAAAAAGAACAGCAAAGGGCTCTTCAATCCTCAGCTCTCCTCCTTTTGAATCATCCAACAACATCTCATGGAATGACGGATAATATTCAACGAGGTCACTGAGGCCCTCAGCAAGGAACGGGGATTCTACCACTAGATGTCGTCGGGAAACATGCTTTGGATTCAACAGATCAAGGCAAGGCGAAGCCACTATTTCCGGTAGCCTCTTCATTTCCGATAGCCTATCCTGATCAATATCCGCTTGGACAAAAGTTTCAATGGTTATGACGGGTCCTTTCCACGCCTCGGGCTGTGACACATCCCCATCTGTTTGAACTGGCGGCTTCGTGGGAGAAAAGCCAATGGAAAACTCAATAGGCCGATCATCGATGTAAGTCAGGTCAGGTCGGTGTAAGTGGAGATCCTCGTCGCGAGGTTTTCCTAGGCTCTGGTAGACTTTGGCGTTCCAGATAATGGCCGGCCCGACAGGCAGATGCTCTGCATCTGAATCCTCATGTTGTCGGAGCTTGGGCAGATCAATCACAAGGTTTCTCTTGATCTCACCGCGGCGAAGCGTTTCTCTTTCGTACGGGTATCCAAAGCCCATGTCCACGTCGTCACCATCAACATTAAAGTACGGGACAGCAGGGTATTGTCGCGAGCGTTGGCCGTCAATCGGGCGGGGCGGGCCTGAGGCCGCCGCTGAAGACGGACTCACAGACTTTTCCGTCGCGCCCGTCTCAGACCTAACTATTGATGCCATGCGTAATGAGATTTGACGGTATAGCTTGAGCCTGTATTACATAGAAAGCAGAAAGATTCACAGGACTAGTTAATCCTTGATTGATGCTCTTGCGATGATATCAGCAGAGCGGCGGAGAGGGGCAGATGATGATTACGGCCCTTAATCAGGCTGTAGATGAACAGGCCCACCCCACCATCATGCAGTGTTCCCATGAACACGTCAGCAAGAGAGGAGGCGACTCAGAAAAAGAAGATTCAAGAGCATTGGAATCCAAGTAGCTGGTCCCTGTTTTGTCTGAGTAAGGAGTGAAGGAAAACCGCTATTGCAGGCGTAATAGCGTGACTTCCCAGCTCTGTTTACCATGATAGCTGAGCCGCGCTGAGAAGAAAACCGTGACGGACAAAATAATGAATAAAGAAGGGGGTGGCACGGGTTATGAAACAGGGCGAATCGATCAAGGGCTGATGTACATATAGATTAGACCTTGTCAGCAGCTAGCCAACGTTGCCTGCGGTACATCTTTGACAAGGAAGGAGATCAGACTTTCTTTCATTGACCTATCAACCTGTCTAAGCCATGAATAGATTTACGAAAGCTGAGCCCAGTAAGGGAATCACCAGGCGGTTCAGCGATGATGTCGTGAATTCCACGCCAGCAGAACCCCTCGGTCGCGCTCTGGCGGCCAAGGTGGCGTTTGACAGAAACCGAGAACGATTGAGGTCGTCGCGAGATGAATGGGACCAACTTTTGTTAGAGGGAAGGGAACTGGCGAATGGCTGTGTTCCAGACGAAGAAGCGGTTTTGTTTGAACAGAGCCGGAGGCTTTATGCGGCATGGGACAAATTTCGACGCGATCTCCCCAAAGACCAGCAGATGCAACTCGAGGGACGCGACCGGCCAGACATCAGTTACCTCGTGGCTACCGTCAATAAAGCCTCGGCGACCTGGCAGTCGGATCGTGAAGAAAGCAAGTTGGGAAAGCTCAAATCCAAATTTCACAGCCTTTGCGAGACATGCCACGACCACAGCTCACTGCTCGCAATCGTTCCAAAAGACGACAAGTATGTCACTCTACTAACGGGGTCCCTCTCAGCCATCGCTCAGGCGACCATTAACCACCAGAATATCGCTGAGGGGGTAGCCGATACGCTCGACGATCTAAGCCATGATATTGATTTCTGGAACCGGCAAATGATGGAGCACGGAAGTATTCCATCCCTTCGTCAATATATTCAGGAACTTTATGTCATTGTCTTTGAGTTCTTCACCGAGGTCTTCAACAAATGGTCCAAGTCTGGCTGGAAACGTTTCCTCACCAGCTTCGATGACGGTGCATTCAACAAACTTTTCACTGCGAAGAAAGGTCGAATGTTGGCTATCGAACGTCGCATGGAACGCCACGTCAGCCTCGACTTTCGACACCGCACCACTGAGTCTTTGGAGATGGTGATTCAGAATCAAAAGGAACTCTTGTATCGTTTACCGAACCAACTAAATGAGCAAAGATTATTCCTCGGCGAGTCCCTCCAACAGTTGCTAGAACAACAACAACTTTTCATTATGGAACGACCCCAGCCAGCCTTGGTCACAAGCATGATTGAAGGAACAGCGGAAGAATGCTCTGATGCGGCAGTCAGTGATGCCAATGAACCACCATTCCCAGAACTGGAGGCTCGCTCGTGCCCGAAAGCGCATTACAGGTACAACCGCGCAGAGATCCAGGCAGAGCTAACCAACTTCACCACTCAATGGAAGAATCAGGTCGAGCATCTAACAGAGGCTGTCACGCAGTCATCACTTCTCCAAATTGATAGGCATGTGCACCATCGCCTGCAAACGTGGCTGCGAGATCTTAGCTCAAGCAATTTCTGGATTCAAGGCCCTCATGACGTCTCACGACCGGGCCAAAATTCCATGACGGCGGTATCTCTAACGGCACTGGCATGGAACCATAACATCCCGTTTGTCGCTTATTTTTGCACGTTCACAAATCATGACGCCTTAGGAACGTCCAAGAGAGCCTGCCTTGAGGCATTCATGGCCTCCATTGTCACGCAACTCGTCCAACTAATCCCAGAGAGGGGTTATTCCCGGGCGGACCTATCTCCTGCACGCTTCTCTGCCCTCGCGCAACGGACATTAAATGTGGCCGAGACGCTCCAGCTGGTCCGCGATGTGCGTGAGCTAGGCCCGAGATTGGTGCATGTCTTTATAGACAACCTTCAGGTATTGGAAGACCGGTCCAACCAAGCTTACACCAGAGACTTTCTCAGCGCTATAGCGGCATTATGTCGCCTGAACGGTGGGAACCGGCTCCCAGAGAGTGCTGCCGCACCGGATACGAGTGAGTTGGTCTTCGGAACCAAGATTTGCTTCACTACGGAGGGATACGTGGATGGTCTGGCGCAGGCTGTAGAGCTACAGTTACTTGATAAGGTTGAATTTGATCTGGAAACAACTGAGCCTATTTCGATGGAGGTTGGTGAAAGACTTGAATGGGATTCATGAGAAGAGAGGCCAATCTTGTATGCCCCGTAGATTATTGCTGCTGGTTACAAAGGAGCAAGGCTTAAGCAACAGTCGAAATTAGCCATTCAGCAATCCAAATAGGGCTATATTAGCGTGAGCTGGTCCAAATCAAGCACGAAGAGTGAAGTAAAATAATCTGCGCGGAATATGCACATTTACCGCATCTACGGGAATCACAATACCCTGAGTAAAAGTGATGAAATTTATCCTAAACAGCAAAAGACTTAGGTAAATTTAGTGTAGATTTAGTGGGTCCTTAGACCAGCTTTTGGCACTTTGACCTAAAGTTAGAAGTCCTTTTTCTCCCTGATGCCTAAGTCTATTTCTTCATCCCTACGCAAACACAACTCAACTACTCTATGTCATACTCAAATCACGAATAGTACATTTCAGCTGTTGAATAAGTCAGATGGCAATCTACGTACCTGGGTAACCTTAAGCGTTGGTAGCATCGCCGTCACCCGAAGACTTCTTCGAGGGAGCACCATCACCTGAGAACGGGTCAGTTTCCATGGCTTCATTTCACTTGGAACAAGTGCCTTCAGGAACAATACCTTGCTTCTCCAAGTTCTCGAGAACGTTCAAGATCCAGCGCTGACAGAACAGCGGGGGAGCTTGCCGAACAGCAGCTTTGACCTCCTGCCTATCCTTCTCGAGAACCTTAGCAATCAAGTGACGCTTGTCAATTCCATGGCTTTCAACGCGCTTGGGCTCAATGGCAACTTTATATGGCTTACTGTGCATGGGTTCACCAGTGGTATGATAAAAGATTGCATGAGTGGCATTTTCTTCTGCAAGCATGAGAATCCCGTGTCGGGGTTGGCCTTGACCTCGCTCCTTTGAGATGGCGAGATGGAGGTTGAGGGTACTCATCGCTGGCAATCAATGGGAATGTCTGTATAGCTAAGCTGTGCTAGGTTAATACTTAGTTTCTTGTATAGCAATAGGTGAAATGTGGTAGGAGACTGGAAGTAAAGCTACATGTGGAGGGAGTAGGTCAATATGTGTGTGGTATCCCTTTTATTATAAGAACCTCGCGGCTTGAATGAATGCTATTTCGTGACATTGTTCCTTGAGATGAAGCGTTGTTCTGTGGTTTAATATCCTGACAACGAGATATGTCGAACATCGTTACCCCAAACCCTACAAAGATGCTGAACAGACTCTCGAAGCATGATCATTCAATAATAGATTGACATGGACCTTTTAAAGAAAGGATTCTCAAGAGTTATCGCTGATGCTAGACTCCGTAAGTCAGATGTCATGAGTTTGATACAGGATCCAATCCAATAGAGCTTGACAGCAAGTACCAATTACTATCAAGAAAGTACAACCTTCCAGCGTCGCCAACTAGACCGGTATAAACTGGTATGAACAGAACATTTTGGCTAGTCTGAGCTTACGGTTTTCTGTCAACTCTATTCATCTGCGAGGATGAGACCAAGTTCAAGCATGAAGAATCAGGTGGAGGAAGCCTTGGAAGTCAGGCATTTGCTTTTGCCAACACCATTGCCTGCACGTCTCCGATGTGACCTCTATGAACTTAACCTTCATGTGAACAATAGCCTGTCCATCGCCTCGCACGAAATATATTAACAATGGATCCTGACCAGTTAGAAGCACACAAGGAAAAGCTCCGAGACATTGCGCGCACCGCTTATGACAGTTGTGTGCCGTTCAACAGCATCACTCCTGAACATCATCGCCAAATATTAGACCGAGCCATCAGGAATGTTCTTTCAACTGAATTGGCACAGTTCACATACGCCCAGATTATCGATGGACCCCCCATTGCGGATGTTGCCTGGGACCGTCGACTTCCTGGCATTATGGGAGAGCATATCATTGATGACCATGAGACATTGTGCCCTGGGGCTTTGGAGAAAGCACATGAGTACCACCAACAATGGGACCCTTCGAGTCTTAAGTTTGATACTGAAGTAAGTCATCCTCCCAGATTCAATGACAAAGATCTTGCTACGTCATCATCATGAGCTTGATCATTTTAGCGTCCCTCACTAACAATCCCTTTAGACTCTAAAAGCCTTTCAAAAGGCCGAACCTAGCTCCAAATCTTTCAACATGCGCTTAATCAAGTTGGTAGCTGTTGCTTTACATCAAATAGCAGTTTGGCTACATAAGCTTGAACCTCATCTCCACCAAGGAGATATTGACGCCGTCACATACTGGGAGATGCCACTATCAGAGACGATGACTCGATTCCCTCCTGGGCATACCCTTTTCAGTCATCACGACTATCTTGACGACGATATATATCCAGAAGGGGTGGCAGACATGGTTGGCTACTGGGCTGAGGATCGTATTCTAGGCGGCGTAACTGTGTTTGATCGGCGCCCCGACAACCCGGATGAGATACCCAACATCTACTTTCATCCATGCCGCAAGAGTCAAACAATACGGGTGTACCAACTACGAGATGAGCAGCAACAAGCCCTCTTCGACTTCCTACTGCAGGATGAATCATCTCCATTGCCATCACCCCTTCCAATTCTTGGTGATAAGCAAAACCGTATAAGAGTAGACGCGCCGAGAGCACTCACACACCATCACATCTACAGAGACATTTGGGAACGAAGACCATTCACCATCATAGAGATGAGGATATTTGACAGAAGACCTAATGATGAACCTGATTATCCCGAGGTTGGCGACATGATACGTCGCATCAATGCACAGGGCGGCATTCCACTACCGCAGCTTCGTCCGCGCTCTTTGTCGCCACTGATGAGGGATGATACTGGAGAGAAGAATTATAGAGACAGAAACTAGTTACACGAACCCAAAAAGTTCAGGGTGGTTCCCTTAGGCCTCAAGAATTGGAACTATCACCTTGACATCGCTTTCCCTTGTGAAGAATGGGCATATCATCTGTCACGCCCTTGATCTCACTCTCGCAAAACTCCACGTTAAAATGACCACTGAAGATCTCCTTTGCAAACCCCTCCTGGGGAACTCCGCTCTTCGTGTCCTCTACTCCTTCGCCAAAAAGATACTTAGCGTCCAGGCTTCCTGTCGCGACGCTGATATCTTTCCCGTCGGGATGCCAGAACAAAAAGGAGCCGCAGTCGCCGCAAAAGCCCCGCGCGATATTCTTGGACTTGCGATATCTTTTGATCTTGTCCTCCGAGTCGCCCTGCCACTCGATGGCGGAGACGGGGACTGTCAAAGTCGCGAGGAAAAAGCTTCCCGTTTGTTTGCGACACTGGGTGCATTGGCAGATGCAACCCAAAGAGTCGTTGGAAAGATCGTGATCTTTTGGGAAGGATATCGTGTAGCGGACGGCTTCGCATAGGCACCCGCCCTCGAGCATCTTGGATGCTGGGCTTGTTGATGATACCATGGTTGTACGTCTTGGAATAGCTACTCGTAAATGTCTTTTGAGTATTAAGAGTTGAAGTAGAAAATAAAATGTGGTAAATGTTCATTACGTTTATAAGTCACCGCTCGCAACCATGACGACATGTAAAGCGGAGGGCATGTCAACAGCGCCCTTCTCCTTTGGCGGGTCACATCATACTGATATTGATAGAAGCCTTCACAATTTACTGAAGATACATAAGCTAATTGTAAAATGAAATGATATTTTTTCTATTAAGATCTAATTGTATGCTCTATTCTATCGTTTCATTAATCATCTAATTCATGCTGTATATCTTTATTTGGGGTGCATTGGAAGGTTCTCCACTGCCCAAGCTCGCTGTGCATCAACGTACTCCTGAGAGAAAGGATAATCATTGTAACCGATCTCTGACCCTCGGACGTAGAAAGTAGTGCGGTCGTACTTGGTCAACTCAACGCCATGCTTGACCCTCCAGACGAAATCGGGATTCGCAATGAAATGGCGTCCGAAAGCGACGAGAACGTCCCACTTGCTGTAGTGCCCATCGAGGACCTCAGCCGCTGATGCAGGGCTGTAGTTACCGGCAACAATTACGGGTGAGTTATTATCCCAGATGTCGAGGATGAAGTCGAGGGTTTGCGCGTCAACTGAAGGGTCGGTGTCAGGAGCAAGCAGCTTGGCGGGGTCACCGCGGGCTTCGACAAGAGAGAGGTAGGCCAGAGGGCCAATCTTCTTGACTTCGTTGACGATGTAGGAGTATTGCTCCTTGATATCGGATGACTCGGCTCCTTGGAAGGAAGCATATGGTGAGAGGCGAAGGGCAACTCGCTTGGAGCCAATCTCAGCTGAGACAGCCTTGACGATCTCGAGCAGAAGACGCGCTCGGTTCTCAACAGAGCCACCCCACTTGTCGGTTCGCTTGTTGACAGAGTCAGATGTGAATTGATCGATCAGATAACCGTGAGCGCCATGGATCTCAATCATGTCACCACCAGCGTCGATGACACGTCTAGCAGTAGCGACGAAGTCCTTGATGAAGCCCTGGATCTCTTCCTCGGTCATAGCCTCGGGCGCGGGAGCACCCTCCTCAATAGGCACGGCACTAGAAGAGCGATACTTGAAGCCGCGCTCCTTCTGGTACTCAGGATCAGCAGCTCGGCCTTGACCCCAGATTTGTTGCGACCAAAGTGACTTGTTTGCGTGAACACCGCCGATGACCTTTTTCCAAGCGGCGACTTGTTCATCTGTGACGAAGGCGGGACCTTGGCGCATGCCGGTGTCTTGCATTGAGACGCCGGTAGCTTCTGAGATAATGAGGGTGCCGGGCGTTGAACCTCGCTCGGAGTAGTATCGCTCTACAAAAGGCTTGGCGACGTGGTTGTCGTCATTGCGGTAACGGGTCAGAGGGGCCATGACCATGCGGTGCTCGAGTTGGACATTGCCGACTTGGATTGGCTTCAACAGCCTGCTGTTGGGAGAGATTGTGGTGGTTGTCTTTGTGACTGCCATTTTGTATGTGAATATTTGTTAAGTACAGGGCGATGAAGAAAAGGCAAAAGCGATGCTTGAAGTACAAGTTCTATGATTTAGAGTTATATAAGATCATGGTGGATGAGCTACCTGGAGCCATGGCGTCTTCTTATAGTCTGGAGAAGTGAAAACTCAGATTGAAGATCAACGTTATTACCTTGGTCACCTTGAGGGTTGCGACGTGGGATTATGTCATTTTCTCACTGACTCGTTGATTTCTAACTCCGGGACTCCGATGTTGGCAGACCCACTCGGCGTTTCCCGATCCAATGGGACAAGCTCCCCTGGGTCGCAAATCTTGTGGCAAATGGGAACATCTCCTGACCAAATGGCTCTCCACCATTTTTCGATCCTTCAGGAACCTCGGAATGTCGACAATCGCGAATGGGAAACTCCGATTCGACGCGGATGATCTTTTGGCTTATCAAGGGCTATTCTCGGCATCTAAGGGTATGACGAAGCTGGGGATTGTCATGCGTGGCAGGGTCAACACCATCTCGAATTGGACTCCAGCTTATCGTGATGCAGCCTGACCAATAGGAATGGCTCATTCTTCTCCAACAACATTGCGAGACAATGCCAAACAGTGAGATTGTAAGCTCAGACTGCATGGTCATGACCTTCGTAAGCATCTCACGGGTACTCAATTACCACGAGTATATATAACTGATGGTTCCATCAGTAGATAGAAGATCAATCCAAATAATTCAGCAATTCAGCAGTTCAGCAACAACTCCGAACAGCTTTCAAACATATATTCGCCAGTGCCACCTCTATTCCAACTCTAGAGACTCGCACTTACACAACATGTCTCCTCCTCCTCGTGCTCTGATCAGCATCACCTCTGCTTCTGCCACTCTCTTTGATGGCAAAGAGACCACCGGTCTCTTCATCACCGAAGCTCTTCATCCCTACAAGGTCTTGAGGGCTGCCGGATTTGAGGTGGACCTCGCCTCCGAGACTGGCACTTACACGCCTGACTGGCTCTCTCAGCAGCCTGACTTCCTCAATGGCGACGATCTGGCTATCTGGAATGACACCAACAGCGAGTTCCGCAAGAAGCTTGACAACATGCCCAAAGCCTCTGAGCTTGACCCATCCAAGTATGGTCTGTTCTACGCCTCAGCTGGACATGCAGCCCTCATTGACTACCCCACTGCATCTTCTCTCCAAAACATCGCTGCTCAGGTCTGGGCTAGCGGTGGAGTCGTCTCGACTGTTTGTCACGGCCCAGCCATCTTTGCCAATCTCATTGACCCCACCACCAATGAGCCTCTGATCAAGGGAAAAAAGATCACCGGTTTTACTACCGAGGCTGAGAACACGATGAAGATCATGGGCGAGCTTCGAAGCTGGGGCTCCGAGATGGTCGAGGAAGTAGCCGCTCGTCTTGGTGCAACCTGTAAGTTCCCTCTCAGGGCGATGACTGAAGCTTTACTTACGATATGAAGATGAACGTGCCCCTGGTATCTGGGATGACTTCCATGTTGTTGATGGTCGCTTGGTCACGGGTCAGAATCCTGCTAGCGCTACTTCGACTGCTGAGGCGGCTGTAGCTGTGTTTGAAAAACTTTGAGCTCCAGATATGCGACTGGAGGAGGGGCAAGTGGGTTGTCGAAGTTTGTTGAATGAGACGGTTCGCATCGCTAGTGTCGCGTATCTCCTCAATCATCAATGACAAGAATCCATGTAACCAGTATAATTAATCTGTGTCATTCATTCGTTTATTCGTCGTTGTCCGCGCAGAAGTGACTGAACTGCATCAATGATAGCCCAAATACTAAGTCGCAGCTGTATCAGTTGTAGTCCCCGAAATCCCTGGTAGAAGCATATCGAGATCAGCCCAAAAGTCCACATTCATCGCCATGTCCAGGAGATCGAAATCTCCACCAATTGAATCAAACTGATTCGCGACTGCGTTCGCCATTCCTCCTTGGGCAGGTGGATTATACAAGACGGAACCATCCATGGTTGCCACAGTCGTCGGGCCCGATTGCATCTCGAACTGCGCCATGACGGACTCAATGTTCGTGTGTAGGGTACGAACGATGACCGCAGCTTTGGAAGCAGCATCAAAGCTACGAGCGAAGATGTCGAGGACAGAGACAGCGAGCTTTATGGATGAGCGTACGGCTGGCGCGAGTGGGTGATTGAGATACGCAACAGCAAATCCGACCAAGGTCATCGCTGCGCTCCATTGCCACTGGAAAGCTTCATGCCAGCCGTTGAGGATTGGAGTCTTGGATAAAACTTGGTGGTTGATGTTTGTGAGCTGGATCGCATGCTGTGCGCACTTGACTGCCATTGCCGTTGCCGAACTTCCCTGCTGTGGAGCAAACGACAGAAACGGACGATGGAGACCGATGCAAAGGTGATGATACTCGAGTTCGAGGTGTAAGCGCTGTCGCTGAAGCCACTGTGGTGCAAACTGCTCGATACCGAGAATGGAGTCATCGAGGGAGTACGGGCTGCCGTATTTCCGGCTTGTCTTGAGGGCTCGGGGAATCTGCTTTGTCCACTCTGTGAGGGCTATTGTTTTTGGGTTCCAAGTATTTGCAAGATCTTCCATTGTGTTTGGATCATCATAGACAGAATGCCCCTCGGCAACCCTCAACTCATGACCGTAAAAGGCTTGATTCAGAGCTCTGGCGGTTTGGTACAACTTCGTGCGCTGCAGGTTGAGACTGAGCCATGTAGCGTTATCTCCGATGGGAGGAAATGCCGAGCCCGACTCAATCGCTACTTCAAGGGTATCACTGGGCAGATCGGGCATGACGTACGAGTCGCGAATAAGAAACGGGCGGCCGACCTTCATACCGACCTTCGAATCAGCCTCAAAAACAGACCACCATAGTCGTCGTCGGAATTCGCGCTCGTGTCGTGGCATTGTGGGTGGCGGATCCAGGTGCAGGCCTAACATGTAAGCTGTCCGAATCGCAAGGGAAATGGTTGTGTCTGCCATGTTGTGAAAGGATCCTCCACAAACGTACAATGCGCAGAGCAAATGGCATTGAAGAGTTGAGATGGATGGACTCTCGACCTCGCAAGCCAAGAGTGTCTGCGCTCTTCGGTAGTACCATCGACCAGCCATGGTTGCATCGTTGTCTTCGAGGATGTTGCCTTGCTGACCGCATGGGAGGGCCGACGTGTGATATTGCATGCACATGGCGAGTATGATGTCTACCAATGCGGATGGCTTTCTCGGCGATCCGGCTGGTACATCGACGTACAGTGATTGATAATGCGCCTTGAAACTCGCCTCATCGACCACAGCATAGATGCATGTATGGTATGTTTCCCAGTACAGGTTGATGAAGTACCCTTCTTGAACTGGGGTGAGATAAAACCCCTCCTCGTTGACGCGCGTGAGAGGTGCCAACAGGCGCGAAGAGTCTTGCGTTACTGTCGGCTGTCCCAACTGTTCTAAGTTGCTAGCGAGGTGAATGAGCATGTGGTCGGCTTGAGCGCTGAGAAATGTGCTGAGTCGGTGGATGAAGAAGTAAAGTGACGAAGGCCCGAACCAAGCGCTGTGCGGCGATCGTGCCGGGCGAAGGTACACGCCATCCCAAAATTTCGTCTTCGAGCTTTCCTGGGCCGCTGGTCTTATGAGAGCTGGTGATCCGCCAGGTGGTGTCGGTTCTTGTTGCTGTGAAGTGGGCGTCTCGCTATTCCGCGCCTGCAAAAGTTGAGCCTCGAGCTCTTTCACCCGCCGCTTCAGTTTATCGATCTCATCTTGCGCTTGAGGAAGAGTCGTCACAGTAGGCGCGTTATTGTTACTGCACTCGCGACCGCGCGTGCGACAGTTGAGACATGGAACGCTGTTGTCGCATTTTATCCGCTGGAGTCGACAGCCATCACAAGCTCTGCCGACTTGTTTTCGCTTCCGCCTAATGAATCCGAGTGTTTGGTGAGCTTCAATCGCTCTAGGGTCTGGCTCACTCATCGGTAGAAAAAGAAGTCTGCAAAATCTCCAGAGGTGTTAAATTGAGTTCAAAGAGAAAATTCGGTCATCGGAGAGCGGCGCGCTCTCATTTTACTGAGATCGAGTCATGATGACCGTGAGATGAAGTCCTGGTTGGAGCGCTCTGCTTGCTGCTTATTGAGGGGCGCGTTGTGATTAGCTAATCCGACTTCTGCCTCTCAGCACTGAGCGCCTGGAACCTGGAAGCCATTGTGAGCCCGAGAGCATGGGGATGCTTATTCGAAGCCAGCATCTTCCAGGTTCTTCAAGACCCAGTCATGAACTGCGAATTGTCAGACACCATCTTGTGAAAGACAATTCATGTACCCTGGGCCAAGAAAGAATGCTGGTCTTTTGTTCATCATTTGGTCATGTCCGCTGTCGGGGCGATAGCCTAGCGCGTTCCTCCAACCGTCGATGTTGACGTCGTTGATCTTGCGCCAAACGCCAGACCCTGAGAAATATTGGTTCGGGTTCTGGAAATCCGCTCGTTAATCCCTAAATCACCAATTATTCGTGGTTGAAATCAGTTCTCTTCAGCCTTTCGCTTGGTCAATTAGAGTGCCAGATCTGACTGATGTCCACCTCAACCAGCGCGGATGCTGCGGACATATCCTTGGTGAGTGAGCATCGCGAAATCCCCGTCAGCATCAGCAATACTAACTACAACAGGCTGCCGCTTTCGCGGCACTGAGTGTTGGATTTGTAGTGCACCCATTCGATACTCTCATCACACGTATTCAATCCCCCGAATATGTACCAAAATACAGGAGTCACAAGGGCAAACTCCAGCCGGCCCTCTTCCGAGGCCTTTATCGTGGTTTGACGCCAACCGTCGTAACGACCATCCCGGCCTCCGTCACTTTCTTCACCATCTACGAAACGGCAAAGTCTGCTCTTCAACCGAAAGAGGGTCTCAAGCCGGGGAGTCTCTCACAAACAGCTGTTCATGCCGCCAGCAGCGCGTTGGCTGATATGGTCGCCTGCGCCATCATCAACCCGTCCGAAGTCCTCAAACAGAACGCGCAAGTTGCGAGATTCTCAGAGGGTGGCGTCCAACGCAACCCCATGTTGGCCTCGCTCAAGCACTTCGCACGGCATCCTCTGAAACTATGGACAGGATATACGGTCTTGGTAGCTGGGAATCTGCCACGTACCAGTCTCACATTCTCCATTTACGAGTATCTGAAAGGCGCCTGGCTCCGGAGATCGAAGAAGTCCGAGAGCATAGCGGAACAAGTCAAAATTAGCGGAATCACCGCCGGTATCGGCGGCTCAATAGCCTCGCTTCTCTTTGTTCCTATTGACGTCGTGAAAACCAGGATGCGGTTGCCGGAAGTTGCTCCTCCCAGCCATCTTTTACAGCCAGAAGCATTGTTCACGTCTTCGCTAAGCCGCGAGAGAGCTAGAAAGCCCGCCGCGAGAGGCCCCGTTTCCATTGCCAAGGGCATCTTGATAAGAGATGGAATTTCAGGGCTGTTCAGAGGGGCAACTGTCACTTGTATAGCAGCTGCTGTGGGGAACGGATTGTTCTTGGGTTGTTATGAAGGACTCAAGTTGCACTATGCCCGTGAAGCTTCAAAGAGTGAGCTCATCCAATAACGATGGTCAAATTGATTTGGTAGGAATGGGCGGTGTACGGTACGTGATGCATGGATGTTTCTTTCTGGACGTCAGTCATATTTGTTCCGGATAGTTACAAGCGACGTGTAAAGACAATACTCCTTCTCCCATCTGATGTCTGATGCTGAAATTACGAATCGCTGTCGACGTAATTATCACTATTCCATAAAGCCCGATTCTCCCCAGGCGAAAATGACGAACTGTTACAAAGCTATTATCTCAAGAGAGCAATCCCTGGGATCAAAATACCTTTACGGCCTGAATTATCCCAACCGCCACTGCCGCCGAAAGTCCATTTCCTGCCGATGACAACTGTCTTCAATTCGAATTGGAGGGCTCGATACTGGAATACTGCACAAATATCCATGAATTTCAAGATAAAATTGACACAGGTTCTTGTTGAAGAATTCCAATTCAGCTGTAGGGATAAATCACGAACAAGGGATCTTCTTATTCTCAGTGAGGAAACATGTTCGAAGTCGGTCTGCAGCGATGCACAACTTTGCCCATTTTAGGGAATAGCACGCGTGCAGAGGTGAAAGTGGGGCGAGAGACCAATGGTATGCCTCATGCATCAAGGAATCTTATATGGGCTAACAATCTAACAACAGGCTTTTGGAGGTAATTTGAGAGGATAGATCTTGGACATCAACAGAACGGCTCGAGACGGTAATGTTAGTCTATTTCCCATGTTTAAGGCCTACCAGTCTTGCAAAGCACGTAGAGGAATTCATTGCGAACGTGGCTAGCGTTGTCAACTGTTAGTGACAATATCAGCTCTGTCACAAACCTCACACTTGGCACTAATTGCTATTGAGCAAGTCCAACCGGTATCTGCACCATGCACACCGAGTATTGCCCATAATAAGTTAAGTGCCAATTGATCCCCGCAGAATCATTTCCTATTGATACCCTCAACCTCCGGGTCCTTGAATTTTGATTTAAACTCATTTATCTCACCACTGTTACTTCAACCTCAAAGAAAGGAGTATCAGCAATCCGATTCTCATGGCCAGAAATTGTTTTGAAGTCAATTCTTCTCTCTTACATCCAACATGGCTGACATGAAGTAACGTCTAGCATCCAGTTGAGAGAGTCTCCAGCTGACAAAGTAAAGAACAGTCCTACCTGAACCAGTGATAGAACGCTTGGATGAACCGGAAAAAGCACATCATGCGTCTACAGAGAATTTGTCGGCAGAAAGCCGAACCCCTGGTGACGGCAAAATGCTGAAACCCATCAAAAAGCTTGATGCTCTCATTTCACACTTAAATCGATTGATGCATACCCGGGAGAGCCATGATGCTCTGATCCTCTTTCTGGCCTACGCAGCACATTTCCTGGCGACGGCACTCGAAACACCGATTCCTGAGAGGCTTAAAAGTTGGGTTTTCGAATGCAGCAAAATCTTACTGAGGATTGTACCGCCAAGACTGTTGTCACTCTTATCAACTTCCAAGTATTCATCAGCGATAAGGTCGTTGTCCGCCAACAAAACTCTGATCGCCGAGCGATTCAGGGCATTGTCGGATATTCTAGACGACTGGCAGATCATTACCAGATTATGGGGCTTGTTAGCGACATGGACGGATGCAAAAGAATTTCTGACCAGTTTCACATCCGAGAACGAGAGCGAGGAAAAGAAAAGCAACCCACGAAGATATCTTGTTCATAAAGCCATAAGAGCTACATATATCATGGGACTCTTTGGTTACTATGGCTTGGAAAACCTGGCGTGGCTTACAAGACGCGGTGTTTTCAAGTGGACAGACAAGACCGAGTCAAAGCTCATGGTCTGGTCTCTCAAGGCTTGGGGTGTCTACGTTATGTCGGAGATGGCACAACTGCTATATGACCGATCAGAAAGCAAGCGTACCGGAGAGGAGCAAGATAAAGAGACAAGGGCAGAATGGCGGAGGAAATTTGTTCAGGTTCTGCTTTATGGCCCATTGACGGTTCATTGGATACGAGAAGGGGGACTGTTTCCGGAGACGATAGCTTCCTTCTTGGCGGCTTATACAGAGTTCATAACGGTCAGGGGATTATGGAAAGAAACTGCTGAGATTTGAAGAGGATGGGCCAACTTACAGCTGGGTTTGAGGAATCAAGAATTCTATAGTGTTGCATTAGGTGGTTCAAAAGAAGGGCTGCGAGATAATGATTGTCAGAATAGTCATGAGTGACAGCCTGTGAGTAGTCGAAACCGTTTCTGCTATCTTGCCGATTTAGCGGATGTAGAATAACACGCAGCTGTCCAAGGTTGGTCCGGTCAGCTCAGACATTACCATGTAGCTAATGATCTGCAGCTACCCCGATGAAAGCCTGGTCCCAGTCAACTACCATCGTCAACGCCACATTCACCACCGTTGCGATCACCAGGGTTTGGAAAGTCTGGAAATAGGAATTTCCAACCGTTGACGATGTCACATGCTAAGGCTTGTGAGAAAGCGGTTGAGGATCCTGACAAAGAACACGTCGCCCGCGCCCGTCACATGCAGGCTATTTCTTCTTACTGGAAGAAATATGCTTGGCATCATCCCAACTACATGAAACTTCAACCATTGGTTAGAACTTCATCTCGACAGAGACAAGAGATATCTCGTCACCCAGAGCCTTGTTTTAAATGGCTCCAGCAGGCCTCGAAGACAAGACAAGATACACATTTTCAGCTTGCAGATAAGGCTCTGGCATATCGCCAATCACGCCCCCTCTACTTCATCCGCATACTATTGCATACCTCCGAGTGGCCTTCTCATTGGCCTTCCTGGGCTCAAAGGCACTGAGTGCGCTCTTCTGCTCGTTAAGGCCATGCATGTTTGTAATTTCTGGGAACGCCACCAACATCTATTTACGGATCAAGCACGAGAACGAGCCTGAAAGTGACGGCCGCGTAAGGCTTCTTCTACTACTGTATTTCTCCTGATCTTCTCGCTTTCTGACTATGTTCCAGTTCTCCCCGCAGCCTCCCAACTGCTTTCTTGAGACTTCTGTAAATATATACACCTTAATTTAAAGGCAGCGATAAGAAACATCTACGTGCATCAGCGATAAGATGGCAGAGGTCTATCACGCGTTGAACGGCGGTGGCTTGACAGGCTCCCCTCCTGACCCCGCAATCACAGAGCTACCAAAACCTTACAACAGAGACATCCTCAAGCGTCAGAACCTAGGCACTTATGATGTTTGTGGTTACTATTCTATCCCCGGGCAGTGTGAGTACACAAATTAATTCAAAAAACAAGCCCGGCTAATCATGAGGCTTAAGTCTGGGTCGTGAACTACTGTTATTACTCTGGCGTTTCAACTACGACCTGCGCAACCAGTAGTAGTCACATTGGATGTGATGGATACGTCAAGACAAGGTGCTTTACTTCATCGCCTTGCACTTCAAAATCATCAGATGAGCTATGCTGGTGGGTAAATACCAATAGCTTGATGGTGTAATAATCAACTAACGTTCAACTAGCCCTTCGGGATGTGTCACTGCGATTTCGACTGACAGTGACGGCGATGAGCTCACACTCTATCCGTTTTGTACGACAAAGCATATGGAAGTGGCCATGTACAAAGAGCTGAAGGGCGTAACTGCCAGCATGGAAACGTCATTAGAGTCTAATTCCGAGTCTACGAGTTCAGACGGCCAGTTGACTGCAAAGACAGGAACGACAGGAGAGAGCAAGACCCAAGAGGCTGCCTCATCTGCCGAATCGAGTTCGTCATCCGGGCCAGACACCTCTTCAAACTCTTCTGCCCCCGTAGGAGCTATTGTCGGTGGTGTTCTTGGAGGGCTTGCCCTCCTCGCCTCGATTGGCTTCGGTCTCTGGTTCATACGCCACAAAAAGCGCCAAGGAGATAATGGAACTCACGTGGTTACAACAACAGATCAACCCCCAGTCATCCCCTACTTTCAGCAACAGCCTGTCACCCACGCCCAAGGCGAAGCGAACTATCAGCCTCTGGCGTCGGGCATGTCGCCTGAGACAAAGGCGTACTCACCTTCTGCTAACTTGCGAGGTTCGGCTTTCAATGAAATTCAATCTTCCCACCATGATAGCCCGAGTCCAACTGAATATCGTTGAAAGAGGAATTAAACGGTGGCAGAAATGCACAACTACTTAGTATGATATCTTTGGATCATGTTTAGAGAGATTTCAGGCGAGACTGGCGAAGTAACAACAAGGTCATGACACATGGTATCCGAGAGTGAATATACGGGGAGCTGTATAAGAAACAGAAGCGATAATAATACGTAAGCTGGTCCTAATGATGGTTTAGTTTCGCTCCAAACTATGAGCATCCCTTTCCATTGAATTACAGGTTCTGCTGTCAATATTGGCAAAGACCTTACAAGATCCCGTCATCTGAGTGGGTTTAAAACGTATGACAAGATATTTTTACCACCACCAGCTCCATATGATCATGCCATTGACTTTGACTTCTGACTCTGAAGCCTCAAATAATTACTGCTAAGGTCAGTATTCCAGGAGAGATTTGTGATGTGCATGGAGGGGGCTGGCTTAACCTTGAGCGAGATCTACCCGAGTATGTTTTGCGGAAACACGTGATGTACGCATAAGTCGATGACATGGTTGTAGTCAAGACCTGTGTGGCCTTTGTAAGCCCCAGCGGCAGGTCTCAACTATAAATAAGACATGTGGTCCATAGTTTACAAATTATACTACAGGGTTTGGCCGATTCACGTAATACAAATGCTGATAAGAAAACCTAGACTATGACTTATACGTTTTGACTGCTTTCAAGAAATATAAGATGATGCATCCAATTCCTCAGCCAAGACAATCCCGCTCAAAATTAGAGTCATCGCACCTGACGCTCGGACTTTTCATGATTTGGGGATTGTAGTGATCACAATGCGTCTCATTCTGGTCCTCTCTGCTCTGCAGGGCGCTGCCCTTGCTCAAAAGGACGAAACGCATACTAGAGAATACTGCGAAACGAGAATGAGCAGAACCCCGGCTACTGATGCACATACTGTCACTATTCACACGAAGGTCGAAGTGACCGCGACTAAACCACGTTGCCTAAAAAGAAATAAACATGAAACCTACAAGATCACCCTTGGTCCTGTCACTACCACTATTGTTACCAGGTCTATCTATACCGCCTTGGTTACCGCTCCCCAAAAGATTAAAACACTCACAATTACAGAAACCCGTGAGTAAGATGTGGTCATTATCTTTATATCTCATCGCCTAACGGCCCACAGGCACTGATACCGATGTGATGACTCCCACCTTCATGAAAACTGACACGACGGTTTATACCAGCACTTCAACCCTTACGTCAACTGTAACAGTCCCAACGGTCTCCGGATTTACACCCCTTGCCTCGGCATCCGGTTATGTTTCTCGAAAGCGAAGTCTATCCAAACGAACATTGCCCAGGAGGAATGCTTGGGAGGACAATGCGCATGTTTTCCCATCGCGAGTCTTTCCTCGCAAAGTCAAGCCCAAGAAGTTAAAGGGCCCCTGTACCATCAAGATCGACGCCGACGATAAAAAGCATCCAGTTGAACCAGCTCAATTCCGTGGCATGGTCGCGTGTTATAATACCCTCCAGATTACCAAAACCACGGATGTCAAAAGTTGTATACCGTGGACAAAAACGATTACACTTGATCAAAAGACCGCTACAGAACATGAAACCAGTAGAGGATTTGTTACGAGTACAGTCACCGAAGCTGAAACCACAGTGACTGCGGACGACACTACAACGACGACTTCGACACTCACTAAAGCAACTACAACGAAAACCACCACGGAAACTGAAACTGGTACGTCTCGGATTCGTGCTTTTGTGGTCACAAACCACTTACTAACCATCATCACCATCTAGTGACTCGAACAGATCTTGCCCCAGCCGAAAGCTCCTGGGCTGCTTGCAACGCTGACAATCTCGTCAATTCGGCAAACGGCGGACATGGAATTAATGCAGTGAATCTTGGAATGAACCACTACAATATTCTTCCACTACTCACTGCTTATGACTGTTGTGTTCGGTGCCATCAGAAGCGGAATTGTATCTTTTCCGCTGCGTATCGTGACGCGTGCTACCATGTCATTGGTACTGGCTGCCTTCCAGAGCACGCGTTTGGCACAAACTTTACAACATTTGGAAAACTACTCCCTAAAGATGGACCTACGCTGAGTAATGGCCCGTGTGGCCATATCCAGAACGCTGGAGATTCTGGGTGAGATGTACAAGACGTTTGTTGCTTGAGAAGAATATGGTGGTATCAGGTATAGATGACTGTGCATGACCATGACCTGCCTTTTACTGTCATGTCGATGACCAACAAACAGGCTCTTATGATTGCCTGAGATGGACGGAATGTCGGGGTATCGGGACACCTGTAGCAAGAGCTGCAAGGACATTATTATCAACATCTTCCCTCCGTGTTTAGTTCTTCGCCGGCGGCCAAGTCCGAGCGTGTTCTCCCAAAATAACGATATCTGTAAAAAATCATTATCACAATTTCCACGGGACTTCGGCACATAAACCCCACCAGCCGGCTACTAACCGGCCGTAACCTCTCCATTCGCCTCCGTTAAACTAAACCGTACTTGGAAAGACCAGGCGACATCTACCGAGTCATCGAGTAAGAGTCTCAGACCTGATAACAAGGGCGGCTCTAAAATGAGAGTGAATCACGTCCTTGGCTCTGACAAGGTTCGCCTAATCTTTGCGCGCGCCCCAGGTTCCCCAGATACCCCGGAAGTTGGAGATAAGACGAGTGGGAAGGGAGAGATATGACTGAGAAATTGCGGTTATTGATTGTCATATAGTTTGACTAAAGATTGGAGGTGCCACGCGACAACGGAGGTCGTGCCGCGCCCTATCTTGGTGGTGCAGATCAAGACTAGACCATTGGAGCGTGTCCGTTCTTAAGAATGCGACTGCACCCATGCGATGTCGCACTGTTTGACTCTGGCAACGCCTTTTGATCCTACAATCTCTTTCTTCCTACTTCCTACTTCTCATATTTTCATGGCCGTGCAACATCGACGGCATTATTGATCGTAGCGAATGACAACAAAAAGCCCCCAGCAATACACAAACATTCTCCTCAAACAGGAGCATAGGACCTTCATTCTCGCCTCCCGTCTTGATCTTCGAGCCTGAACACCGACAGAATGGCCGAGAAACACGATATTCCCGATAATGCGTCCTTGACGCCCTCCCAAGCTGCTGGCAAGACATTCGCCACCCATCACCTCCACGGCGGTGAACAGCTTGAGAAGCGATACAGTCCCCTGTCTGTCCTAGCTTTTGCCTTCACCACTACCAATTCCTGGATGGCTTTTGCTTCAGGCATTGCGATACCGCTTGCTTGTGGTGGAGGACCCTCGATCATCTATGGTTTGATCGCTGGTGGAATCATCATGGCTACCATCAACATTGGCTTTGCTGAATTGGCCTCAGCGTTCCCTTCGGCTGGTGGACAGTATCATATTGTCTTCATGGCCTTTCCCGCGTCTACCCGACGCGTTGCTGCCTTTTATACTGGCTGGATCTCCATTATCTACCTGATGGCTGCGACAGCGTCTTGCAACTTCTTCGCTGCCAGCTCTGTTCTTGACCTTGTCCAACTGTGGCACCCATCATACAGCATCGAGGCTTGGCATACGTACTTGATGCATATCTTGCTGTGCATTATCGCCTTTGCCGCCACTTCGCGGTTCCCTGCTGCCATCGGCCGATTGACTACTACCATCTTCTGGTTGTCATTGGTTGGTTTCATCGCTTCCATGGTCACTCTTCTCGCTGTTAGTGATCACAAGCAGTCGGCTTCTACTGTTTTCAAGGAATACAAGAATGTCAGTGGATGGGGAGATGGCTGGGCCATGATCACCTCTATCACTGCCTGCTTATGGGCCTACAGTGGTGTTGATGGTCCTACCCACTTGGCAGAAGAAGTGCCGAACCCAAGTAAGAATGTCCCTCGGGCTATCTTCTTGACCATCGGCCTCGGCATCTCCACTGTCGTCGCCTGGACTATCGCCCTTATGTTCTCCATCAAGGATGTCGATGCCATCATTGAGTCGACAGTGCCTATTCTCGAGGTCTACAACCAAGCTCTCAACAACAGAGTTGCTACCACCATCTGGTCTGTCTACTACATCGTCATGTTCTACGACATCGTTCTGAACTTATTCATCTTCTCTGGTCGAACCATATGGTCCTTCTCCAGAGACGGAGGTGTCCCTTTCTCAGCATTCCTGTCGCATCTCAACTGGGCCAGTCCTGTTCGAGCTACTGCAGTCATGCTTGCCCTGCAGATCATTATTGGAGTTCTGTACGTTGCTTCAAGCACCGCTTACAACAGCTTCATTGGTCTTACACTCTTTGCGCTCAACATCACTGTCACCCTCCCCCAGGCCGCGCTGCTTGTTCGTGGGCGTAGCTGCCTCCCTGAGAGGTCTTTCTCACTTGGGAAAGCGGGGTACGGCGTAAACACTGCGGCTACACTATTTGTTGCATTGTTCTCTGTCAGCTTTTGCTTTCCCGCCTTCATGCCTGTTACGGCATCCTCCATGAACTACCTTATCGTAGTTATGGCAGTGGGTCTGGTATTTACCACTGCACTCTGGTTCGGTGGTCTCCGAAAGACGTTCACTGGACCTCAGATCAGTCTCGAGGGCGAGGATCAGTAGAAGAAACATCATCAATTTGGAAGAAAGTGGACTTGATCTGTGCGAGGCGTGTTATTTCTAGCTAGCTGTGCTTAGTCTATGAGAAAGTTTGAGTTTGTGACTTTTGATCCTAAGCCCTTTTCACGATTGTGACAGTTGAAGTAACCCGCGATCAAGGATTCAAGATCATGATAATTTGCAGTCACTGAACAATACTTCTATCTTTCTGAGATATCCATCAATCTTACATAAATCGAATCCTTTGGTTACTCATATATTGAGTTACTTACATAAAGCGACTTTCAATACTTTCTGCAAATCACAAACACAAATTCCCAGCTCTCCCCAACTCCGCATTCCGCCTTCCAACTCTACAACTTCATGACATACTTTCCCTCCAACTATATTTATGTTAGCTTGTTACA